ACTTCCCTGACGGTACCATTGAATATCACGGCCGCGCAGATACTCAGGTCAAGGTTTACGGTCGTCGCATCGAGCCGCGCGAGATCGAGCACCACATGCGTACTCTGCTGCCTGGCTACTCCACCATGGTGGACAGCGTGACCCTCGCCAGTCGCAATGGCCAGAAGGTTCTGGTGGCTTATATTTACCAGGAGTCTGGCCCCGTGTCTGACAGGGAGCTGGGAGCGATTGCGCGGGCCCTTACGCCAGAGCTTCAACAAACACTGATTAAACTTCAAGCGGCGCTGCGTGCGATGCTGCCGCCCTACATGCTGCCGGCACTTTTCATCCCTCTGCAACTTCTCCCGACAAATGCATCTGGCAAAACAGGCCGCAAGCTGCTGGGCCGTGCCATAAACACTTTGTCGGACGCCCAGCTGCAAGCCTATGCCCTCCAGGATGGTGTAATCAAGCGCCCGCTTGAGACTCCAATGGAGCGCAGGTTGGCTGGTCTCTGGGCCGAAGCTCTCGCTGTCGACGTCTCGACTATTGGCGCCGATGACACCTTCTTTGGCCTCGGTGGGGATTCCATTGTTGCCATGAAATTGGCCAGTCTCGCTCGCAATTCGCAACTCAATTTAACTGTCGCCGATCTCTTCAATCACCCAATTCTGGCAAATCTAGCCGCCTATCTAAGTACCCAAATGCCACCCACCCCGGGCACCGAGACGCCACCACTGGCGCCCAAGTTGACGACTGCGACAGCTCCCGTGCTGGATCTGGCTCTGGCTGAGGTTCTGGCACCGCGGATAGGTGTTGTTCCTGGCGCGATCGCTGCTATTCAGCATACAACGGACTTCCAGGATGTCGCACTGGTCGGCCATCTGAGCGAGTCCCGCTGGATGCTGAACTGGTTTTATTTCGATGGTCAGGGTGCTCCTGACATCGAACGCCTCCGTCAGGCCTGTTACTTCTTGGTTCAGCACTTTGACATTCTCCGTACGGTCTTCGCACCTCACGCAGGCCACTTCTGGCAGGTGGTTCTGCACAAGTTGCAGCCCTGCTTCGACGTTGAGACTACCGCCGACCTCGCTGCCTTCACTCAAAGCTTGTACGATAAGGGCATCGCCAACGATTTCCAGCTGTCCGAGCCATATGTACGGTTTGTACTAGCCGTGCATCCAAACGGTCAATCACACCGTCTGCTGATGCGCCTGTCACACGCGCAATATGACGGTGTGTCTTTGCCAACCCTCTGGGAGTCCCTTCAGCGTGCCTACCAAGGCCAAAGTCAGCGTTTTACTCCCTCCTTTACGCGATTCCTCCAAGACACTACTCCAGCAGATCTTACTGCTGCACGCTCACACTGGCGCAAACTTTTAGCCGGTTCACCAGAGACCCGCTTTGTCTTGCACAACAAGCCCAGCCTGCGCGACGACGCCACGGAGCGCGTGTTGCATGTTACCCGCCACCACGTTCCAGTGGTTTCGCTCCCCCAGTATGGTATCACGACAGCCACAGTCCTCAAATCTGCTTGGGCGGTGCTGCTAGCACGCCTGACTGACTCTACCGATGTCGTCTTCGGACACACAATCGCGAATCGCTCTGCCGCGACATTGGCTAGCATTGACACTGTCGTAGGTCCTTGTTTGAATGTAGTGCCAGTTCGCGCACGCTTGGATGCACGTCAAACAGTGCTCGAACTTCTTTTAGCACAGCAGCAGCAACAGGTAGCAAACTTATCTCATGAGTTCCTTGGCTTCCGTCAAATCATACGTGACTGCACGGACTGGCAGCGCTGGTCTCACTTCAGCAGTGTGGTGCAGCATCAAAATATCGAGCCGGACCGTGCGTTGCAGCTAGACCAGGACAATGCCACCGCACTCTATGAGCCTGGTTTCATGGGCGCTGATCTCGACCTCACGGATGTTTCAGTGTTGTCGACTCCCACGGGCGATGGCTACGTTGACCTAGATCTTCTCACCTCATCGGCAGTCATGACGCCGTTCGCGGCGGAGTTGCTGATTGAGCAGTTAGGCAGTCTGCTGCGCTTGTGGGCAGCCCTGCCAGTGGAAAAGATGCCCGTTTACGAAAAGGGGGAGTCGCCGGCTCTGCTCCCTCTACACAGAAGAGAAGAGCGCCCAGTTGACGAATTGCTTGAGAAGAGCCCTCTGCCGACTCCGAACTCCAACGTCCGGGCGGCGGTGCAGCAGGCGTGGCGTACCATCCTTCCCATTGATTCTCGGATTGATGATGACAAGGTAGACTTCTTTGAGGCGGGAGGAGATCTGGTACACATGGCCCTGCTGCTCTGTGAGTTGCAAGCTCAAGGTCTTGGTGGTGCTGTGCGCCTAGAGACACTAGTGAAGCATTCTTCCCTGGATTCCATGGTGCGGGTGCTCCAGTGAATGTGGCTCTGCGTTGATTACCTCACTTTGTCTTTATTATTTGGCTAATTGGTGTCGTTTCTTTCGTCCCTTGTTTTTGGATTTTCAGCTTACTGCAGTAAACTTTGTTCTGTTCAGTTTAAATTCTTGACTTTTTGCGTTGTATATGAATTACAAATCGTTTTTGGCTTTTTTTTTCATAGCATAGCACACTCATAAAATTCTTTTTCATCTGTCATTTTCGGATTTGTTTGGCATACCAGCCACGTTCGCCAATACGAGCCTGCATCAATCAGTACATCTCACCCCACTGTTCCTTTGACCACTTTCGATCTTAGGTAAACTTACTCTTGAAGACTATGCCTTGATGCAGTAGCTACTCAGTGAAGTCCGTAGATGGCTTTAATATGTACAAGTGCTACCATGGGAAGAAGGTAGTAGCCCAAAGCGACCTCGAGCCGGGTTCCAGCTGAGGGGGACTAGAACGGACTTGGCAGGGACTAGAAAAAGGTTAACCTACTTTCTAGTAGACTGCGACATTGCCTGTCCACGATGGGCGGTGGGCTATTTGGATTTCCGAATGCCCGTCCCATAACGCCTAAGGCCTATAGGCATATTCATCCTAGGTATACCCACTATACCTACTGTGATATAAAGTCACCTAAAATAGATATATAACTCACTGGCTTTGTATAGTAAATAACTATTAACACCTATTTTACTAACTCTATGTAAAATCGCGGTTTTAATCTACAATATCTATAAATTTTACTAAGATATCTAATTATATAAGAAACTATTTATAGTTAAGAGTTATAAGAGTATGCTGTTATCAGGTATTAGGCATATCAATAGGGTAAGATACGAGGGCTTCTTAGTGGGAGAGGGAACCAAGGTGTTTGCATCTGAAGCGATAAGACTCACTCCTGTAGGGGGAGAATAGGATCCTAAGGATCCCTAAGCTCTTATAGAATAATGCATCCCAGAGGCACGATCAAGTCCAAGATCTCGGGCTTCTGGACTATGGATTACAAGGGGAATACACCACTACTCGACATGAGGAATACAGGAAGAAGTCAGATCGTGGCTGTCAACAGACCATGTATCTCTATATGTGGACCTGTCAACAAAGCAAGGTGGAATCATCTAGATCCACCCGTTCACGAGTACCTCGAGACAAATGATCGAAATAGTTCAGAACAATAAAACAGTTGGCATACATTCTAACTAGCTCACGTTGTGTGAAAACATGTCTGGATAGATACCCTTTACTTCCGAACGTGTGACCAATAAATAATTGATTGGTAATGAATAATCCCTTTGGAAGCATCTATTTATATTGGAATGGGGCTCAATTCCGAAATCGCCTATATGCCGAGGGTCAAAGGATGCCAAGTCCTCCGTAGAGTACAACAGGCTTGGCATCGGAAATCATCTTCTTTAGGTATAGTGTCTCAGCTCCCGTGACACATGGGTGACGTGAATCCTCCACAGTTCTCCTTTTTTTTTTCTCCAACCGACTTTCAATGTGGATTTGTGATCTTGCCTCTGGGTAAACCTTGGAAGTCCAATAGTTCCACAAGCGTGTTTCAACTACAGCATGTTTGGTGGGAGTTCAGCTCTCCTCAAACCCCCACACTCAATATCGATGCATATTAATTGAGTCTATCTTCTCTTAACCTCGCATATGGAAGGTGATGATCTAACCGATATCGGTAGAGCATGGCTGCTTGTGGGAAGTCAATCACATTCAACTCATCATGATGCGTTACCAAACAGGTCTTGGTCGGTAGCTTATATAGATGTGAAGGGACATGTAAAACAGTTGATCGATCGATTCTCGATGTAGCCTAGTAAAACCTTGATATGTATCTCCCCTTCATTGGCGCATTCCTTGATCAAGTTGATCCCCGGCCATGTGTCTCACTTACACACATCATTAACATTGCAAAATAATGTATTCTGGATCTGGGAATACATTGTACGAATCGTTTGTTTTTGTCAGTCAACATTCAGACGTCACGAACACGAACATTTGGCTGAAGCCCACGTCAATAGTTTCATTTAAAGAAATTATTGACCATATGTATTCGCAAATGAGGGTGCTTACAGGGGCCGATCCAGAGAGATCTGGAGTCCATCTGTTTTCTTGGCGATGAGAAATCATGAAAATTTGCTCTTTAATAGTGGGGATGATGTATGTCCGGCAGGCTTCAACCCGTGCAGGAACCACTTGAAATTGCACCAGTGTGCTGAATCCACGGTTCAACGCGACAATCCATCTGTTCTCGAGGAAATTACTTGGGTGGCGTCGCGTGGCCCATCTTAGGATCCATCATGAGGAATATTCCGGAAAAGATACCCGCTTTTGGCTTCTCATAGCAAAATGTTAGTTCGGGTTTCACTTGAACCAGCCTACAGAGTGGAGCATTGCCTTGCTTTCGATCCAATCATGGTCGGTTGCATATATCAGCTATCAAGATCTATGGACCCTGTCATACGAAAATAAGCTTAACGTGTGCAAGTGTCCACGCTCACTCGGGTCCATTCAGGTCCAATTTGGAACAAAATCCGCTACCCTGGAAAATTTCCCCTTCTTGATTGCCCTCATTTTTGAACACGTTGGTTGCCATCATGAGGGTCAATTTGGTCTTTTTCGCTGTTTTGGCTCTGCTTCTAGTGGGAATTCATGCGGCAGCGTCAGATACAACTCTCTTCCCATCTTGTGCGGTACGTACATATCATTCAATAGCTGTGTTCATTGCTAACAACCATTAGATCACTTGTGACAATAAATTATTCTCCAATTGCTCGTTGACCAACGATACATCATGCTTCTGTGACAGTGGCTCTCGTCCCACGGCCCTGTTAGATTGCGTTGAAATCAACTGCACGACAAAGGAATTCTTCAGTGCGTCCCTGTCATGATTCATTTACAGAGTTTACTCTAACCCTCCTAGCTACAAAACGTCTATATGAGAAGGAATGTGATATAACACCGCTGAAAGGCCCTTCCACGGTCCAAGCCGCTACTCTAGTTCCTCTTATTCTTGCGTCGTTTTTCTTCGTCGTGAGATTAATCGCCAAGAGCAGCGGCCTCGCTGGCGGATGGGGACTTGATGATTATACAATCATCGTCTCATATGTCAGTGGACCTGCTTGATGTTCCTTCGTTCGGTACTGACAGCCTCGTAGATCTTGGGAGTCGCCATATACGTTCTGAATATTTACAGTAAGCCAGGGTTCCCGGTGTTCAATCTCAAAACGAACAAGCACTAAGAAAAAATCAGTGATTCGCAGTGGCTTCGGTCAAAATATCTGGGATGTTCCCTTTCCCACAATCACCAGGTTTTACCAGGTTCGTGTCCTCTCTCCAAGCCTCGGGTCCAGTCTAACAAGATCAGTATTTCCAAGGTCTTGCTGTGATGTATAAGGTTCAAATCTCCCTCGCAAAGATCTCCGTGTGTCTCTTCCTACTCCGCATCTTCAAATCACGGACATTCCGCTATTTAGCATACGCTCTCATCGGTATCAACGCCGCCATCGGTATATGTTGGGCCTTGGTGGACTCCTTCCGGTGCTTGCCAGTACACCTAACATGGACCGGCTGGAAAAATGAGGAACCCGGACAGTGCATCGATTTTATCAGTTCGATTCTCGTCAACTGTCTGGTGAACATCTTTGTCGACTGTATATTGATCGTGATGCCGGTTTACGAGGTGATCAAGTTGCAGCTGCCTCTACAAAAAAAGCTATCTGTGGGGTTGATGTTCATCGTGGGTTCTGTGTATGCACTTCCTGGGCTGGAATCTTCTCATATACACCTCGCTAACCAATGTCACAGCCTAACGATTATCGCAATAATCCGAGTCGTCGTATTCTGGAATCACCGCTGGGGGGCAAACCAGACTCTCGGTCTATATCCCCTCATTCACTGGACGGTCATCGAATCTCAAATTTCTGTCATGTGCGCTTGCCTGCCTGCATTCAGAGCTATCGCAGGTCGATGGTTCCCTCAGTTCCTTGGCGGAACGACCTACCGAACGAATCAACCGTACACAGCTGATTACTATAACAACATGTCTACGGCAAGCAGCAAGATCAACAAGTCTGTTACCTACTCAGTGAACTATGAGTCTCGGTCAGCAACGCATAGTGATGTGGAGTTGCTGGATATCGATTCGAGACATCGACCATGATTGGTTGACTGGTATTTCTACTTCTTGTTCTATAATTGACGTACTCATCATAGGTGAGATATGATTCCATACATGTATATACGCTTCTTTGACCATTGATCGATTTTATCAACGTTACTATACACAGGTTTATAGATAAATTACAATTTGAATGTTCCAAATATGAGAATTGGTCATCTTCTGGTTGGTGTATGCAATGTCTATGGAAATGGTCGCGATAGTTCCCAGCAAATTAATCCCAATTTCCAAACTTATAGCTCTGCCGCGATACCGAGGTTGTTGCCCAAATGAGAACTTCCAAATATTGAACCGAATCTTTGATACAGCACACTTTCAAGGGTTCTTTGGCCAGTGATACGTACCCCGACTACGGTATATATCGATGCAGTCTGGTATCAGGTCATCGGTGCGGCCTTGCTTGTCTGTTTGATTGTGAGTTAGACCTCTCTCTTTGCGCCCATAGAGCTATATAGGGAGCTATATGGCGGTAAATCGATCTATCACGCAGAGACAATTTCCCCTATTCTTCTCCTGGCCCTCGATTATATATCAACTGCCATCGAGAATTGCTCTTGCACAGCATAAACATTAGACTAACATGCAACCCAAACCATAACACGGTCGACTAATATCTGCTCTCGAGTATGGGCATTTTGCAGGAGCTCCAAGATAGTACATATACGAACATTGAATCCATCACAGTGTTTCTATTTTGTTTCTATGCTTCTTGATTAAGTTGAGAAAGAGATTAAGCAAAAAATGAAACCATAAGGGTATCAAGAAAGCATGATAAAACAGAGATCCGCGAAAGCACCTACCCTGAGCTCAATGGCGCGCGTAAACAGAAAGATATTTGCGGCACAACATCTGCTCACCCACTCCCATGATCCCCTTTCCATCTCACACCTGCTTTTTCTCTCGGTGACCCTCCAATCCTTACTCCTCATTCACTTTCTATTCGAGTGTTCGTTTACGAAGACTTCGTTACCCATTTTCCTCCCTCCTTATTATATAGTGTCGGCAAGATGTACGAATGTAGCTGTAAGCAACACATGAATGCCCTTGACCACTGGGCTGCGAAGTACTAGTATGAGACGTGTGCTCGCACATTCTTGTCTGAGAGTGCCGCGAATCAACATATGAACGCCCTCGACCACCGGGCTGCGAAGACAAATGTGTCCGACCTAACCAAAGAGCATTATTGAGCCATGTGATAGCTTCAAGTCCCCCGAATCCTTATCAATCCACTATCTGCTTTAAAGCGACCTGTCCGAATGTTTCGTCCCTTTGTAGGGAATATCTGGTGGTGTCGAGTTCCTAGACAAGTGTAGATGTACATGTAGCTGCTTCAGACATATGCAGAACTGGCCAGTTGGCGAGAATTCCCAAATGATAAAGAGCCAGATATGATTTAACCATACCATACTCAATACAGTAATATGAGCAAGTATCTATTGGCGACATCAAAGCCTAAAAGGTACCTCTCCCCCGTGTACCCCACTGCAATACCGATACCTATTTCTTTTCCCCTCAGACACGTTCGTCTTCTCCTTTTTACCCCGGATTATCCCTTTCCTCCCCGGCCATGAAGGCAAACAAGCATTTCCGCTGTAACGTCTGTCAGCGCGGGTTCACGCGTACTGACCACCTCAAACGCCACCATTTGCGCCGTATGTGTGCGCCCTGCAGCTATCCAAAACAATACTAAATCTCGACAGATTCAGGCCAGAAACCCTATTCCTGCATATTTTGCAATGATTCGTTCGCACGCTGGTTAGTAGATGCCGCACAAGCTATTAAAGTGCAATCTGAGACTTGGACTTTAGTGACAATCTGCGCGACCATTATACCGATTGCACTAGACGTGGGGATCGCGAAATCCCTGAGACAGGTCAGAGGGGTAGGCGGCGACATGCCTGTCAATCGGTTAGTCGCGACCAGATTACCCGAAACCCTACCGCAGATATTGACATTTTCTTGGCCAAACAGTGTACCTCGATGAAATTACGATGCGATGGACGAAGCCCTTGCGGGTCGTGCCAGAAGAGGAAGTTGATGTGTAACAACGAGCGGACGGCAGACCCGACCCTCGGAGCAATTAAAGCAGGCTCAAGCCTTGAATCAGGTAAGGCGCAATGGAAGCCCCATACCAATCATACAGATATCTCAGCGCAACACGAAATCTCCGACCAGCCATCATTTGACAGAGGATCAATCAAGTTTCTACTTAATGGTGGCACCGATAGCTTCACACAAAACTTTCGACTTCCGCCATGCAGTGATCGGGGGCGCAGTCTCAATTATCATAACACAAATGGCTTCGAAGAACTTCAGGGTACAGGGCCTCCATACAAGATCGATGGCGGGTTCATTGATCCCGACTCTGTCCCGCCGCAATTCTTCCAAGACAAATTCCTGGATTTTTTTCATGGCCCTTTTGGTGATGGTCAGAAGCCCACGGATAATCCTTATTATACCGGGGAACTTGACGACCAGCTTGTTACCCCTCCGGGGCAGCATCCGACATCACCTGGAGATGCCGCCATCATGGAACCGGAGCGACCGTTCACGATGGCATTAATTCAATCAATATTGGCACAAGCGTGGCAGGTCCCGCTTGATCCTAAGGCGCAAGAAGCGGTGTCTGCGAATCTTCACTTTCTGTTGACCACCGCGCGCATACGAAAATACATTGCGCTCTATTTCAAATACTGGCAACCTAGCTGTGCAATGCTTGCTGTATCCTTTGATCCGGAGACAGTTCCCCTGCGGCTCTTGGCTGCGGTAGTCTTCATGGGCGCAATGTACAGTAGTGACCAAAGGGAAGTGTACGCCGCCAAGAGAGTGCTAGATTTTGCAGAGTTATTCGTCTTTGCGAATGATGTTTTCTCCACCGAGAGCGAAATTACTGCTATGTTCTCGGGTGGTCGATGCGGCGAGGAAAGTAGCGATTGGAATTGGTTCCAGAACTTTCAAGCTGGGGTTATCATTACCATCGTTCAATACTGGGCAGGAAACCGCTTGTCTCGATATCGAGCGATGGAAAATCGATTCAGTGAGGTTGTGAAGGTTGCTCGACGAATTGAACTTGTGAAAGCTCGTCATCTTCCTGGTGACCAGGTCCTGGAGCACCTATGGATCCAAAAGGAATGTCGGATTAGGTGAGTATATTCCCACCGTCTTAGGACTGCTTTGCTGAAAATTGACAGAACTATCTCCATCATTTCGCTGCTCGATTGCGCATTCTTTTTTTCCAAAACTACCCGTGTCGCCTCACACACACTGAAATGGAATGCGATTTGCCCTGCGAGGAATCGCTTTTCTGCTCCGAGCACCCATTTGCTGAGCCAAACTTTTGTTTTTCGCGCGGTCTAATGGTTTCGGAGGCCTTTGAAAATTTGTTTCACGAAGCACCCGAGTCTACTCCGATGAAACTCACAGCTTTAGACATGTTTATCCTGATTCATAGTATGTCCTTGTGCCAGCGCCCTTTTTCGTGCTTTGCACCGGCTTATCCTTATGTTTAGTTCTATTCTCATTCATTAATACCCATATGACACTTCTCGGCTCTATCATCCGCAGACGCCATTCCAAAAATCCTTGCAGAAATACCAGGATTGGCACGGACGACACCAGCAAGATTCCTGAAGACTCTATCCTCATTTCCCTCCGGACTGCTCTATCACGCTGGCGTGATTATTGGATTGCACTTCGCAGCAGAGTCACAAGTGACGAGTGGAGGTCCATGGGGTTTTATAAGAATGGGTATAACTTTTGGCTTGTCTCGCAACTGCTTATTACCAACAAGAACGCTGTTGATGTGGTGATGCAAATGGAGGTCCACTGCGAAGATAAGTTGGAGAAGCTGAAGGTATTGTTGCTTGACGACCAGGAAGATCTATAACTACAACGAATCTGGAGATTTTTGTCAATCTAGTAACCTCGGCTTGATGGGCTGAGGCTTTGGGCCCTTTTTTATTGTTAATATTACCCCCGGCCATTATACGTTGATATAAAGGGATTTCCCAAATTGTCTCGAAACGCTAAATCAACGCATTGGGTACAACTTCTCTCTCCTTGGGTTCCGTGGCGTATATTGGATGCGGGGTCTCCTAGCTAGGTGCTCGATCGATTCATCAGGGCTTTTTACACAAGTTATGGCAGATAGACAGACAGTATGTGCTATGCTATGTTACCTCGACATCGTATCCGTGAAATGCCTTGCCCGAGACACTTTTAGCATAAATTATACCCTGACATTCTCACGCTGCTGCTAATTCCAAAAGAAATGCAAGGGCTGATCAACAGCCAGCCACAGCAGCTGTGCATACTTATACTAGAGGCCCCGCGAATATGTGGAGCTGAAATGGTAGCTTCAAAGTATTAAATCCGTACCCCATACGATGGTTCAGGTCAACTGATTCTCGATATCACTGTTATTTGAGACTATATAATGTCTTTTAGACACTAATCTATCAAGTGAGGTATTCGATTTTGCGAAAATATAATAATTGATTACCTCATTTTACACTCACGAACATCGTACATCGCTCAAATTGCGCATTAATCGATGAGACCTAGTAAAGGTCCCTTCAATATTATTATCATGTCAGTTCCTCTATGCTTGACTTCTTTGTATTGTGCAAGCATCCGATGTTGACGTTACAACACTACATGCCTGTCGAGATTGACTGATTTATCTCGGCATGAATATTCATTCCAGTCAATGTGATGTAGGACATGCATGCATATTTTCTCCCATGTACCCAATCAGAGATATCTGCAATGCAGTGGCTGCATGTGATATTGGGCTGACCTGCAGAGTGTCATAACCATCAACTTTCCACATTTCAATGAAGGATCGGCATGGGAGCCCAAAGACAAAATCCAAGGGGTATCACGGAGGACCTTAACAACATAAGTGCCCAGGTCCACAGCCAAGGCAGACGCTATTCTGCATAGAAACAATAGTGTCTCCGCACAATTATATCTCCGATCGAAACTAGTACGTGACAGACATATGCTATGGATATGTTCCGAGTCAGAATGCATCACTCTAGCTTCCACTACTTGACCACATCTTCTCCCAAAATCCCCGACCACTTTCAGACTACTTCGTACTCAGTACTTCGTCTAGTCCTACTTTTAGATGAGCAACTATGTCAGGAATTCCGATCCCTGACGATCTCGTTGATCTCGACGATCCTTTCAGCTCGAGATGCACGAACTTGACTAGCGTCCCCACACATCTTCTCCTGTTTGATTTATTATTGTGGCGTTCACGCACTCTGTACTCCGCACGGAGAACCCCGTAACACGCAGCACGTAACATTGCAGATGCCTATAAAGGTCCTTGTACGGCGTGTGCTGCCGTCTGATTTTAGTTGAGCAGTCGCACATATCTTTCACGATGGTCCTCATCAAGGCAACATTCGCGTCTGTTTTTGTGTCCCTTTTGGCATGTGCCACCGCTGTGGAAGTACCTAAGACTGACTACGATGTCATCGTGGTCGGTGGAGGTCCCGCAGGTCTCAGTGCAATTAGTGGTGTTTCTCGTGTCCGCCGAACGGCTCTCTTGATTGATAGCCAGGTGTACCGCAATGCTGCAACCCGGGAAATGCACGATGTCATTGGAAACGACGGTGAGATTGTACTCTAAGTCCACCCCCACCACAAGGTCTCTTGCCTAACCTATATCATCCTCATCAGGCACCCCGCCCGCTGCATTCAGAACTCTGGCTCGAGAGCAGATCCTGAAGTATCCAACTGCCCATATTACCAACGAGACTGTGAAGTCCATCGTTCCTTCCAAACAGGGTGACTTCTCTGCCTTTACAGTGACCGACAGCCAGGGCAAGAACTACACTGCCCGTAAGATTGTGCTTGGTACTGGTGTTCGTGATGTCCTACCAGCTACTCCTGGTCTTCAGGAAGGATGGGGCAAGGGTATCTTCTGGTGTCCGTGGTGCGATGGCTACGAACACAGAGACCAGCCCTTTGGAATGATCGGTGATATCACCGATATGCTAAGCAACGTGTTAGAAACCCACACCCTGTACACAGATATCATTGCATTTGTCAACGGCTCGCAAACTGCAGATGGCGAGGCTCGGGCAACGGCAAAGGTCGCAGATTGGAAGGAGCAGCTTGCCGCGTGGAACACTACCATCGATAACCGCACAATCACTTCCATCGAGCGTCTTCAGGATGGCGGCAAGGATAGAGATGAAAAAGAGCACAAGCAGTTTGACAAGTTCCGCCTTCATTTCACTACCGGCGAGCCTGTCGAGCGGAATGCTTTGATTGTCAACTTCCCAACTGTCCAGACCTCCACCCTCCCAGCTCAGATGCACCTGAGCATGGTCGGTGACAAGATCAATGTTACCAGCGGGATGCGCACTAGCGAGTCCGGTGTCTTTGCTGTCGGTGATGCCAACAGCGATGGTAGCACCAATGTACCTCACGCGATGTTCAGCGGCAAGAAAGCAGCTGTTTTTGTACACGGTATGCTTCATTCTACTTATTGATGCTAGATAAACGACTGACAATATCTGATGCAGTGGAAATGTCTCGTGAGGAGTCGACATCCCAGATTTCGAAGCGCACCGGTCTGTCTCACCGTGAGCTCGAGAAGGAAGCCATGCGTGCGATTGGTAACAACCTAGATGACCAGTGGAAACGCGCTCAGGAGTAATTGACTTACTTGACTACGGTTGTGACAGCCGGCTTTGGCCGGGCCCTCCAACGTTTACATAGTCAGCTAGCTGTACTCTGTCATATGATAATAATTAATGACCTATCTACCATATCTCATCTTGCTGTATCTATTGAAGCGCGTTACTTTCAATCTAATAGGTAGTATAAGTATTTTGTTAGCCCTAGCCCACAAGCTCTGTGGCTCAGTCCATTTACGAGCACACTCCTAGATAAACCTCCACAAAGCAACAACCCTAACCCGCCCCAGCCCACTAATTCGCTAGGCTTTGGGTCCGGTCCTTAGGCCCACCACTGGGCTACGGGCCCGCGAAAGCTTTATAGGGCCCAACAAGCACTAAATAGTACGAAGATTCTCAGAAGCGTGCCTTTTTTTCATCACCTTATGTTTAGACGCCGTTTTGAACCTTTATTTACAGGTGAGATTTTACTATTCCGCAGCGTGTATTATTGATACGTAGTGAAACTTATATATTACTTTTCAATACGGGAACAACCACACATTATTCAAGCATGTTCTAAACTACAGGGGCTCACTTAAGAGAGTGGTACTCCCGTATAAATCCTATATGGGCTATAATGGGGGCCTTGATGGCCCCCACGAATGGACTGTGGGTTGGGCTTCGGGCCCATTTATCGGTCTCGTGGAGGTTTACTCCTGGTTGAATAGCAGATTGATCTGCTTGACTACGGACTAGTATGGGATATATACAAGTTTTATATGGAATCTAGAGAAACATCTCAAATCAAGATGTAACGTTGGGGCCATATTCCTGAGGATGGAGTATCACAGAAATACTCCTGGCGCTATATCTGTATCACATTTCAGATACATACCGTACCGTACCGTAACTGATTCAACTGGGTCCAGGTCCGTCCCGTGCGGCCCGAGACCCATCACATTCCGGGGATGAGATTCGAAGAATGTTACTCCTTGCAATTCAGAGCTAAGCGGTCTTGTGTCTTGTAGCTGATCTACCGATCTTCGCCAAAGTTTTTTGTAGTTCAGTTCTGTGTGCGGAGTGCGTGGTTCTTACCTGTATTTATGTGTAAACCATACTCCGTATTTCGTAACGGGGTAACGTGGTTGACGAACATTGTACGTATTGCAGGAAAGGGAACCGTGTAGGACAAATTCAAGAATCAGATCGAAGAAACTCGATATTAACTACCAGTAAAGGGAGCCTTTGCATTTATACCACTTAGCAACTGCAACAATCAGTATAAGACCTAACTCGATCCCAATTTGCGCAATTGTTATTTGGCATGGTTTTAAGTTGAGAATGTGGATGCATGATCCCTCTTGAGCTCTAGAATGCCGGAAAGAAAGTATTAAATTATAAAAACGACAAACACAATGTACCAAAATCTAGGTTGATAAGCAAAAAGGATTCTGAGTGGAGGTATGAGGATTATGCAATGGGGCATATTGTTGGGAGCCATCTCTCTCTGCTCGGGTATAGTATAGACCGGCCAAGGCATTGTAAGCTAGTATCACCTCCATTCTCACAGTTGAAGCTACAGTGCAAACAATCTGAGTGGATCGAAAGCTAGCATAGTCAGTAGGTATGTAAACATGTACATGTGAATCGTCAAGTTTTCTTTGCTGTAAAAGGTATATTCTGGTGTATAATCTGCTTCCATGGTCATAATATTCCCCACGATGAGTTGGAACACTTTATAGTGTAATCCGGAACTTGAACAAATCTCTTTCAACAATCTCACTTTTTTTCCCCTCCAGCTCCTCCACGTCCCAATTTGCACTGACCATCCGAGCACTCAACCACTCACGTCTTTCCTTTCCAAGCCACACAATGATATCTGCTGGAAGCTCTGGCGTATCAACAAAGATATCTGGGAAGATACCTTCTAGTTTGTCTGCCATTTCCGTCCTGATGGCCCCGGGATGAAGAGCCAGCGCAATCAGGCCTTCATTTCTATGCTCGCGGGCAAGGCTTTCTGAAAAGCGGCAGATAGCAAACCGGGAGTTCTGATACGCAGACCCACCCGTCGTCAGCAAGTGAGCTCCAATCGATGTCAAGTTGATGATTGTTCTTGTGTTGGATCTCAATATCATTGGAAGGAGATAGCGGCAGCATAGGTACGGGCCCTTGATGTTGACATCCCATCCTTTCATCCAATCCTCTGGGTCGGAGTCGACAATGGGTATCAGTTCCGGTAGATATCCGGCATTGTTCACGAGAATATCCAATTTTTCTTCGAAAGAGTCATTTACTGCTGTTGCAGCAGCTTGTACTGATTCCTTTGAGCTAACATCAACCTCTAATGCGAGGATTTGTGGCTCTGGAAGATTTGAGTTTGCAGCTTCTGCTTTCAGCTCTTTCACGACTTTATCCAGCGATGAGCGAGCTGCGATTGCGATCTTCGAGATGCCAGCTTTTACACAGCGGATCGCTGTTGCCCGTCCAATTCCTCTTGAAGCACCCGTGATAAAGATGGATTTGCCTACAAGCTCGGTTCCTGTTGGTGTGATGCAGGGGTAGGTGTCATTGCGATTTGAAACGAACGCGGCCCAGTCGAAGGCATTGGTTGGGCCGATCTGATCTAACTGTTCAGGGGTCATATTGGATGGTTATAACCGAAGCCAAAGTCTAGGAGGGTAAATGGGTTACAGGCTTTCCTGGGGGACCTGGCCATTTAATTCACATTGGCCAATTGCGGGGTAATTTGGGATCGATTAATATGAAAAGTACAAGCGAGGTCGAAAGGGACCAATGATAGTTGATGCACCCATATCGCGATGTAGTTCCCGCGTGAGAAATGACTATATATATTGGACCACTTTGAATCTATTACTTGATCTGTTTATTTGCACTCTATGGATACCCTTGGACTACTCTATTTAGAAACACACTTGACATCCAAAAGATCTTCGTCAACCTGAAAATACAGAGAACGAGTTAGTACATATGTTGGCAAGGTGACACGGATCTACAAGATCAACTCACATTTGTGCAAGTGAACTGATCATCCCCATCGGGGCTAATAACATCAATGTTACTGGCGTTAATATTCGAGCAAACCTATACAAGTTAGATGGTGAGTTATAATATGCGGTTTGCAAGCACTTACATCAGGGCTCGAGCAGACAATCATCCCCACATAAGGGTCGCGTTTGCCAGAGGTGACACCCTTGATATTCTTGAAGACAATATCTTCAATAACAAGTTTGCTCTGTGAAACGTATGTATTAGTCTTCGATAATCGGAAATAAGTGAGAGTGAGTCTGTTGTGGAATGAAAGAAAACAGGAAACGAAAGAGATGGACACGTACTGGGAACTCGTTGCATAGAGTCAAATTCTTTTGACCATAGCACTGGGTCACTTCGATGGCATAGTCGACATTGTCAATGGTCATTCCGTCATAGGTAATGTTCTTCACCAGGCCGGATCCACCGCCGCCCTGGAGATCGGTAGACATTGCAGCGGAAGCCCCAGGCCACACTTTGATACGCGCACCATCCTTCATGCGGTTGTTAGAAACGTAATTATCTCATCCACGTATTACTCCACTTACCGATGCGTTGAACATGGAAATATTGGACACAAGCACATTCTGCACGATATCAACCTCACCCGGGTATTGGCCCAGAGAGCCGACGGAGATACCGTGGGAGCCGTTACAATGAAGGCTCTGAACCAGAATGTCGGTAACATTAGGCTTGAACGAGACGCAGTCTTTCATATGGTTAGTAAAGCAGATCAAATGAAGTTTGCGAGGGAACTGTACCGTCTCCATTGTTAATCACAGAGTTCTGGATAACAACATTGGTGGAACGATAGAGGTCCCTAGTAATGGTTTTAGTCAATGACAGCTCGTAGCGCTCTTGATGCAGATAGACTTACCATCCATCAGTATTCTTAGCCACATTCTTACTGCTGCTGTATCCACTGATATCAATTCCGTCGAAGAGGATGTTGGATGAGTTTGCCACAAAGTGATACCACTGAGGCGAATAGCGAAGGTTGAGAGGTCCAATGGTACCTCCATTCAGTCCAATGATACCCACCAGGATTGGTCGCAGGATAAGGGGATCCTTTGCATACAAGTCATACCACACCTGGCCATTTCCATCCAGGGTGCCTTCACCGTAGAGATTGACATCCTCACCACCGATCTGGAAGAAGGTTGTAGCGTTTTGGTATACATGGCTGAACGCATTCTTTTGCCAATAATCCGTGTCATCAGTAAATTGGACATGACCTTGGATTTCTGTTACAGCTTGCATAAGCATTCATTCATCTGATATCGAACGCAACACACATGACTTACCAAGATCTACATGCTTCAAAAAAGTCATGTCAAGTGCCTTTCCAATCGTATATGTCTTGCCGGCATCAAAGACAACCTTTCCGCCGTTGTTGCATTTCTTCAATGCCTTGAGAACATTGGCTGAATCGTCGCGTCCATTGCCATGATTGGCTACATGACACGTGCGAGTTCTGGCATGGGTGGCCGGAAGGGGCTTGAATGGGTGATGTGGCTGGCACGCGTCGTTTCGAGAGTGTTCCTTGGCCTCAACTGCACCGCTGATTGACAACCAAATCCCCAAGGCTTGGGTCAAAGTATTTGAGATCTTCATCGTCGGTGTCAAGAGAATGTGGAGTTCTTGAGTTGGATCGGCAATCTTCCCGGCTGAAGACACTTTTCTGGTACTTCCAAGGCAGCTTATATATAGTCTCGGAATTGACAATTTACTCTGTTTACCCCGGTCACTCTCATCTGGGGTCAACGCTAAACACCGCCCCTTGCGGTCAGCGGTGGGGTGACCTCATCTCCTTCATTTACTCCGGGGAAACGAGCTAGCAACTCCACGATGTGTGGAGAAACCGGGGCATAGCCATGGCCTGTATGGCGAGCTTCCGTCTCATTGAAGGGTTACAGACGAATTGACTTTGCGTTACGTGAGGGTGGTCCCCAGGCAGGTCTGATAGGAGGAATCTTTGGCGTGATTTCCCCGATTGGGAGGAAAATCCCGGATAAATTGGGTACAGCTCACAGCCCTAATCTATATGCATTTCAAACAAATGATGCCAAATATTTCAAGCATCATAGTTCTCCGAATTCCAACTACCAGACAGAGTATAGGTAGGCTTATAGAACAAATGCTACTGGAAACTCTTCAGAACCCTGGATGTCTCGCAAAAGAAACGGTAACCAATCACTTCGAATCATGCTTTATATGTACAACGGCGGTCCAGTAAAAGGGCCAGGTTGCCAGCCCAGAGGAGATGAGATAGCGATCATCTGAATTGAGCAAGCTCGTTGAACCCCGAGATTGCCTTAAAGATTCACCTCAGCACAGGTAAGAGGTCCCTATAGATACCGATCTAGATGTATGAGGAACACTCTTCTAAGTTCCCCTGCCGTCACCACAGACTCCATTTTATATCTAAGTCGACTTCTCAATAGCCTTCTTCACGGAGCCCTCAGCCGCCTCGGCAGTGGCCTTGATGGAGTCGACAGCTTCGTGTTCAATTTCCTTGGCGGCTTCGATGGTTGAGTTGGACTGGCTACGCTGCCACATGAAGATACGAGTCACCTGGACGGCACCAACGCATCCGAGGAAGAAGTTCACAGTGGCGAGCCTATATAGTTATATCGTGTTAGTGTGGGCGCCAGGGCTTTTTATTGGATTCAACATACAGGACGTTACGGGGCTTGATAATAAGACACCAGCGAGTCCAGATGGCACCAGTGCCCATCAGAGCAGCGTTCTGGGTGAGGGAGAGCTTCTCAGCGGGACGGGCGAAGTCGGAGACACCGGCGAGGACCAGGGCCCACTGTTGTAGATGATTATGTTAGCCATAGTGCTTAGCAGATGCACGGAGAAGTCTCTCGCAGTATGGTGACATTTAACAGAGATATTGAATCCGAAAGGGTGACTTGGGGTGTACGTGTAGATGGCATATCAGATGGGGAGGTCAAGCTGTGGTACCTTCATAACAGGGGCCCTGCAAAACAGAAGTTAGCTTCAATTCGCAGTAGCAAAAGAGACAAACGATGCAGCATGGTCAGGATTCTTACCAGAAGTGGACAGTCTTCACACCAACAGGGCTGTTCCATAGACGCTGGAACATGGTCTGCTGCTCCGCAGCACCGGCTTCGGAGCTCTGCCAGCGGAAGCCCTGGGCACCCGGCCGGCGGAATGGCGCAGAGGCATTGCGGAATGCAAAGCGAGCATTGTTCACAAAGCGGAAACCCACGCGCGACGACATGGTGATAGCTGTGATGGTGGTTCTGGTGAGAGGTAAGACGGATGGATGCCGGTGATCGGTGAAGGGGGAGTTTTCCGTCTAAGAGCGTAGATAGGGCAATTACCACCACAACCACAGGTGTATGAGATTACAGTCTAGGGAAGATTACAGGACTACTCTCAAGCAGTCTATTCTATCTACTTCAATTTATTATATCTCGCTTTCTCTCTATCTTTTGCGCTGTTGCTACCTACCTATGACGCTCCCCAGAGGTAGAAGCTGATGTAAGCATATTGCGCTAGTTGATATTGGGACTAGCGGGATTATGGCTCTGCGCAGCGAATCAACGCCGACGTGAATAATGCACTGCATCGCAGACTGTCCAGCAAGTTAATCCCACTGCTTCCACACTCATCCCTCCGTGGCTCGTCTGAGACCTCTATTTCCCTAATCCTTACATTTGCTTGACCATTCCACCACAATGTCTGGCAAGTACGTTTTCACTCAGGGCCTGAAGGAGCTCCGCTTTCTCTTCTGCCAGACCTCCGAAGCGAGCGCGGCCACAAGGTGCGTACACTCCAACCCATGGTGAATTGAGTTTCAGTCCATCGATTGACCATCTTTTGTGCCTCTAGATCTTTCCTGAACCGCGCCTACCCGACCATGAAGAAGCACAACCCCCAGACTCCCATCATGATTCGCGAGGCCGCGGGCACCCAGCCGCGAGTCTATGCCCGATATGGTACGACATGACACCTTTCAAGTCCACTGTGTGGTCTCTATATACAAGCGGGTCAAACTAACGTGACTGGTTCCTCTCAACAGCTTTCGGCCAGGAGAAGCAAGAAGCGCTGTCCGGTGATTATCCCCCGCCAAACATAATTTTACATCGAGGCGCAATAACTAATTGACGTTTCTAGGCCTGTCGGACTCTCAGATCGAAGAGCGCATTACACAGTTGGTGAAGCAGCAGCTATAACTTCTTTTTGTTCCTGCAGATCCATTTTATGCCCCCGCGTTCCCACCGTTTTACACCCATCTTCTGTACCTATAGATGAAATCGAAGCTCATATCCAAAACAATTCCAATTCCAACTCAATAATTTACATTGATCAATTGATGCTATGTCTTATAACGCACTACTAGCATTACCAACCTCGCCAAACCGATACTGCGCCCAGCTCATACTCCCTTCGGGGAGGGTCCAAATCCTCTTTCCCAGGTCCTCACCCGCAGCACCAGCCCCAATATGAATAGGCAGCAAATGCTCAAAGGAAGGATGAGCCTGGCGTGCATCCGGCCTCTTCATCAGCTCAGCCATAGCCTTCTGCCGTTCCGCCGGCGCAGTCGTCACGGCATCCTTGAGCGCCTGATCGAAGCTGACTGCATATGGCATCGGGGTCGGATTGCCAAACGCAAAGCGCAGATCACGCAGGTTATGCACAGCCATCCCGGACACAACAATCATGATATTTTGCTCGCGAAGCTTCGCGACTGCCTGTCCGAGCCGGTAGTGCTGATCTGGGTCTTCGCTGCCGAAAAGCGAGACTTGCACGATGGGAACGTTCAGCGGGTTTGTTTCTGGTTCGAAGGCTGCATTGCCCGCCATCAGCATGAAATTTCGCGTTTTGATGCAAATTGTCACATACCGCACTTGAAGCTAACCCAGACGCCGTGGTCGAGTCCGCGCTTCACGCCCTCGGCCGGGATCTTGGCTTCCTCCAATAACCTCAGCACTTCGTTCGCGACCTCCTTGCTACCCACATTCGGGTACTTCTCTTTATAGTAATGGCTCGGGAAGCCACCGAAGCTAAATTGAAATTAGTTCTAAATTCGCAGGACAGAGGCTGGGATTTCGATATCACACATACTCATAGATCAGATCAGTCTTCTCGGCGGTATTCACCTGGATCGAATTTCGACCTGTCTGCCAATGCGCCGAGAATACCACAACGGCCTTTGGCTTGACCTTGGTCGTTATCTCGCGCCCGATCTGGGCGAGCTTGAGGTGTGCCGGGTGGTCGACCTCGTACATAATGTTTGGCTGATGAGCATCAAATCAGCTTTCATCCCATAGTAAGAACTGGGATGTGGATAACTCACCCCGCCATGGCTGAAGAAGTAAATGGGTGTCTTCATGCTGGACTTCACGTGGCCACTAGTGACTGGTTCTCCTTTCACTGTCGCGGCTGCTGCAACAGATGCTGAAGCCGATAGAGGTACTGCCGCTGAGCGCGCGGAAGATCCAAAGAGACGTCGGATGCCGAACAGATTGGCGGTGTCTCCCCAGAATAGGGTAATAAGTACAGCTGTGACGACGGTCAAAAGAGAGACAAGAGCGAGTTTACGTCCGCTGAATGAATTTGGTGTTCGTATTTCCGAGTTGTTATGTTGGCTTGATTCGGAAGACATATATATATATGGCTTATTGTTTCGGATAGGGCCGGCAATGTACTACTCAGAAGTCTGAATAGCGGTCGTATCTACACTTAAATGTCGTAGCAGAAGAAAAGGAGATGTTACTACCGTGGAACTAGGGCTTATTAATTCAATGATTTCCGAAGCGCGTAGAGCCGATTCCAAGGGCGAGTCTTGGAAATTCAATCCACATGAGTGTGTCAGCGCGGAATCTGCCCGCTAACAATCCCATATATCCGCTTTACGGCATTGACTCGGATTTACGGATATCTTGTTCATATACCATGTTTACCTATACATTGTGCAAGTATTGAAGTTGTCCAACGATCTATTAATGTATACAAATGGTAAAACCATTCCGAGATATTGACCCCATCGTGTTCATTCCAATCATGCACATCCCATTCGTAAAAAAAAGAAGAATAAAAAAGGAGAGAGAAAAGAAAGAGAAAGAAAAGAGCCACTGGAAAGAGGAAAAGGGGTAAAAAACAAGGGTAGGAAAAATAGAAGAAAATAAGAATAGTCATGCAGTCCAGAGCTAGAAAAAAAGCGTTCTTGGCCGGGATAGAATACATCAAAGGCCGGTGGTCATAAGGGGAAAGGCATACAAGCCTTATCTAAAGTGTAACATGTCATGAATGGATGAATAAATATCCAATTACATGAGAACGCAATCCCCATCACTCTGTTTGTTGACAGCCGAGCGTGATAGGCGAGTCTTTTGCATTCGGCTTCCACCCTTCTTGAGGTCTTCAAGACGCTCGCGGGCCTTGGGGAACCCTTGGGCTAAAAGGGAAATGAGGGTCAGCAGAGATTACAACGATGAATAGTAAAAGAAGTCAACTCACCAGCTGCGCGCCAGTACCATCGCTTTGCGTCATCCAAGTTCGCAGTGACACCGATTCCGACCTCGGTGAAATATCCCATAGCATATTCAGCCTTGGCAAGACCTGCGGTAGCGGCCTTACGAGCCCACAGGTAGGCCTCGGTGTCGTTCTGCGATAGAATCCCCTCTGATCCGGTGAGATACCATCCACTAAGGGCGAGTTCACTCTGGTGTTCACCCTGGGCCGCGGCGCGAGTGTACCAGATGATACTCATGCGGTTATCAATGGGGCATCCCATCAGGCCGTACTCGTAGGCAGTACCAAGTCTGAATTGAGAGAACTTGTAGCCCAACTCGGCAGCTTGATGGAATAACTGGGAGGCATACTGTTCGTCGCGGACGATGATGTCATTGCCACCGGCATTCTGATACATGAGGGCAAGTTCGTGAAGCGCATGTGGGTTTTCCTCGTCCGCACGGTCAGCCGCTCGCTTGAGCCACGATACACCCTCCCGAGGGTTCCGGGCTTGACCCAGCAATCCCTTTAGATTAATCATACCCATCTTGTACATAGCAGGTGTATCACCGAGCGCAGCGGCACGCTTGTACCATTGAACGGCCTTGAATGGATCACGTTTGGTACCACCGCCCTCTTCCTGGCCAATCTCGCAGCATACGGCCACGCGGTATGCAGACTGTGCGTGTCCTTGCTTCGCAGCAGAGTGGTATAGCGAGAAAGCTTCCTTAGGGTCGACTTCCAGTCCCAGTAAGCCCTCGCCGTGGCAGTCGGCTAGATAGAACTGGGCTTCGGAGTACCCGGCCGCAACAAGCTTTTTGACAATCTTGAGTGCATCAGCAAGGTATTTCTCCTTGGCCTTAGCTTTGGTTTTAGGATCGAGTCTGCTGTCATCCCCTATCAGAACCGTGGATGCCTCGACCAGCTTTTTGGCCAGAATGAGTTGAGTTTTCATATCGGACGGATTAGCTCGCGCCTTCTGTTGCAGCTGCTGTATCTCTTGGATTGTGACAGGCGCCTGAGGCGTTCCACTGGGCGCCATCATTGGCTGTGGAGCAGCAGGGGCTGGAGTGGATTCAGGAGCGCTGTACTGCCGGACCGGCGCAGGTTTTGATGCCTGATCATGACCAGGGCGGAAGGGAGCTGGGTGGTGAGGAAGCGCATCGGGATTCTGGTGGGGATCCGACATCTCGACCTGATCGTGGGTATAGCCTGGCTGGTTGGTCCGGGTCGGGGAAGGTCCATGTGAATAACCGGCATAATCCTCATAACCATTCGGTCCGTACCCAGCAGAGCCTGGGTGATCAAAAGCGGGAGCGTGTGAACTTTCTCCGGGAATGTCAAACTGGAAACCTGCATTTTCAAACTGATTGGTACTACCTCCGTGTTGCAAATTTGGCTGAGATTGGGAGCGCATAGGATCCACCCCATTCGGGGAATACGAGTAGTCCCCCGGCGAAGGGGTCGGGGCATGGCCTGGTCTCTTGGCCGGTGTTATGTCCAGCCCCATCTCATCAATCGGACCGCGCTGATGAGCGTCTATAGCATCGAAGTTGGGCATATCGGGTTCGTCAGGACCGTTAGACTCATAATAGCTGTCCAGAAAGTCTTTGGGCGCATATGAAACACGATTGGCGGGCTCCGGGGGATCATTAATCCAGCGGCGGGGATTATTAGGCCTGGGTCTATATCGTTGGGGGCACGAGATCGTGGGGTTCGCATGCTTCCAGCAGTATCAGGACGCATAGGAGGTTCTGGGTATTCTGTTTCTTGGTAGGTAGATTGGCCTGGGTAGAGTGGTGCGCCTGGAGCGAGTGGCATCGTTGCGCTTCTTGGTGGTGGAGGCATAGAGGGCCCCATGGATTCTGGATAGTCTCTCTCCCGTCGATCTGGTCTGCCTGAGCTGGCAGCTCGCACCGGGCCCGTTGGGTAGCCACCTCGGCCCCGCCCGGGGGGAGGTCCTCGTGGAGGCGGCTGTCGCATATCCGGACGTCTTCCATTTGAGTTAGAGGTGTGCGGTCTAGGCGGGCCTCGGGCATTGATGTCCATTGCAGCCATATCGTTCTCTAGACCTCGCGGTGGTGGTCCGCGCCGATCCCTTGGGTCTCGTTGGCCTCTAGGGTCTCGCGGATCTCTGGGCGCCCTCTGGTCTCTTGGGTCTCGATTAGGAAAGGAGGGAAAGGGATTGTCGAAGGAACCCCCTGGGGGTGGGCGCGCACCAGCTTGAAGTCGGTCAGCAGGCGCTTTGGAGTCTTTGTTTGAATTTACATACGTGTTCTTGAGCGTGATTGCGGTGGTCTTCCGCCAGGAGGATAGCCACGTCGATCATCGTATCCAGGGCCTGGGGGTCGTCCATTTCCCGGGCCTGGTGGACCAGGTGGGCGCATCGAGCGTGGCTGAGACTGTGTAGCATACGGTTGCGAACCGGGGGAGCTGGACTGGTAACTGTATGCCGCATCGTCGTAGCCGGGATCTGTCTGCTGGTAGTTATAGCTACTCATGCTACCATCACTGTATCCTGCGTGGGAGCCATCTTGCGAATATCCTCCTGGCGATGTCATGGGAGGAGCGGGATTGTTATATTGTCGCAAAGGCGGCGGCCTCTGCGCGGAATGTTGAGGGTATGACATGGCGCAAGCCGACAAGCGCAGTATACAATGGTGATTCAAGTAGTCTCCGAGGATTCACGGGTGAAAATCTTTGTCGCATGCAAGGGGATCGGTAAAAGGGTTCCAGGGCTCCAGGGCTCCAGGGCTGTAATTTGATGTTAGCTCATCCATTTCGCGATCCATGGATCTGAGGCAACCGGCACTCCACACTCCCTTACCTCGCGAGATGCTCGGATAACGCGTCTATGGCATCAACGGCAGCAAATCACATTCCAAAGTGAGCACGAAATTCAAAGTAAATCCAGAGGATCAAAAGGATCAAGAGGGGCAGAATGATTTAGGGGCGGTCGGAGCAGGTGACCTCTAAAACACTTGACCCCACAGGGAAAAAACCCATACACTATGTCAGACGGAGTACGGAGTACCCTTTGTATTTAATCTCCTTTACCACCTTTTAGAATCCCATTGGTTTATCTTCTGAGGACGGAGTATCCATTTTCCTATTGTTATAGCCGCCTCTTGAATTACCCGGAAACATACTTTGATACCATCGAAAAAATCGGGAAACAATGTATTGTTGTATATAGTAGGATGTGAAGCTCACCGGTCAAATTTAATGTATCCCCTCGGTTCCTGTCGATCAGGGGGTTCGTAGGTCCTGCAGACTTTCTCATGCCCATCACAATCAAAACTTCAAACACTGAGGACTCTGTTGACATCCAGTTGTACTCCCCTATTTATTGTATACCGTAGTGCTAGCCATTTTGCTATCCAAATACAGGTATTGTCAGCGACCCAGCCCCGAGCTCTAGGTAGGGATCAAACAACGATGACCAACTCTGTGTTCACCCGTGGACCCATCGTAAATCGGGCAACACCCTAGGGCTGCCCAAGGTTGTATAACACACTAGGACCTCAAAAGGTAAGAGATTTGTCAGTATCAGGAGTACATGAGAACATCGAAGTCTCCACATCTGTCTCGGAACACTTCCTCACGACGTCACAGTCAACAAAAATGACAAAGATGACAAAAGTGTGGGGAGAAACAAAAGACGTGAGACACGCTCGATTGGGCAAAGCGTACTGCGCCACATCGGCTGCGCCACGCCGCCTCCCAAGAGCAAATGAGAGCCGCGATGATGTTGATGATCTCCATCGGTCTCAGCATCTCTACATCTCCCCGAGTTATCCGATAACCATATCCTTAGACCGAAGTTTTCAATCGGTCATCAGCATCCGCACTTCAGATACACAATGTCACGCGCCGGATTATGGGCGAAGACAATAGCTGGGTAAGTGATACTCGACTGCACTGTGACAAGGACTTTTTGCTCACAATTAGCTCCCCCATAATAGTGGCCTTCTCATGGTCGTCGGTGGCCCCGCACTTGTCGAGTATATCCGACCCACCGATGAAGAGCTGAGGAAGCGATACAACCCGGATCTGCGGAAGCGCAGCACCGAACAGGGAGAGCGTCGGGCGCAGGAATTCGATGACTACGTCAATAAGCTGAAGCACTGGTCCAAGTCCGATAAGTCCAGTACGTTATGTTTTCCCAATCTGCCCTAGAAATGATTATCTTTGTGAAATCGTATTCGCTCGGGCCTGAAAGTGCATTGGTGGCTAATGGTTATGGCTAATTGTTTTTAGTCTGGTATGCCGCTCAGGAAGAATTAGATCAGAAGCAGGCAGCATTGGAGGCACAGCGCGCACAGGAGAAGGAACAAACGCGGACACAACGGGAGGAGATGCGCAAGGAGATGCTGGGTGAAAAATGATCCCCCGACTAAACCACCTCGCCTCTACCATCTGTGATCATGCTGTGTCCGCACAGAGAATCCGATCTACCTACTCATCCGAATCTCCTCCGCCTCTCCTACCATTGACTCAATTGGTCACCCCATAACTTCTTTTCCGTCCCGGGGCTTCGAGGCCCCGAGGTTTATTGCGCTATCTGCAATATTGGATATCCCTGGGTGTATGTCATGATTTTTATTGGTTGTACGATATGTTTGCGACTCCTCTCTCATCTTTGCATCTGCAGCCTCAATATCTGAGGCTTTCACCAATGTATAACTACCGATTTCCGGTCTGTGTCTCTTCAATACCATAATCTAAAGGCAAACCTCATTCTATTGCAACCACACTGCACATATCTACGTATTGCCACAAGTTTAGCTACTTCGTACGCGGTCATGTTTTGCAATGGGGCCTGGTAAAATTATAATCATTTTGTTTTGGTATTGAGGCTTCTCCCCTACGATTCAGAATACTACCTAGACATGCACCTACCACTTGGAGCATGTAGTGGGCCAATGAGCTAGAATGTTCATTAACCTGACGTGGTGTGTACACAGATATATATATATATACATCTTGCTCCACAAATATTACCCGTCTACGTCCCTGGATTGTGGAAAATGTCTGATATATATATGATACTCATTTGAGGGAAAATATGGACACAAGCTTGTTACTACAAAATATGCATAGCAAGCGCTACATAGATATCAACATGAAAGCAGCGGCACCAATAGGAATCAAAACTGCCAACACAGTAAGGATACCTGCGCCGGGTTTATCACTACCTTCAATTGCCCGAGTTCGAATATCGTTCTGCTTTGTACCTTCCGACCCATCATCCTCACCAGTGGCTGAGTTCCCCTTACTTGTGCCTCCACTCTTCGAGGTGACAGGCGCCTCAGCTGTATGTACCAAATTAGCCTTGAAGATCTCCAAAGCAGCCATCTGCTCGCCAATCCCGGTAGTGCTCTTGTAATCCGCGTGATCAGTCCAGATCAAGCCACAGGCATTATCGGGTCCGTTGCATTGTTCTGCGGCAGCTATTGCCGACGTTTGGATTTTCGACCGCAATAGCTGATCTGCGAAAGGTGCTAATGGAATCGTTGCCCCCATGAAACGTGCCAGATAGGCTTTGAAGGATCGTGAGTTGAGGTCACATTTCCCCCTTTCACAGGGCTGGGCCATTATATCCTGGCTGTTTGGGAAGAAGGTTCCTAGTGCGCTGATAATGCCTTCTATCCGCTCCCTCCAAACATCTGACCCGTCCGTCTAATCATTATATTTAGCAGGTGGCCAATTTTCAGCTGGGTTGTGCACATTCGATACACCTCAAGTACTCACAATGTTATACATATTGGCAGCCCCGTGGAGATACACCGCAGGCAGATATGCATGCTGGTCATGATTGATGACGGAACAATTGGTTGAAATGTCGGCACCGTCAAATATATGATATTCATTGCCAATGAATCCCACCGCCTCTGTCCAATCCCAAATTTTGTTGGCCCAATCCGCGAAGGTATTGTTTCCTGTATACCTAGCCAATCGAGCAGCGACGTTAAAGAACCCACCATTGGAAATAGTATTCTTATACGACCAGCCTTTGTTATGTTCAAAAGCCTGCCAATGCAAGCCGCCACCACAGGTGCTATCATCCCAGCGTATAGCCTGCGAGTTGAACACATTCTGCACAAGCGATAGCCATTGTGGCCGGCCTTTCGGTGGATCGGGATATTTAAGCTCGGCAGCCGACATCGCCGCAAAGCCCCAGAAGATCTGGTCGTCATTCCCGAGCGACAGCGTTTGATTCCGGGGCATGAAATTATTATCGTCGCCTACTTGATGGAGCAGGGCTTGGGTGGTGATCTCGTTCCACTTGGCATCACCAGTGTAGTACCAGTATTCGACCATTGCGCCGAACATCGCTCCGGCTTCCCACCAGTAATATGGATCGGGGATGTTTCCTGGTACATCGCCGGGATGGTCACCTGTATAGTATTGCAGCATGCCGGCTGCGGCGATTTTGGCAGCGGCCTTGATGGATTCTGGGTTCTTCGGAGTAAGCCATTGACCATAGGATGTGGGTAACATATGAATCTTGACATACTCTCGTCATTCAAGTTAAGATCAATAGACGCATGCGTCATTTGTGGCCCCAGCGTGGAGAGAAGGAAGATTGTGACACTGCATGATTGTGTTGGGTATCTCATGACGGGAAGGATTTATATTGAGGCAAATAAGGCAAAAGAGACTGCTTGAAATTCGAAAAGGATTCTGGGATGCCAAGGGTAGCCGAAATAAGTTTTCATTTCATTGCGATGACCTTGCTTGGAGAGATCAAGAGCCAAGCAATCTTGAAAGACCGCCGCGGGGGCCTCGGGGTGTTCATGAGTAAGGCAATTTGCCTAAGTATGACTTTGACAGGGTTTGGCATTGGCAGATGTGTGGCTTATACCTAGTTGTGTATGCATAGAACAAGTGATAGCCTCGTGCAGGGGGGCCTGGTTGTTCACTATGAGATGGCGGCCAGTTGACATCGTAAATAACAATAAGCAGAGATCGATGGATGGCAAAACTGATGTGCCTATAGCCCCAAGCTAAGACTTGGCAGGTATGATAGTATTTACCTAAGTGTAGGTACTCAGCTCCAGTCTTGTGGGTGGTGACACTAAAATTGGGCAGAAAGTAGCAACTTTGGAATCAGTTTGTCGTATGTACCTAGTCGCTACTGATAGCCCGTTGTCGCAGAATAAGCTGATTAGACTTTTGTTGACGTGTTGTGTATCCCACGCAGGGGATGGCCAATATCTCGTACCTCGCCAAGGTAGCTATGTTGCACATCACCTATCATATCTGGATGACGCAGGATTCTCCATATCTCTAGGCCCTACAGGTCTCTCCTCCCTTATTTCTCCCGAATTTGAACGCATGCAACAATACATATAGGTGATTTTGATGGCTAGAGAACACAGAGACTCCTTAGTCACACATGTGAGCGGTATACTTCATCATGGGGGATCCTTCAACGCCATCATCCGCTCTAAGGTCCTTCTATTATCAGTTATAGAAGGTATCTATGGGTGCACTGGATAGCGAGTTGACAGGATTGACCACTGGATCCTACTTCTTAGCAACCTCCCCACCTGTAACCTCCCCATAGGACCGAACCTACACCATTTAGAAGAACTACAAGCTATGAAATGAACCATGTAAGATGAGCCAAAGCCACCAAACTGCGCAATATTTCTGGCTTTGAAGGTATCTTTGAATTACATCGTTATGTATCGCAAGGTGGACCCGAGTAGGGGGTATTAATGCTGCTTCTGTGTGGACTGTTGCTGTGTTGGTAGATGATATCTAGACCATATGACAGCAACAAGCAGTACCATAAACCCTATAATCAAGGTATAACTCCAGAGGCCACTCTCAACGTTCTCGGTCTGACCTTGACCAAGTCATAAACCAGCAGAAACGTTACTCTCTCCAGCGGCGAGGGCTTTTTCAATGAATTTCTCTAGGTCATCAATTTCCTCGGGCGTCGCCGAGTGACCGAGATTCCTACAATAAAGAAATATCACATTAGCATACCACCACAACGCGGAACAACGGGGGACCAAAAACATACTCGTATTGATGGAAGGAAACATTCTCTAGGCCAATTTCCTTAAGTTTAAGCATCGAGGCCTTTCCGGAGGCGAATGGAACAACTGGGTCCTCTAGACCGTGAGCAAGGAAGAACGGCGTTTTCTTGTTGGCCCATTCCTCGGGCATGTAGTTCTTAATCCGATCGCTCAGCAGCATGTAGCACGACAGACCAAAGACACCACCAAGCTTCTCCTTGTGAGTCAGACCAGCGAACACGGACATCGCACCACCCTGAGAGAAGCCGCCCAGGATGATCCGCGAAGCCTTGATATCCTTATCCATCTCTTTCTTGATAAGGGAATTGAAGTACTCGCGGGAGCGGAGAATTCCTGTTTCGTCCTGGGTGCTGATGGATTCCTCTAAGGTCATCTAGATAAAGGATATGCTGGTTAGCGCTGGGAATTTATTTATCGATTTTGGTAATGGAGGGCTCACGTTGCCGCCAAGCTTGGCGATGTCGTACCATCCGGGCATACTCATGCCCATGTTCTAGGCGATATTTCGTCAATCTCGATATTCAAGTGATCATAGATATGAAGCCCACATACAACTGTGATCGGAATTTCGGGCGCATTGGGGAAGATGAAGGCCACCTCGTTAAACATGCCGCGGCGGCGCCAGGTCTGGGCAAGGGACATCCTATTAGAAATAGATAGTCAGAAGCGAGGCTCATACGCTTAAGCCATGTAAGTTACGGGTATATTCATACCATCCGGCACCACTATAGTTAAACACTGTCAGACTGGACACTATCCTCTCTCTGCTTCTGGCGATGCACTTACGTATCTCCCAACCCGTGGGCCATGATAACGGTGGCGGTGTGCTTTGTAAGCGCTGGAACCACGTAGGGATCGCGAATCATATTGAAAGCCGACATGTTATGAGACGTAAAAAAAGAGTAAGTTGTATGAAAAATCGAGAGATTTCTCCGACGGTTGGTTCCCCCACGATTCTGCCGCCGATGTTATCAATTGCTCACCGCCCACTTGCTCACCGCCCACTTGATAACAGCATCCGAAGATAGACTGAGGTCGGCGAGGTGAGACCTCACCTTGGAGGGTTCAATTGATGCATTATTAAACATTATAAAGGCCATACCTACCTAAGTAACAACGATCCCCGGTGATCACACACCGTCAATAGAGTATAATTCCTGCTTAATCGACTCAACGACTCCATTGACGAGATCAGCCTCCACAACCCCTTGCTGCCAAGAGACAGCCAACGCCAAACATCCATCTCCACCAGTGACAGCCGACACCTCAATTGCATTACCCATCACACTAGCGCATTGGGAAAATACCATCCCCTTGATAGAAGGCAGGTCAGGATTCGTTTGCGGGTCCAGAACGCCAACATTGGACACCTCAAAGCTCTTATCACGGTCCTTGCCAACCTTCGACCAACACAGTTCGTCTTGAAAATCATCCACAAATTGCAGCAGACTCGTACTAGCATTCTTCCCTTCCATTTTCAAGACAGACTGGATGGTCTTACGAGACCGTCTGGCCTCTGCCCACGGGAAGGACCCGTCAGATGGTGTCACAGTCGCTCGGGAATACGTCTCTTCGTAGTCCTGGACCCAGACACCCATTGACTCATCAGTGATAACATCTGGCAGCCAGCGGCGGCTCGAGAGGGCGCCAGTACACGCGAGTAGGGTAAACTCAGGCGGGATGTGTGCGAAGATAGAGCGGGCGATGATCGTCTGCAGGAGCGCAGTGATCGTCGTACCCTCTACTCGACATCTTTCTCTTACTGTGGTGACGAGTAGTTTCGAGAACGGCACAAGACGCAGGCGGGTTTGAGAGGGGACCAGAACCTTGGAGCCGGTCCATAGACCCGTGGGCCGTCGGGAGTAGATTTTTGCCTGGAAGATTTTCTTGGCAAGATAAGTTAAGGAAAGAGACATCGGGTGCACAAGCTCGATATTCGGCAAGAGAGGAAGCTCCGGTGACTTGATGATGGATTTAGTCTGGCCTGAGGAGTTCGTTGCCCCCAGGGCTCGTAGGAAGGTTTGATGGTAGGCTTTCCCAGAGGTTCCATCGCCAATGGCGTGGTGATATACAAATGCCGCAGTGAATTGCCGCTCATCCTCTATATTTAAGAGGACACAGAGCCTCCAAAAGGCATTTGGAACTCTGAAGGGCGTGTTGTGCTGGGTTGCAAGCAAGGTTTGCAGGTCAAGATCTGGAGCAGGCTCACCATTGGCTTCGGTGCCTAACAAACCTGGTTTCCTGTCCTGAAAAGAGACGACTTGGTCAAGATCAATCTGCGGTAGCCGCACAAAATAGGGGTCTTGTGTGTGATCGTCTGCGACGATGGCGGATAGTGACGGATGTTCCGCGATTGCGGCCTCGCATGCCTTATAAACATAGTCTTTGATAGGAAGCACGAATGAGTCTGGTAAGGAATACGTTGCTGATACAGCAACGTTCAGATAAAACCCAACCTGGTGGCGCGACGTTGAATATTGTTCCAGTCGACCTGATTGGGGTTAGGAATTGTTGACGTACGGAAAAAGGTTCCGATTGTTTTTTGGGGATCTACTGACCGACGGGACGCAATATCTCGAATTTCTCCATGATCAACTATGGCTAGCGCCTTGCAAACGGTTCTCTTCGGCTTGTTGGATAGCCAAAATGTATGAAGGTTGGCTCGCCCCTGATCCATTTTCCTGGTTGTTTGATTTAGATCAATCTTCCCGCACACGTGACACTTTAAAGTTTATACTATACCCATCTGCATCACAAAAGGCATTCTTTACTGCTGGAAAAGGAGAGAAATGGATGCTGAATCTATCATCTATCAAGCAACTAGCTTGTAAATGGCATTGAATGGTTGGGTTTGCAAAGATATCGCATTTGAGACAATTAGGTTGAAGAAAAGCCATAAAATAGTCATCTCATTCCCAAATGGATGCAGTCTGAGGTACCACTAAGGTACATTAGTATCGAGTTGCCTTGCAAGGGCTAAGTGCCTTGGAGACGAGGATGGCAGGTGGAATACAATTTTTCGAGCGTAAGATGGTTGTAGCATGGTTAGAAGATGGTATCTATTGCGTTTAAGTGAGCGGAGAATGATGGGACACAATGTTTTATCTTCTATTATGCATCGCTAAACTCTTGAAACCAATCAAAGATGGAGCAAAATTTTGAAGAACTGGCTTTTACAGCACGGCAATGCCACCGACCAGAGCAGCACCAATTACCCCCCAAGCGGCAGTTTGCATTGGCATAGCAGCACCCTTGGAAGTGGAGGACGGGGATGAGGACCCACTCTGTGCCTGGCCCTCAGAAGTAGACTCGTTGGCGTTGCGCGCAGCGGAGTCCTTGGAGAAGGCGGTGGCAACGAGGTTGGTATTATTGCTGCAGGCAGATGGAGTCTGGTATGTGACGTCGGAGGAGAATTGGATATCGGCGCACTGGATTGTATTAGTATACCGCAACGGACAGCGAACATGGACGAGGTTAGGGAAGTGAGCATACCGCATAGAGACCACCAGTTGGGTCACCGTTGGTCTGTACCTGAAGGGTAGCGTTCATTCCATTGGTGAGGTTACGGCCGATGAGCTTCTGATTGATCTCGACATGAGGAAGACAGAACTCGCCAAGGCCCTTGACCTGGAAAGTCGGAGTGAGAACAATGTTGAAGTTGTCCCCTGGATCGTTGCCAAGAGCAAGAAGGACCTCGACGGCAGTCTGGGAATGATGCATTTCAAGCGCGACGGGGAATGAGCCACCAGACAGTGGTAGCTTGGTGCGGTTGGATGACTGGCTCATCCCACCACAAGGGAAGTTGGTCATGGTATCTTCGTCAAAGCCACGCGAGGTAGGGTACATCAGCTTAAAGTGTGCGGCAGCCAACGGCACGATGGCCGAGAAGGCGAGCAGGGAGAACTTCATCGTGGGTATGATTTTGAAGATTTGGAAGAGGGGAAAGGCGAAAAAATTGAGAGTTTTAATTAGCGAGGATTTGAGGATTAAGAAAAGTGGGAGAACTCAGCTCTTTCAACTTTTCTATACGAGCTCTGCATAGAAAGTGAGCGAGTTAGCGGGACCTGAAGAAGGGTCCACCTATGAAGCCCCGTTGTTTCCAGATATTGTGAATGGGTATTTCCCCTCCAAGGCTGTCCACGTGTCGGAATCTTCCGACATCCGTAGACTGTTCTATTAAGCGGCCTCGGCTCCTATGCGCTGCACTTCACACTGACTTACTTTTTGCTGTATTATACCTGACGATTACACATCTGGACCTCAGTAGACTGTGGTATACTGTCATATGTCTTGAGAATCATCATATTCCCAGACTCTACTGTATAAACATGGACCTGCTGTTTTGGCTCGGACTATACCTGCTCGTGAATTAAAGCCTTCCGCTAGCGCTAAGAGTGGATATTACCCGATGACGCTAGTACCGATGTGGTTAGTAAATTAGCTCAATTGCGCGCGGAGGGCTTAGTCATGTCGTTGCATGCAGCTTTGGCCGAGCCGTAGATAAGGATTTAAGTGGAATGAGGGAATAAGAGAGATTTATGAGAACAATGTGGAAAGTGTAGGATCTCGGAGGAAATGTACCAAGTCATTCTGTGTCATTGCCAATTATTCCCCAACGCCAGCCAAATGCTACTCAAGGCCATATTATCAACATGCAAAAAAATGCATCAAATCAAAGTCAGAATCAAAACTCCTCAATGTCCGTGCTCATTCGTGTGAATGAAGCGCCCGACCGCTAGTTCCCCGAGGAACGCGCCCCCAAGCACTGAGCAAAAATAGCCGATGTTCATAGTCATGACAGCTAGCATGCTAGTCGATACATTAGCACCAATCCAAAACAACCATAAGCGAGATGTGAACATACAGTAAATATGATACGCCCACAATGCAGAGGAATAGCAATGCTCGCGGTAGATCAACGCTGAACCGCCAGGGAATTGGCCCATGCGTGATGTTGTGCACAACTTTGACTGACTCCTCGACGCCCTGCGCCGTGATAAGAGATGCGATCTTCGCGTCTGGATTGGAGTCAATGTTGCCAGCTTCGGTATTTTTGCCAGCCACAGTAACATATCGTCGGTTGAGATGTGTGGCGAGCCAGTGGCGCTCCATGGTCGCCTTGAAGGCGATGAGGCACCGGTCGATGATAGCAAGAACAATCAAGAAGATACATGTGCCTGCAAAGCTACCTGAAGATGAAGGTGTCCAGGCATTGGAGAAAAGTGGTGTGTCATGGGTATTTTGGAATACCATGGCCATGCTCATAGAGCTCGAGGAGGTCATACTGTGTGTAGAGCTGCCCATATCCATACCTTCCATACCTTCCATGATGAGTGAAAGTATAGGTAAAGGAATATAAAAGTGAGAAAATGAAACAGATGAAGATTTGAAGTTGCAATAGCTACCTAGGCTAGGTATTGACGCATTGACGCATTGGGCAAAAACGGTGCCCACATGGCGGACCCACCCGTGAGCATGGTTGAGCATAATATTGGTAATCTGCCCTGTCATTGGGGTATCATGACACTGATTTGGCTTCACTTTATTTCTTCTACAACTCCAAGATGTCCATGTCAATGGGTGACATGCCTGCGGGCTCAATGTCCATGGGTGATGGCGTTCCTAGTTTGTTCACCCTACAGAAGATGTACTGGGCGGTTGTGGGAAGTGTAGTCGGTGCAGCAACTGTAGTCAACGTGTTAGATCGCATTCTTGCTCGAAATCGGTATGTCGGACCTTGATACCTGGTAATCTCGACTAACGATATCAGCTTGCGAGATTCCTCACTGACGCCTGCTAAACCAAAATCGCTGTTCTTCAATATCTACGCCACCATCACAGCAACAGCTCGGGAAGTCAGCTATGCCACTGCACGACCGCTCAGAGTTGGAGGATTAACTCTCCATTTCCCACCGCTTGGTCCTGTTCTCATCATGCTAGCCAACCTAGTGGTAGTCATGGTCCTTTGCTTCTACAAGTTAGACACTCTGGATCCATGGAAATGGGAGAATGTCGGCTACCGCACTGGTTTCATCGCCATTTGCCAACTCCCACTGATCTTTCTGCTAGCTGGCAGACAGAACATCATAGGGTTCTTGGCAGGAATGAGCTACGTCAGTCTGAACTGGTACCATCGCTGGGTCGCCCGAACACTGTGGCTGACTACCACCATCCACATGGCATTCTGGTTCCGCAATTGGGGTCGCTGGAACTATATCACCTACCAGCTTAACAACGACCCGTTGGCGAAGCGCGGATTTGCTGCTTGGGTCATCCTGACCTTTATTGTGATCAGTTCCTTTGCTCCGATTCGTCGGTTGAGTTACGAGTTCTTTGTCATTCAGCATTTAGTCACTTTTCTTGGCTTTATCATTGCAGTGTGGATGCATGCGCCTGATGAAGTCAAGGCCTGGGTTTGGATCCCAATTGGGCTTGTGGTCTTCGATAGGGTTGCTCGCTACACCTGGGGTGCATATGCCAACTTGGCCGTTTTTCACCGTAAGACCAAGTCCAACGCTCTCTGGGCACACTCGGCAACGTTTACTCCATTACCTGGAAATGTCACTTGCGTTACTATCGAAAACCCCGGTATCGGGTGGCAACCCGGCCAGCACGTCTTCCTCACTTGCCACTCTATCGCCCCGTTGCAATGTCACCCATTCACTATCGCATCAATTCCAGAGGATAATAAAATGAAGTTTTTTATCCGCGCGGAGAATGGGGGAACAAGGCGGTTTTTCCGTTATGCTTCAAAGAGCGAGAGTCTATTGGGAGATGGGCAAGTGGAGAGGATGTCCGAGACCACAGTTTTTATCGAGGGGCCATATGGAAGCATCCGACCGTTGCGGCAGTTCGACAGTGTCATACTGCTGGCAGGCGGCATGGGTGCGACATTCACGATACCACTTCTGCGGGACGTTGTCTCAGCATGGAAGATGGAAAGTAACGGCGGCAAAGAGCAGATACCTACCCGTCTCGCTCGTCTAACAGCCACCAAGCGATTACGTTTTGTCTGGGTAATCAAATCGCGTTCCCAGCTGACTTACTTTGACTCCGAACTGCATTCTCTGCTGGCAGATGTGAATGAGTGTCAGCGCACGAATCCAAACTTCGAGAAGGAGATTGAAATTAGCATCTACATCACATGTGATGAAAAGCTAGATCCGCCTATCTCTACCTCACTTCCACTGCAGGCACATTATCCGCCCACGGCGGAGAGCTTTAGGCAAGATAAGACTAAGAAAGTCTTTGAGAAAGACGATATCTCGATTCATTCTGTCTCTGCCGAGTCGGAATTAACTCCACTCCCTGTGGCTTCAGGTGGGGGGTGTCTCCCTGGTGGAGGTTGCTGTTGCACTGTGCAAATCGAAGACGAGGAGATCAGTACTACCTGCGCTTGTACCTGCTCTGGCCCAGCACCTGTTCCGTCCGAAAAGGCTACTCTAGATGTGAAGGCTCCTCGGTCTGAAGAGTTGGCAAGCAACAGTATCATTTACCCTAATATTCTCTCTGGTCGTCCTACGCCCCGAATCATCATTCGCAAGGTCCTAGAGAAAGCCGAAGGCGAAAGTGCCGTGGTTGTGTGTGGACCTCGCGGCCTAGCAGATGATGTTCGCCGTAGCGTGATTTCTCTGAGCGATGAACGAGCTGTGCACAAAGGAACTGGCGCGCAGGGAATCTATTTGCATGTTGAAAACTTTGGATTATGAAGGAGTTTATTCTCCATTCCCTGGTATGTGCATTTTCTTGCGCAATCGACACCCAGACTGGCACTGACCAGTATCTATAGAAATAGCCACGGGAATCTACCACAGGCGACAGTCCGATAATCACCTCCAAGTGTGGTACAATATCCCAAATTCGGAGCCCTCCCCACTAGCCGCTGTCAATCGAATTGGATACGGCCCTGAGTCCCACCACAGAATCGGGCCAATTGACTGCGCGGAGACACTCAATTAATCAGCGAAGAAAGCTATGTTGCAGAAACAGAGGCCAGGGGATTAAGACATGGTTAAATCCTTCTAAAACAGGGGTTTCGGGGTTGAATGGAAATAGGGATAGCCTCACTCTACGCCAGGTGCCAGACACCCTGATCATAGAAAACAATTCTCTATCCACCATGACATATCCTTGCCAAGTACTCCGTAGCGTGCAAAACAGGATCCATTCAAGGTGTAGCTGACTCATTACCTAACACCCTTTAGCCCGACACGACCCGAGCTAGCACATGACATCATCCAGGAACTACCGCCTAAGCTTGACATCAATAATCCTTCCACTTCCATTCTACATCCCTCTCTCACCACCAAACCATCAATTGCAAATTTTCAAACCGCCAATATGTTCCGCTTCGTATGTCTACCTAACAACAACCAATTCATCCTCCATTTCCCAATCACTAACACAAACAGAGCAAAACCCTCGACCCTATCACCCTCTTCCACTCCCCCTCTATCCAAGCCTCAACCCGAGCCCTCAACATCCTGAAACAAGCTTCCGCAACTGCCAGTGAAACTGCCACAGAAGACCAAGCCAGCGATTACACCACACACGCAAAGAAACAGCGCGGCGACTTCGAGCTGGAAGTTACCACCTCCGCCCCGACAGCAGACCAGGTTCGCAGTATCCTCGACTACGTCTCGCCCGCCAGCGGTGTGAGTGGTCAGGTCGAGAGGGTGACATATGGAGTTGCGGAGGTTGTAAAGGGGGCTCGTGATGCGGAGGATGCATTGAAGAAGTTCAAGGAGAATAATGACAATTTCGTGAGACCTATTGTATGTTTGACCATTTCATTACTTCCATTATTATGCGGGAGATTTGTCTGGATGTGGTTTACTAATTTTCTACGCTATAGACTGTTGACTGGGTCAATGGCCGTGCTGTCATTGGAGACAACGAGTCCGAGATCCTGCGCATGGTGCGCCAGCTTCCCGAAAACTAAGAGTCGGTTCTGTACTGCCAGAAGATGTAATGCGTCACATTTAGTCTACTTATACTTGATCGCGATTGAACTCAAATTCATATTTCATATTCCATACAAAGAAATCATTACTAGCAGAAGACAGGAACTGCGCCATTTTTGGTCTATGGCTGTATGATACAAGAATCGAATTTGACAGCATCTCGCGCACCATAAAACTAGAATGAGTCAAGAAGACGTATGAGGTTGCAAGTTGCAACTTGAAAATGAACTTCAAGTTGAAATAGAAAGAAGAGACACGACGAGAAGATGAGCCATCAAACTCAGTACCGGGACGTCTGGCACAAGAAAACCAAGATCCAGCTCGGAATCGCACACGCGCCAGCGGAACGTAAGAAGAGAAAAAAAAAGGCCGACCGAATATGACTGTGACATCTGGCTACTTGGTCGGGAACCTAGAACATTGTTCCAAATGTGCCATCCGTCGCGATAGGCTTCCGTGGTGAGCTGCTGCGGCCATTGCTGTCGACAGCGGGTTTGCGGTGACTAAATTGGTCAATAAGAGAACGATCATACAATTAAATCGATGAAGCATAGATTCGAGTCGAACATACCGGAAAGTAAACCCGACGAATAAGCCCTTGCTCATCTTGTCATCACGATCGGCCATGTCCTCAAGCGCGCGCTGCTTATCATGGACCTCCTTGTACTTGGCCATATCTGCCTCATTGCTGAAGTCATCAAAGTATCCAGCATCAGTCTCTGAATCAAGTTCAGGCACGAACGGCGCACGCTGATCACGCAGAGTTGCAAAATCGACCTCGGCGAAATAGTCGTGCGCATGAATCTCCTTCATATTCTTGAACCGCTGTTCTTTCCCAGCAACTAGTTTCGTGATGAGATCCCAGGTCCGCCGTGACAGGAAGTAATTAGGGTCCTCGTAAACGGGCTTTCGCAACACCTTCTGCCAGCGCTTCAGGTTTTGCCATGTTTCCTCGACCGTGGCGCCTGCGAAGGGTGGATAGCCTGCCAACGCCTCAAACAGCATACATCCCAAGCTCCAGTAGTCCACAGTAAAATCGTATTGATCTCCCTTGAGCACTTCCGGCGCCATGTAATCTGGCGATCCGACAATCGACTTGGCGTAGTTGACTTCCCGCTGGCGCAGAGACTGGTATCCTTGACGTCGCTCAGCCATTGTACGCTGTTCCATCGGCCGACCAAAGGGAACAGGCGTGTTCCCGACTTCCTCAAGCTTGACACGCATTGACTCGATCTTTCCCGGGCTCAACATACCCGCCGCTAGACCGAAATCGGTCAGCTTGACATGACCCGTGGAGTCAATCAAAAAATTCTCGGGCTTCAAATCACGATGAATGTATCCCAGAACATGCAGCGCGTCAATGCAGCTGAACATCTCAGCAATGTAGAAACGTGCGTGACGATTATGAAGCACACCCGTGTTATTCAGCAGCGTGCGGAAGTCTCCTCCGGGAACATATTCCATCGCCAAATAGATCTGCGTGTCATCCTGGAAGGCATAGAGTAGCTTGACTAGCCAGTCGCTCTTGGCCGCAGTGAGAATATCACGCTCGGTCAGGATGTGACGAATCTCATCCAGCTTGAACAGTAGCTTTTTGCTCATGACTTTCAACGCGCATACTTCGCGTGTATCCTTCTTCTGTGCCAGATACACCTGTCCATACCCGCCCTGACCAACCTGGGTCAGGATCTGGAAGTCGCCCTGGCGGAGACGTGTGCGACGCTTCCGCAGGTGTGCGCGCTCGCGACCGAGGTATTTTAGGAGGGCGGGTTCGTGCTCTTCGTTGGGGGTAGCGGGGGGGATCGGGGTAGGCGGCTTTGAATTGTGTGTGGCGGGTTTGGCGGTTGTGGACGTAGCTGAGGAGATCGAAGTAGTGGTCGAGGAAGTCTGTGCATAAGTTAGTCACTTTGTCGTATATTGTAAGGTTGGGCCGCACTGACAGAGTTGGGTGACATTGACGAGCCGCTTCACTTTTGGCTGTGCTAGCTTTTCCATTTCCTCGGGGGTGAGGCCGCGCATCTGCACCTGGCGTCTGGTTGTCTCATCGCGTGGTTGATATGGCTCCTGACGTGAAAGTGCAGCGGCAGTCGGGGTTGAACCCAGATCCTTCGTGAGACGCGTTGGGTTGGGGGGGTGTATTCTCCTTGTTGGCTCTACGCGTTGGGCTCGAAGGGGTTTGGTGAATAACGCTCTCGTTGAAATCCTCGCCGCTCTTGCCTGCAGAGAACATTGGATGATTGTAGTGGTTATATGTCGATTTGGAGGGGGAAGTGGGAGTCAGCTTCATGGCCTTGTCGAAGACATTGGGCAGATCGAGTGCGCCCGGCGGCAATCTTGACTTGCTGGGACTACCCTGTGGTGTCTGTGTAGGACTGGTAAATCCATCGGCCGGAGTCGAGGGACGATCGAATTGACCACGAGTATGCAACAACGGTGGTGGATTCGGGAGTCGTAGACCCAGGTGGTCCTCTGAAATAATAGCCATGGTGTTGATGGAGGAGCGATAGAGGGGTTGGTTTACGGGTGACCCCCTGATAAGGCCGGAAACTAATTGGGCGAGAACAAAGGCAAAGTGACTCCGTTCAGGCAAGAAAAGAAAAGAGAGTGAAAAATGGCTTTGTCTCGGGATTCTGGTTTATGTTTATTATTTCAACAGTCGATCACTCTCCACTCAAGATCGGATCTTGATTCTCATTTTCTACAATCCACTCTCGATATTTCCCCCCTTCCTCAGACAGTTGCTGTAGCAACTTCCCCCCACGTCATACAGAATTACTGTACACCTATTAATCCCAGTATAGTGGATGAGTTTATCGAGGCGAGCTGAACATCATCTCCACTTCCAATCGCAAATTGGGCTTTGACAGTTCGTTTGAAGTGGGATCGACTCTAGTAAGTCTGAGATGAAACAGCCATTGGATTGCGCTCGGACACTGATATTTTTTCTGACCTTTGCATATTTCATGAGACTAGCGAATGTCGCACATCGCCGTGTTCGGGGAATAAGCAATAATTGTCCGGTCAATCCCTTGGGTGTCCTAGCACTTCATAGTATAGATTTTGAAGCTATCGCAAGGGATATCTAGGTATAAGCAAGCTACCAGATTGGGAATAAACTCAGAGTGTTTCCATGGATGAGAGGCACGGGGACCCCGATAATTGACCATCAACCAAGGAACCAAAAATACATACACAACCTTGCAATTTCATTGTAATCTAATTTCCAAGGTTCTTTCAAGCAGCGCCCTGCTTCCGTTGGCCAGTCTAGAGTAGCGTTAGTCTCGGAATCTCTCAGTTCAGCCCTGGGTACCCACATAGAACGCCAGCCCATAATCATCCGTCGTAAAGGTGATTTTGGCCCCCTTGGGAAAATAAAACACATCGCCCGGAGTCGCCGTAACCTTCTGGCCCGTCTCATCGGCAATTTCGAACTTGCCCTCGACAATAATCTTCATCTCGTCGTAGGTATAGGTGTATACGAGAGGGGTGCCCTTTTCGAGTCGGTAAAACCCACATGACATGGGCTTGTCTGGGTTCTCGTTCTCGCTGTACTATATCAGCAAACTTGCCTCGGTATGGAGGAAACACCCGAGCACACAACTAGCCATACCTTGATTGCACATCACCCAAGAAGGCATTCTCATTGGCGATAAGCGGCGGCTTGAAGGTAGATTGCGCCTTGGCGTGGTAGGTGAATGGAAGTGCCATGGTGGAATCCGTGTGACCTTGAGGACCAATGTATGTTGTAATCGGGATAAAGTAGTTCGAGGACTACCTCTACTTTATACTCATGCTGCCGCAGTTTATCATTATATCAAATGAGGGGGTGCGGTTGAACAAGATCATTTTCTCAAATGGAAGGTAACTCGATCTAGACAAAAAGCGACAAATCGGATCTGATGTCCTGAGTAGGCAGTCCAGCAGAGAACTGGAGGGATGTCATGGAGAGAATGAGGGGATTGGGTGAGGGGAAGCTTGGGACTGGAGATAAGGACCTGAACTGGTAAAGTGGACTGTTATCAATGGAGAAGTACAAGTTTTGACAGCACTTAGCTGGACGATCTTCATTCTCTAAGGATATGAGATTGACCGTGATTTATCCAAGTACACGCATACATCCATGTACATGATATGCAGATATCGAGGATTTCTTTACCTAATGCGGTTAGCTCTTCCCCGGAGCCACAGTTCGTCCATGGTACCGCTCGTCTTTCAATGCTTGACATAATATGTTGGTTAGGAACACTTGCCATAACACGACTGCCGGGGACCTTGTGCTCCGTACAGTATCTTGGATACCAATGTACTATTACTTCGGTCAGGATCGGAGGTCAGATGTTAGCCATTACGCCGACCCATCTGTCCACGGAACTTTTTGACCATAACTCCAAAACCTAAACAAGATAATGTTGACTATATCTAGGGCAACCGGCAATCAAGGAGGTGCTGTCACTCCTTTATTGCTAACGCTACCATCAAGCTTCGACCCCTCACTCGAGTGACGTCCCTAGCTAGCTCTGATGCCGTCATTGGTAGATAGGCTCCACATAATGCCTATTTGCTGGGCTCTGGGCCATTTTTGTCAATATCAACTCTGGGGCCAGGTTGGAAGATATACTTCATTGATGATGTGGCAGAGCGGTCCTAAATCAACATACGGTCAATCAATAAGAACAAGCGATGTCGCCGTCGACTGCTAAAGACTTTTATCCTTTAGCTATCCACTGATGCCTGCAGCTAAAACGAAAATAAATGTATCGCGCTAATAATGAAACTACATAGCTTTCCGGTTGCCTCTTACTACGCTGATCTCTTTCTTTCCTTTTTTTCTTGCAGCCTTAGAAGCACCTAAGAGCTCGTGAAATTGACGATATCTGAGGATAATAATCCATGAGCCAGAGCCTGCAACAAAATGATATTGCTTCAATGTGACAGAACACGGTTTTCTACGTGCAACTTACGATATCGACTATTTGACAGTATTTTCACCCTGCCTTGACAGACGGCTCTGTGGTGGCCCCTCCCAGCGAAAGCAATGCTGCCCCAGCTTTATTGCGGTGTTTCTAGACCGACCACCCGTTCTCAAAATTGGGTTTCCATCCCTTGTGCCCATCTCAAACGGCACGCTGTACTCGGGTGCTGTTGGTTGGTCCGGCAGCGTAATTCGTTTCGGGGCATTCAGATATCGCTTCATGCCCTCATCCATGTCGGATCGTCGTGTTGCTACCCATTCATTCAGGAATTCGCGAAACTTTTGTACCTCGAAGTCTAGCTCCCGATGGCTAGTCCACTCTGAAATACTTTGCACCATATCTATATTCCGCTCCCAGTGGGGGATACCCGAGAAGGTGGTATCGTTCGTGATAAGCTCGTAAAGTGTAAAAACCACGCTGCTGACATCATCGCGACCGTCACACAGGTTCTTCTCCCCGGATGCAGCCCGATCGAAGTCGAAGAGAATGATCTTGTGGCTATTAGGATCGATGAGCAGATTCCGGGGTGCGATATCTTGATGCATCACTCCATACTCTAGGTTGAGAATATCCACGAGTTGAGTAAGCTGTTGCAGCCACTCAAATCGAAAAGGGATCTCTGGATTTTCGAGAGTCTCGCTCGGAATGTACTTTGTTGTGAATCCAATCACCCGAGACCCTTCCTCAAGGACCACACGATCAAAGGGTATTAAATTAGGATGTGGCGGTAGACTTTTCAGTATATTGAGTTCATCCCACGCCATCTGCAGTCTTAGAGGCTTATACAAGACGTTAAACTTGAAAGCAACTTTCTGGGGGTTCCTGGCCTCGTCTTCGTAAGATACGAGATCAACGAATGGTCCAAGTCGGTCGAGCTCTTGGAGCTTAGGGTACTGAATAGTACGGCAATCGCGAAGCGACTCGCATAGCGAGATCGGGGGGTATGCCATAAACATAGTATCGTCTTCTTCCGGATCCGTTGAAACATCAATTAAAAGTCCGTCGTCGTCGACTGTGATTGCGCGAACTTCTGGAGACAGATAGTCCGCCAATGGCGCTAGAATCGAGAGTTCTACATCCCCGTCGGGCGGAAACACCTTGGCAGTGCCTTTGACCTTGATCATCTGTAGTTGGTCCCAATCCCAGACATTGGAATAGGCTTCGGTGGCCGGGTTTTCGCTCGGGCCATAATAGCCCTGGCTGTCGGACCAGAATCGGTCCTGAGGCCTGATCATGGCAAGTTGGAGGAAAGGGTCACCTTTGTCATGTTGCTTTAGAAATGAGGGCGAGGGGGAAGGATGTGAGATATGGGTCAAGCCTGGCGGTCATGTGAATCTATTGGCAAAACGACCCCGGCGCTTCATGTCTTCCCCCACCTTGATGCATCTTCGAAGGGTCATCTACCCAATAACAGCTGTTCACCGCTAGTTCCCTTATGGAATTTTGAGCCTCACATATGCAAAGCTCAACGAGACAAGCGCTTCAATTGCAGCATGTATTGGCCATGAGGAGGTAGGTGGAGTCGAGACTGTGACATTTAGCGCCTAAGGGACAATCGCATTCGACTAATGTGTGGAATCAATTCTCTTCAAGGCAAAGTTCATATTTGTGAAATAAAAACCCACTCCTTGCTTTGAAGATTCCTGTTTGATTATGATTGATCCAACATTTCGTTCGACTATTCTACCACCTATTCCTATCTCCTACATCTCCCTCCATAATTTTGATTCTCTGATCAATATGACCTCACAAATCACACCAAATGAATTCAAGACCGATGTCGGGAATCGTTTGGTCAACAACCCTCAAAATCCAAACAGTTGCCCTTGCGGCTGGTATGTCTACTACTCGTCTGTTTGTGGGCATGTGTACAAGGAGGTCAAGTTCCAATGCGGTGCGTACGGGGAGGTGGAATACGAACGCGGGAATCAAATGAGACCGTCGAGTCGAGGTAGGTTCTGCCAAACCCCAGCGCCGAAAAACATCGTCCAGGGGATGCAGATCAATGCCAAGTGCCTATGTTGCTGATTCCCAGTGCTCAAGTAGGTGACGCGCGGCAAATCATGGGGGAAATGACGTACTAAAAAAGTAATTATAGCCACAATTCTCGAGGATTCTTTAACAGATGTTTGGGAATGTATTTGCTGTCGTTATGTGGCATTGAGGATTCTGGAGCTCAGGGGGAGGGTGAGTTGTGCATCAATAGATCCAGTGTACAAGAGCTACTGTAGCCAATGTACACTGGCACTTGGTCATGTGAGGGAAGGGGGAGTCTACAAGTGCTCTTCATCTTCTCCGTAGGAAGCTCGGAAATTCAAACCATATTGCTTGGTAAGAAGTTTGACCCTTTGGTGTATAAATATCGCCGGCTAGACCACTGATTCCCACATGACTCGCGCAATTGATGCCCCCAAGTCGAGGTCCAGAGCTACGAATTTGACTAATGCAGGTGGATCAAATGGAGATAAGTTTATCTCCGACGATGCAGATGGATCTATGCAAGTATAAATTGCCATCAAGTACATCGTAGAGCCCAGATTCATATCGGTCAACGCAGTTCCTATTTCAATTTTCAAAATTCTCCTACAGTCATTTCGCCCACACCCCAACACTCTTTCATTCTCATTCTCAAACAGAATGCCATTGACAATCCACCACCTTGGCCGCTCGCAATCAGAGCGCATCATCTGGCTCGCCGAAGAACTAGACATCAAGTATGACTTTGTCTTCCACAAGCGCGACCCTATCCTCGCCCCTCAATCACTGAGAAACCTGCATCCCTCTGGTACCGCACCAGTGATCGAAGATGACAACTCCCCCTTTACGGACAAGAAGGTCGTCCTTGCTGAATCCGGAGCTATCATCGACTACATTATTGCCGCCTATGGAGAGGGTCGTCTTGCGCGCACACCAAAGGACGGCGAGGAGTACATCCAATTCCTGGAATGGTACCACTGGGCGAATGCCTCTCTACAGCCAACCTTGTTCCGTGTGATGATGGCCCAGCGCTTAACCGACGACCCAGAATCAGGGCACGTCAAATTGAGCAATGCGAAGCTAGAGGGTGCGCTCTCAATGGTTGAGGCGAGACTCGGTGAAACCGGAGCCTACCTGGTTGGGAATGACGTCACTGCAGCGGATATCATGGCGATCTGTACACTCACCACCATGAGAGGATTCTGCAACATTGAATTCGATGAGCAGAAGCATAAGAACATTTTAGCCTATCTCAAGCGGGTTGGTGACCGGCCTGCTTATCGAAAGGCCATGAAGATCTGTGAGGGCGAGGATTTCGTGCCTATTCTTGGTGCAAAGCCCGCGCAGTTTGTATTCCCTTACTGAGCTCTGGATTTTATGCACCTATTGTTGTAAATTATGCTGTACATAAATGTGAACTTCTAGAACTCTTGACCTTACAAATCTACTACGGGAACCTTCCAAGGTTGGAGAGTGGGCCCGGAAGGCCTATCCGAGAATTAACCAATTGCCTCTAGACCTCATCTTGGAAGAAATACTCATAATCAGGTTTCACGTATGTATTCGCCAATGATGTGTTTTCCTTTGAGTGGGCTCTGGCGAGTTCTCAAGCCCCCATTGTGACTGAACGGATGGTGATAGGCAATTGGGGAATCTCCAAAAGTGAATAGCATTTCTTGGCCAAAAGCGCGTAGGGAAGCCAGAATATTGGGTATTGCAGAGAATACTGTGAGAATCAGAGAATTCTCTCTGCGGAAACAAAGGCTCCTGGCATGATTACATCTTTTGCAGTAGAGAGAGTATTGGACGAGACCTTGGTGAGTAGCGCCTACGAAGGAAAATTTGGCTTACTGCTTGCATTGGGTGATCAGGTTTGATGGTGAGTGTTCCGGGCATGGGGTGTGCTAAAACCAACACAGGTAACGATGGTCAAGCGAGCTGATGTATCGGGTTGTTGAAGCAATGCGGATGATGTCCCTGGGGGTTTGATAGAGTTGCTCAGGTTTCCGTATTACTGGACATTCAAACCGGGTGGCCATTTGGTGTCAATAAGCCAGAAACGGGACAGTTGCTTGGGGCTTCCGGAATGGTGATATCGCGTATTGGAAAGTTGAATAAAGCGTGGAAGTCAAATGAACCACCGTCATGGTAAACTCATTAGCTCCTAGATCAACCATAATTCGTAGTCAGAAAATAGATCACAGTTGCAAAAAGAAAGTCTTGATCGAAAAACAAAATCGTTGTCATAACCCATTAACCAGAGAGCAACCGATCCCTAGACGCCGCGTTGGCTCAAAGCAACACCAATTTAGGGCTGCAAAGTACAATCTCAGCCTGAACACAAAGAAATGAGAACCAGAAGACCGATCAAAAAAATAAAAAACACCGGGGATGAAAACAAGAACTCGAGACTTCCTGCTTTGTTAGCTGTCACATTAGTACAGCTAGAATGCAACGAATGGTAGATGCTTTTCGCTTGATGCCCAGGCGTGCGACCAGGATGAGGGCTGCTGTCAGGCTAGCCAAGGAAAACTATAAATTGTCGAGTTAGTCGATGGATGAAATGATTTGAAAGCTGTCAAACCCACCTTCCCATCCCCACTCCGCCATAACATTCACCCAATGCAATTTACCGCGTACAGTTCTTTCAAATTCAATATTTTCAAGCGAGGCGAGTGCTGAACCCCGTCGCGCAGACCTCGACGCAGCTTGCCCTGATCTTACTCCTGTTGAGCCCTTGTGGGAACCATTGAGACTATATTTGCGGAAATCGGTTGGCAATGACGAGCTCATTTTCTCCCTGTTTCCAGATGAAAATGACCCCGGACGCCGTGAACTATCTGTTTCAAGCTCATTTCTGGCATTCATTGCGTCGCGACGTTCCCAGACTTCCTTCAAGACCTCTAAGCAGCGGTCTACACCACCTAGCATCAAGCGCGACTGAATTGTCGTCCATCGATCCAAGACCCATTTTCGGTCATCGTCCGTGTCAACCTCAGAGCCAGCTGCTAAGAGAGGAAACATCTGTATGATAGTGGTGCGAGACGTATATGGTACGGTGGCAAGTAGTATTAGGACCCTCTTTGCCAACTCATCGGCCGGCTCGGAGGGTATCTCTGGAACGGCCTGATGCAGGTAAAGCAACGTAGCCCAGCGATAGGCATGTGCAACTTGAATGCTATGCTGGACTTCGGAGTTAGGGTCATCTGGTGGCTCAAACCAGTGAGGTGGCTCCCATTGCTCAACAAGAGCTTTCAGTTCCATAGCTTGAGCTACAACCGACACCGTGTTGGACGATGTTCTCCGCACATGCTGAATCAATTTTGCCACCCGACTCATAAGAGGATATAGAGTAGCTGCACAACCCATCAGGGGATCTATATCATGGACTGCGTCACTCGGAAGCTCGAAAATTGAAGAGTCCCAGCTTTGAGGGCCACACTCCTCCAAAGAGGTTAGTCGCGCAATCACGTCCATATAGGACCATGTGTTATAGAGAAATCGGATGCGGTCTAGCTCATCATCACTAACGCCCCTTTGCATCCCGGCCTCAATGACCTGACACATCAAAGTTTTTGCACCTCGCAAATGTTGAATGCAAGTACGAGTGTGTTGGTCCCACGTATCGGCAAATGCCAACGCAAGACTAGTCGCAAGTGCAGTATCCGCTCTCATATTCTGCAGTTGTCCAACTAGACCTGTTATACTCTGGCGCATGTATTTTACTCCTTGGGCCCGAAGATGGGGGCTTTGTTTGCCCGAGTGAAAAGCCGTTAGAGCAAAAATGGCATGGCGGAGAGCGGGCGTGTCTTTCGCCAACGGCCAAATGAGTGTTCGCCATGGGTTCTCTAAGGCACCATCTTTGATGGATAAAATCCCACATGTGAGCTTATCGAATCGCATGACCAGCATTTCTGGGCTTTCAGGCGGTAGGGATGGGTTATTTGACAAGCTCGGTGCGTCCAAATTGAGAGAATCTCCGTCTGGGAAGATGAAGTTCCAAGGTCCCAGTCCTGGTTCCGACTTCCGGATGATCTCCTCGATGTCATCATTTTCATCCTCCAACAGTTGAGAGAAGCTCAGCCTCGATGCATCCGCATCTGGCTGCTCTGGACCCAAAGGCATATTCTTGGTAGGATCAACATTAATATCAGTAGCCATGCAGTTCCCGGGTGACAGCGAGTCCTGAAAGGGCTCCAAAAAAGAGAGAAAATTGAAAGAGGGAGAGTCGGCTGATAATGATACATTGATATCAAAAGGAGGCTCACCGCACTCAGCCATGGAAACATCGCCCCGTGTGATAGGTAGATCTTCAAGGGAATGTGTGTCCGTAGACAAAAAGCTATTGATGCTCATGGGCGAGCTGTGAAAAGGATAGTCTAGAGGTGAATGAGAGCCATCAGACTTGCGGGGCTGCATACGAATCGGCGATGCTAATTTTTCAGTTGTTGGAGGAGTCGGAAGTGTCTGGCCAATATTGACAACCGACGGAGCTTGACTGGACGTGAGATTTGCTGAAGAATGTTGGTAAGTATATCAGGTCCAACTCGAGCCCCACACGACACCGGTTACCTTTCTTGGCCTTGGTCACCAAAGGCCGCCCAGAGGCCAGGTTGGTTTCCTCAAATGGCCGCCATTTGAAGTCTTTCTTGTATCCCCCGCATCGGACCTTTCTTCTTTCGCACTGGTGACATGATGGCTTGATTTCGTCGCACTTCAACCGCTTGGCCTTGCAGGTGATGCACCCTACAAAATTTGGTTGAGCCTCGAGTCAACGTTATCCAGGACAATTTGACGATATAAACGTCTACTTTCCTGATGGAAAGATGCAGATTCATCTATAACTTACCATTGCGACTCTTTGTCTGCTTTGGCTTTGCCCCAAGCTTTCCTCGCGCTGATGGCTCGGGCGGATCTAGAATCGGGCTTTTAATGCTTTCCATACCAAGTCGATGCTAGAATCCATTCACACGGAGGGAAGAGAAATGCCCAGAAGACAGGGAGATAAGAGGTGAATGAAGATAGGGAAATACGAGGAGATAAGCCGATGCGGGGGTGCCGATCTTGGAGAAATGTCCTTTCTATTGCAATCTCAACCGGGTTGGGCATCAGCTATATCTGATTTCATTTTACATGAGTTGACTTTCATTTAAGCCAGAATATCTGGGGACATATCTACTAGTAGGTATCAACCAGATACAATAACCTGGTGCGGGGAATTTCTCCAACTACGCTAGCACTACGGCCACAACTGCCAGCTACGATGAAACTACATTTTATAATGAAACAGAAGCGAAGAGAAAGATCCTTAATTGAAAAAGGAAAGACAAACGGCAGCTGACACCCCCAACAAATGAGGGGACAGGCACAAACAGTCTTCACAATCCCAACTAGTACCGTTGGCGGTACTTGGTTGAGGGGCCGGCCTCAGCAAGGGAGGGCAGCACGGCGGGGAGAGAGGGAGGCACGACGGGGAGAGTGGACATCGCCGAGGGGAGGGAAGGAGGCACAGTCATCGCAGCAGGGGGGGTGATGGCAGGCACCGTCCCACAGACATCCATGTCCGGAGAGATATCACGGATCATGGTGTCAGCGTAGACACCGGGGACGGACACAAACTCAACGCGCTCCATGGGCAGCACACCCTCCACATCCTCCTCAGCGGGCGAAGGAGGGTACTCGACATCCACCATTGGTGGAAGGATGTCGTTGTCGTTGCCAGCTGCAGGCTGCAGCCGGCCGGCGGGAACATAAGAGCTGTAGGGCTCAAGGTGAGCCCACAGACGGAGAACGAGGGATTTCCACTCGCCGCCGATCCCCAGATTCTGGTGGAGGGCCACAGATGCGGCCAGGGGACGGGAGTGGAGGAGGTCGAGGAGGTCGGAGAGGTAGGTGGACACCTGGGCTACCCGTGGGTTAGTATGGGTCTTTCCTTCGATTCTGAAAAAAGGGTACTTACCAGGGTGTGGCATCCCTGCCCAGTGCAAGCCGAACCACGCAAACTCGGGAGCGAGGACGACACGGAGGAGGTAGGTTTGGGGGGAGCCGGGCCCCACGACGATGACCATGTTGCATAGGAGCTCGGTCAGCTCCCAGGTCACAACAAACATTTCGGGCTCGGAGCCCGCGGCAAACAGCTGGTCGAACAGTGACATCTCGTCCCACTTCAGAAGAGGGCCAGCCAGGTACTCGCCAGCGAGTACCTGGAGGCCGCTCTTCGAGAACGGAGCCATGGTGTCCAGCACCATTTTCGAAACACAAAAAACAAAAACAAGAAAGAAAACAAGAAAAGGAGGGAGGCGGAGGCGACGATTGGTGAGATTTACAGAGGAAAAAGAGTAGACTAGATGGGAGAACTCTATAGACTTATATATGAAATTAAGCAGTATTGAGGCTATTGATAGTCAACTTGAATGATGCTCAGCATTGTTTCTTCGGTGTGAATGTCTGTATGGAGTCTGTGGTGTATTATGTGATGCTTCAATCATCTCAATAGGGCTATCTGTTGTTGGTCAATTAGAGACTCTGAATAGTATTGTTCAATTGATTCACCTGTCAATGCCTGTGTATACCTAGATCACATTCTTGAAAACGGAACTGAAGTTTTAGATTGATTGTCGTATGGGCTTTTGAATTGTCAGGTGGTTTGATTGGAGTGAATAGTTATCTGGGTATAGTACAATTGGTATAATGTAAGCCTCTGAAAGAAGTACCGAAGTGAAGTGATGTTGCGATGAGGTCGAGGTGCAGGAAATGTAAGGCCCCAGTGAGAGTAATGTCAATTGAAATTGATAAGTGCTAGGGTCAGAATTACTGCGGTGGTAATAGAAATCTCAAGGTGCCTTTGAACGTCTTTGTGTGTTCAACATCGAGTGATATGTCGAATATCGTAGATCGATTATATATTGTCGAAACCATCCGAGCGTACTTTCTAAACCCCGACCGCTGATCAATAGTTTAATGTAAAAAGACTACGTGAGCTCAAGACAAGACCGAGGAGAAAAACGGCATACACAAATATATATCACAAGGTAGACGGCCGTGTATGCGGCATTGTGTAGTCTTTTAGTAGTCTTCCCAGTGGGATCAGATATTCCTTGGATATGTCTTTTTTCAGGTATATTGCCCCCCCCTTCCAAGCTCAAAGGATATATAGAGAACAGAATAGAGAAATCTTTCAATGTTTATTCCTTGATATACGAAATAGCTCGTAGTCGAGGAGGTTGGAGTCCCGTACTCCGTAGACCCGAGTCAATGCCAAGGATTAGTCATGTAGCGAATTTCGGACCTCCCTCAGCGGGGAAACCCCAGATGTTCACGGCCCGAGGTCAAGCGGAGCCCTTCCAGCGTTGTTTTTATTCCTTTCTATTCTTTACCTCCTTTCTGTTTCAATTTCAATTCGCCATTTGTTCTTTCACTTATACCATTAGCCATGTTCCGCTCAGTACGACGATTGCCTCGACGCGTTCCCGTTCTGTCCACTGTTTCTGCGCGTTCGTTGCGGCCATTCACAAGCGGTTATACTCGGATGATGCCTGTGCAGCTCCCCGTATCCACCACACTGCCCTCAGACGCATACCAGCTGCTGTCCACACAAGATAAAGCAGGGGAAGCCGAAGATGCACTCTATGATCAACAGATTCGCGATGTGGAATCATGGTGGAATTCGCCTCGCTACGAAGGCATCAAGCGCCCTTATACGGCCGCGGATGTTGTGAGCAAGCGGGGTTCTTTACAACAGACTTACCCTAGCTCTCTGATGGCTCGAAAGCTTTTTAATCTTCTCAATGAGCGAGCGGCTGCTGGTCAGCCCGTTCATACTAGTGAGTCCTTGACCGGCCGAGCTCCAATTGTGACCAATCTAACCCTGGTTCTGCACAAAAGTGGGAGCTATCGACCCCGTTCAAATGACGCAGCAAGCTCCCAACCAAGAGATTCTGTATGTCTCCGGTTGGGCTTGCTCTTCACTCTTGACAAGTACAAATGAAGTATCTCCTGATTTCGGCGATTATCCCTACAATACCGTCCCGAATCAGGTCCAGCGTTTGTTCAAGGCCCAGTCCATGCACGACCGGAAACAATGGGACGCCAGGCGAAAGATGACCCCGGATCAGCGAAAGGCTACACCTTACACCGATTATATGCGCCCAATTGTTGCGGATGGTGATACCGGGTAAGTTAATAATTGAGATCGAATGCGCGAAGCATTACTGATTTCCTTGATGCAGCCATGGTGGTTTGTCGGCCGTTCTAAAACTCGCCAAGCTATTTGCAGAGAATGGTGCCGCGGCCGTTCATTTCGAGGATCAGTTGCATGGCGGAAAGAAGTGCGGTCATCTTGCCGGAAAGGTCCTCGTTCCAATGGGGGAACACATCAACCGACTGGTCGCAGCTCGATTCCAGTGGGATATGATGGGATGTGAGAATCTGGTCATTGCCCGAACAGATTCTGAGAGTGGCCGACTCATCAGCAGCGCCATTGATGTGCGTGATCATGAGTTCATCCTTGGTATCACTGAAGATGTGGAGCCTCTGGCCGAGACCCTCCAAGCTATGGAACGAGAGGGCGCCTCGCCCAAAGAAATCGACGCATTCGAGCTTGAATGGGTCAAGAGGCACAAGCTTGTTACACTCGACGAAGGTATTTGAGCAATTCTGCATAAAACGATTTCATTTACTAATGATATGTAGCTGTCGATGCTCACCTTGAGTCGGAGGGCGCTCCCCAGTCTTCTCGGGATGCGTACAAGGCCTATGTCAAGAAGAATCCCGATCTTTCTTTCTCCCGCCGCCGTGCTCTCGCGAACGACTACAGCAAAACACCTGTTGTGTGGTCATGTGATAGCCCGCGCACTCGCGAGGGTTTCTACCACTACTCCGCAGGATTCCCTGCTGCGACCAAGCGCGCCAAGGAATTTGCTCCTTACGCAGATCTTCTCTGGGTTGAGACTGGTGACCCAAATGTCGAGAAGGCCGGAACACTGGCCGGCGAAGTGCGGGCGGCGTATCCAGGCAAGAAGCTTGTCTACAACCTCAGTCCTTCATTCAACTGGATGGGACAAGGATTTGATGAGGCTTCTCTCAAGTCGTTTATTTGGGATATCGCCAAGCAAGGGTAAGCTCAACATTGTATCTACCTCGCTTCGATAGACTAACTTCTTACAGATTTGTCTTGCAACTCATTTCCTTGGCTGGTCTGCACAGCAATGCCACTATCACGACCGAACTTTCCCGTGCCTTTAAGGATGAAGGTATGCTGGCCTATGTTCGTCTTGTCCAGGCCCGCGAAAAGGATCTTGGTGTCGATGTTCTCACTCACCAGAAGTGGAGTGGCGCGCCGTATATGGACGGCATCATGGGTGCTATCCAGAGTGGAAGCAGCAGCAGCAAGAGCATGGGTGAAGGTAACACCGAAAAGGGTAAGTCCTTGTGCATTGATGTTTAGAAGAAATCAAATCGCTAACGAAATCCAGGTTTCTAATTCTGACTAAAAGATATGTTTTGGTAGATGATTGGATTGGTAACTGTTCGATATCAAAAGGGAGACCACATGACGTGAAAATGTCACAACTTCTGTTTTCTGTTTACTTTGCATCACATTTGTACGGCGTTGTAGTTACTACTTTTGCCCAAAAGACTCGTATTCAGCTAGAGTTCACGACTAGTATACAAATTTCGAGCAAGCTTGACCAGCCCACCCCTGCGAGTATGTTCATACTCCGTTCCTGGGAAGCTTTCCTTTAGGTAGGAACATTCCCTCGTAATTGAATTGAATCAAGGGTGAGATCCGGAGTCTACTTGCACACTCCCTGATTCTCGTGAGCAAGTTGCTATATGGCATATTAGTTTTTGATGCTCCGATGTTTGGGTATAAGACAAAATATCGTACCAAGCAGAAGCCACTCGCACAGTATCCTGCGCTGCCATCAGCCTTGCAGGGAAAGCCGGCACCAATCTGAGAGATGGTTAGAGGCTGTGATATCGTTCGGTATTCATTTTTCTAGGCTTACCACAACAGGAGCCTTGTCCGCAGCCAAGGCAAGGCCGATAATGGCCATAAACGCGATGGAAACAAAACGCATATTGGAGGATCTATGTCTCGATTGTGGTAATTTCAGAAGTGAAATGATACTGGAGGAATGTGTCTCATTCCAGGTCAGCAGGGTGATGATATTTATATTTCTTTGCGAGCCCTCTATCAATGCTCGGCATTCCGATCTGGGGTCTTGATGATGTTGCAAAGCGGATATTCGGAGATGAAGCTTGTTCAGGTACTCTCTTTTGTTTTGTGAACTCTCTTGCCCATCTGCACGCAGCAAGACTATTGGATCAAGGAGCAGTGTCTCGAAGTGGGTTCTGTTCTTTTGTCAAATATTGAACGCTGACTTCTTGGTCATGTGTGTTATACATTGAGAATTGGTCCATTCTGTACCACTCCAGATGCGTCAAGTCCGAGTTTGGATGTGCAGCTTCTTCTATTCATTTCCCTTTCTATGAAACTACTGGAAGTTTGATTCTCTTGTCAAAGAGCTCTGCCTGACTTGGTGAAATAGCTTCACAGTTATTGTTTTGAGATGTGTGGTCTTATGATATTGCCTCAGCAATGCATGGATAGCTCGGACATTTTGATTTGGTCTACTCAGGTACTTATGCCTATAAATAGTCTGGATCCTGCATTCAAGTCTGCAGGCTGTCACGCAAAATAAAAAAGGAACGATGACCTCTGCAAGGGGGATGATAGTATCCGAGCATCGCAATGTTGTCAACCAAACAAAGATAAGAAGTTTGTTTGGACTTATTGCACGTTACATATCCGGTCGCTGTACATGTTTGCGCTCTGCTGTTGAGCGCAAAGTGAGTAGCGAGTCTACGTATCAGATAGTTCAGATTGGTATAAACTTCAGGGAAGCCCAATTGAAGTCTGGGCTTAGAGTCCGACAGTCTAGATAACGGGATTTCGATGCAGATCAAAAAGTGACTCGACGGGAGACTGCCGATGCACGATGGATCCTGATTATATACTTCTAATCTCGCCTACTGATAGTTTGAGACTTTAATTCATGGGCGTTGGGCAAAGCGCTAGCTATTGTGGCCCTTCTGAGATGATTACTCCGTAAGTGAATTGAGTATTGAATGGAAGACTGGGATTAGATCGATGGTATTGCAAAGAAAGCATTCATTATTTTGTTAAAAGTGGTGCCAAGAAGGAGAGAAACAATTCAAAATCTAATTGTACAATACAGAGTCGCGCCTGCGCCCTCGAAGGTATCACATGATGAGGCGAGGGCTAATATCGAGTAGGTCAACAAAACTGGAGTGGTCCATCAAAAGCCTATGATACTGGCAAAAGGAAAACTGAGCCGAGGAAATGATAACAGTCTTCCATGTGGTAAGGCCTCGAGCAGAGAGAGTGTATGTTTGTAAGAGAGAGAGAGAGAGATAATGCCGTATATCATCAGACACCGACGAACAAGGCAGAGGCAAACAGAGTTGAAAGCAGCATAACAGCCTTCAAACTGACATGCACCTTAGGCACAGAGACATCCGCCCCAGAGCTGGTACTGGTGCTTGTCGCTGCAGTTTCCGTCGAGGTACCTGTTGATGTCTTGTCGGCAGATGTTTTCGAAGCGGTTTCCGTTTCCGATGCAGTCGGATACGAGGTTGCTGTTGCGGTGGCATTGGTTTCTCCGTGGCACCACACGTCCTTCCAAGCGACACCAGCGCCGTAGAGGCAGTCGGTAAGATCTTGAATTGACTGATCAACGGCTAGAGCGTAGAGAGCACAGTCGTCGTTATAGGAAGTTACCCCTGCGGGCTTCGCGCATTTTGAAAGGAGTCCTTTGTACTTGTCGGTGTTGGGAACTCCACATGATGCATCTTTGACTGGAATTTCGTATTGCGCTGCGGTTCCACAACCTGTGGTAGTTGCCATAGCTCCGGTCGTTGTTGCAGTTGACATAATTTTGGGGCTTGAAAGGATTTCGAGATGTGATTTTTTTTTTTAATTTCTGGTTCAAAAGAGTGATTTAATGTAGGTTGTTCAGTTCATATGATCCTTTATAGCCGTTTGGTCCTTTTTTATGGACCCTTCGTCGGTGGAGCCATAGCCCTAGACTATTTGACGGCTATTTTTAGTCGGCGTTGTCCGTCTTGTTATTGCGCCAAGTGTAAATGAAACTGCCAAGGCAAGCTTTATGCGACTGGTATGGAGTAATTAATAAAGAAGACCCGTTCAGTCTTGCCACAGAGGATGGAGAAAAACAAAGCAATCTAACTAAGCCACTCTATAAGCCTCCTTCTCGTCCTATTCTATAGTGGGCCGGGCTGAGTTGGGCTGAGCTCTTGGTATCCGGGAAGCCCGGCACCTAAGTTTTTAGCAAATCGTACCTTCGGCACCCATTACTTGAAAGTACAGTATGCTGGGAGGTTATGTGAAAGAAAATTGATGTCTTTAACTGCCGTCGACAAATCTAGACATGTCGAAGTATCGCCGTTCCAGATGGCTAACGGCAATTTCTCCCTAGGCTATTTGTTTTCGGTGTGGTTTTTTTGTTTCAGGGAAAGACATAATCTTGAGATGCGGATCTCATATGTTTTTACGGTGCTCAGTTTGATGGCTTTTTCCGACTCTGCACAGAACATGCCTCTTATGACCCCGTATCATGTCGCCACACTCTTTGACAGGTAGAACAATGCACTGTAAACGGTGACTATATTGTCGATTAGGTTCTTGAGGCGGGAGGGACCGAATACTAAGCTTCCTGCAGTGGTTCAGTCGTCAGGGCCATTTGCAGCCTGTAAGGCTGTAAGGCATTTTGCAGTTCTGGGTCTATTTATGTACATCTTGTCAAGTTGAGTACAAAGCAGCCGAGAATCATACTGCTGCATACCGTCCTCTGATATTTCGAAATTGAAATCATTTCGTTCTATAGGTGTCAGAGGGACATTCGGCGAACTACTGCTCTACCTGTGGCAACCTAAAACTACAACACCGTGTGCCCCCCGTGCACAACAGATATTTGTTTTGTCCATAGGAATTGGACATTCAGAACAAGTTTCCCTGAACAGAATAAGTGGCGCAGACTCTGCTAGCTGATTCGGTGGGCCTAGATATGGTCCACGGGGCGCTCGAGACGAATTCTACTTGCAACTTCGATAGAATCCCAGTTCTATGGCATACCGAGCCAGCATCATTATTACCTAGCACGGTGCCAAGCCCTTGTTTTTTGCTTTTAGTATCTAGTTTCAGACGTTGTCATCAAGTATATGGAATTTCTCAACAGCAGTGGAAGATAAAGAAGCATGTCCGGCAATAAAGATCGTCGGATATATGATGAAGATGATGAATTCGACAAAGCTAAATAGCAGGAGAAATGGAGACAGAAGAATCTTGGACAAAAAGGCTGCACAAATAGATATCTAGAAAGTTGAGAGAGTAGGCAAAAGGAGAGGTGTGGGAAGACTCAAAGCAACTGTTAATTCCATGCTTTGAGGGATGGGGTTGGGCCCATAACATAAACGGGAAATTCGAGATCTCGGATGACTGTCTGAAACTGAATAAACAAGAATATTAGCTATTTTCGCGATCTCAAAGGCTGAAGTTAATCTGTATTTACCTTGGAGTCCCCAACGAGAAATGCGAGCCTTAGATTGAGCTTGTACGTCCTCTTGATGTTGCAGACTTCGAAGCTTGAAGTGACTTCAGGAGGAAGTCGGCTGCTGGCCCACAAGGTATCATCCAAATCTGCCGTTGAGTCTCCAGGTGCATCCTCGAGACCTATCGGATAGTTTATATTGGCCATGCTTTGCACGATCCACGTGCTAGTAGATGACTCTGATGTCCCTTGTGCTTTAACATGTGTCGTTTCAACCAGCATTGTTTGAAATGCACTCAGCAGTATGTTGCAGCGCGAATCGCCAAGTTTTGTGACTAAAGGAATCGGGTTATCAAGGAAAAGACAGGGTCCATTTCGAAGCTCGGTATCGATTCGGAAGGATAAAGGTGAATCGCCGTCGAGGATGCGCGGGTTGACGCCAATGAAGCATTGTTGCTCCAATGGCTGTTGATAGGGTATTGGATCTGAAAATGAGTGAAATATAATATTTTGAGTCTTGACAATGATCAGCAATGATTTCAATGCAATTTTCGTTGCCAAAAAGCGGGCAGTTCCTTACTTTTTTCACTGTACTTTTCCCAGCAACAATCACGCTCAGCGAATATTTGATCTCAGCTAGCGACTCCGAGCCCCCTGTCGAGGGTGGAGTCTTTCTCAGTAGGTGGGATTTGGTTTGGGGCCAGCATCCAATATTTGCACATCCAATTTGCGGTTTGTTTGACCAGTGCCCTGTTTTGTAGCATTCGATGACTTGTGGAATCTAAGACAATTCCAAATCCAGTCAGATACGGATAGACACACGTGGGTTTGATGGAGATTGGTACTGACTGTGATAGAAAATTGGAGAATGTGATTCCCGCTTCCGATAGTTACACTGGAGCTATTTGAATCATTCATCAAATGGTCTGAAGGAAAGAGGCGGTGAGATTTTCTGAAAAGCTGAAGATTTCTAGTGTTAATGACAATAATCAAGATGTAAGATTTGGCTAGGGTGGCCGCTTTTCCACATACATGATGCGTTTCCGTGCGCCTGCTTTGACTCAGCCGGGATGTGGCTTTTCCCGATAAGTTTAGGACAATTGTTGACAAGTCGGCCGGCGACTCGGTTTGCAATATTACCTCGCCCGATACTGTATCTCGATGGGTATATGCTGGCTCTTGCTCATCCAGCCTCAACTCCACTTTCATCGTGGGTTGTGAGAACCCGAGTGAGCTCATTTTGAACAGCATGGGGGAAATCAGCCAAGGTGAGTGTATGTTGAAAGAGAGTATAAGCAGCTCTCGTACTTATCCTTAAAAGGGTCCAATCTCACGGTTAAATCATTTTAACTCCCACTTTGGTAAGTAAAGAATGGTACATAAAAAAACCTTCACTGTATGTCTCACTTCAAAGTGACCCCAGATCTCGGCGTAATCAGAATTTTGTGCCTCGTGGGATTTCGCGGAATTCCAGTTATTTTTAGTCGGTCAATATGGTAATTCATGTCGAAAATTACTAAAATGCTGAACCCTGATCAAAAGGGGGACAACTGGAGTACTCACAATATAGTTTGCCCATTGGCGGCTCAAAGAATAAGGGTGTTTTAGCCTCACGCTAAGGAATAGGGCTTGATGTCTGATTGGCCAAAGATCTGGATGAGAATGTGGGGCCCCGACTTAAAATAGCCGGTTATCCTCAATTTCAGTTGAAGCGAGATAATGTATACTAGCTTGTTGTTTCTTTCCTTGGACGAGAAATCAAAAAGATTCAATTCTTTGCAAGTTCAATGATATTCCATGGAAAGTGTACTGCTCGGCATATCTGCACAGCCTGTCACACGTTAATCCAAACTGGCTTGGCATCAGGGATCTCTGGGATTGCATCTCCGACTTGCAGCTAACACACCTCCAGTACTCCGTACTCGTTCCACATTGGGTCCAAATTGATACATGATGAATCCTTTTGATCGACCTTATTCGTTTCAGTATGTACAGCAAGGTGATGAAAGCGACGGCCTGAGTGATGGTCATTCGCCCCGGGTAAGTGTATATGAAGTGGAGATTGCTGGATTTTCAGATCTGCGGCAAGCCGAACTGACATTTCCGGTCGTTACCAGAATACTGAGCTCCCAAATGAGCATTCCCTCTCCCTACTTCATCCAGCTCATTCTTCTGCCTTGTCTCTCAGTCCCTTCGAAGACCCAGTCTCTTCAAGTGAAGTGACCCGCCGACCGTATCCCTCCTCATATGCTGCGGTCGATATCCCCAGACCAGAGTCGATGGAATCACTAGATCTCCCTGACCAGATTAGATTACATAACCTTTCTAACCAAGGCTCCGCCATCTCCTCTTCCAAAGAATCGGGGCCACGACACAAAGGAAGTAGCATTCGTCGATACCCAACACGGCGAATCAAGTTGACCCAGGGCTCAGTCCTGAGTATCAACTATCCGGTACCGAGTCCTATACGCAATGCTATTCAACCCGAGTATCGAGATGCGGAGGGGGAACTTCCTGAAGAATTCACGCAAATGAGATGTGAGTAGTCACAATGTGCCATATTCAACCCCATCATGATAACCTGATTTTTCTTTTTTTAGATACTGCAGCGACCTGTGATCCTGACGAATTTACGCTACGCAATGGTTACAACCTCCGTCCTTCGATGTATAATCGGCATACTGAGCTTCTCATTGCCGTGACATACTACAACGAGGATAAAGTACTAACCGCCCGAACCCTACATGGGGTAATGCAAAATGTACGAGATATTGTGAAATTGAAAAGGACGGAATTCTGGGATAGGGGTGGTCCCGCATGGCAGAAGATTGTCGTCTGTCTTGTCTTCGATGGCATGGATCCCTGCGATAAGAATACACTTGACGTTCTGGCAACCATTGGCGTTTTTCAAGATGGTGTGATGAAGCAAGATGTGGATGGAAGAGAAACGGTCGCCCATATTGTTTGTTTTCCCACCTCCCAGCCATTCTGGATTCCAATGCCTAGGGAAATATTCAAATGCTGATGCTTTCTAGTTTGAATACACCACGCAGTTGTCAGTTACCCCGAAGCAAGAGCTTGTGCGCCCGTACAAAGATGACCCTATGAATCTGTCCCCGGTACAGATGATGTTTTGTTTGAAGAAAAAGAATACGAAAAAGATCAACTCACATCGGTGGTTATTCAATGCGTTCGGGCGCATTTTAAATCCTGAGATCTGTATCTTAATTGACGCAGGCACAAAACCAGGACCTAAGTCTTTGCTAGCCTTATGGCAGGCCTTCTACAACGACAAGAACCTCGGCGGGGCATGCGGTGAAATTCACGCGCTTCTTGGCCACCGATGGAAGAAGCTTCTCAATCCCTTGGTTGCGGCCCAAAATTTCGAATACAAAATCTCGAATATCCTAGACAAACCATTGGAGAGCAGCTTTGGGTATGTGAGCGTACTGCCGGGTGCCTTTTCTGCCTACCGGTATCGCGCTATTATGGGCAGACCTCTGGAGCAATATTTTCACGGAGATCACACGCTAGCCCAGAAGCTCGGTAAGAAAGGGATCGATGGAATGAATATCTTTAAAAAGAACATGTTTCTTGCGGAAGATCGTATTCTTTGCTTTGAGCTAGTGGCCAAGGCTGGTAACCAGTGGCACCTCACATACGTGAAAGCGTCGAAGGGAGAAACGGACGTTCCAGAACTACCAGCAGAGTTCCTCAGTCAACGGCGGCGATGGCTGAATGGTTCTTTTGCGGCATCTCTATATTCCATCATGCATTTCGACCGGATATATAAGAGTGGTCATAGTATCATTCGGTTGATATTGCTTCATGTCCAATTGGTTTACAATATCTGCCAGTTGGTTATGACATGGCTTTCACTCGGTATGTTGTTAGTGCTCTTTGGGGGCTTAGATTAGTCCTATGTCAGACCACTAACATATGCTAGCATCCTACTGGCTCACAAGCTCCGTCATCTTGGACATTGTGGGAACACCAAGTGCGACCAACAAATTCAAAGGGTGGCCCTTTGGGAATGATGCTACCCCGATTGTCAATAACATGTTGAAAATTGGCTACCTGACCTTTCTTATGCTACAATTCATTCTAGCTCTCGGAAACCGACCAAAGGGGTAAGTATCAGGGCCTAGAAATGTGTACACCCTTGTACTTCACAGCTAACATTCAATCACAGATCAAAATTCCTATACACGCTCTCCTTTCTCTACTTTTCCGTGGTCCAACTCTACCTCCTCATTTTGTCATTCTACCTCGTTGCGCAAGCAATGACACCCGAGAATCTTAGTTTTGACTTCGATCATGGGTTTGGGGCACTTGTATCGGGCTTTATTGCTTCCACCGGTGGGCTCGTTCTGATCGCCCTAGTCTCAACATACGGGATCTACTTCCTTGCTAGCATACTCTACGCCGATCCTTGGCATATGTTCACTTCATCTTGGGCCTATTTCCTCGGAATGCCATCTTCGATCAACGTTCTGATGGTCTACGCATTTTGCAATTGGCATGATGTTTCATGGGGTACAAAGGGGTCAGATGCACCTGAAAAACTTCCATCGGCACAAACCAAAAAAGACGATGAAACGCCTTTCGTTGAAGAGCTGGATAAGCCTCAAGTCGACATTGATGAGCAATTTGCATCCACTGTGAAAAGGGCCTTGACTCCCTGGAAAGAACCGGTGGAAGATGAAGGAGTGGCCCTTGATGATTCATACAAAGCATTCCGAACGAATCTGGTGCTGTTGTGGACCTTTAGTAATGGTCTTCTGGCGTTGCTAATTAACAATCTCAGCATCGACAGGCTTTGCCTCACGGTACGTTGAATTGAGTTTGAGTTGTTTATTTTTGTTCACAGTCACTAACTGATACAGTCGACCTCTACACCTCGAACTGCGTGGTATTTCAAAATCATTCTGTGGGCGACTTCTGGTCTCTCAATTTTCCGATTCTTTGGAGCACTGTACTTCCTAGTGAAAACCGGAGTCTTGTGCTGCGTTTCTAGGCGTTGAATCATAGCTCGAGGCTGTAAATGAAGTTCTGACTTGGAGAATCATGGGCTTACCAGGCACTTTCATGTGCATTTCTATCTTGGACTCCAGATCTACTTTGTCCTTCTCTTCTATGTTAGATACCATGTCGTTTTACTCTATATAATAAACTTCACTTTTAATGTAGCCAGTACCATGGTTCTGCGCTTACAAATTCAAAGTCTAATGGATTAGCCGAGCTTTCCCCGAAAGGGTTTTGATATAGAAAAAGTCCAATGCCACTCACATATGACGCTGAGCCCTGTATGAAACCGGAGAATAATGCAACCCCCGGAGTACGCCGAACATGGATGTATCACCTCCCTAATCACAGTCACCTTAGGAACCCCGGCCTGTTGTATTTCGCCTCCATGAAACAAACTTAATAAACTATTGGACAATCTATGGATGCCAAGAAATGTATGATCCGCCCTGGAGCCATTAATGCTGCCTATTCTGCCCAGAAGTCGGTTTGCTCCGCTGGACGAAATTTCTGATTCAAATCGTACTTTTTTATTATTTTTAGACCTCCCAAGGCTGGACTCACATTTTTCTCCACTCTATAACCTCACTTCGAAGGAACTATGTCGACCGAGTCATTCGAGAAGCAGGGGCCTCAATTAGTGGTATGCATCTCACCTGAATCCCCCCCAACCTATCAGGTACTAATGCCTATTGCAGTGTGATCTCTGTCATTCACGCAAGGTAATACCCCCTTTCAAAATATCTCTATATATTGTCCATCTATAGCTATATTTACCTACCTTTAATCGGCAATTTGCTAACCAGATACGCAGGTCCGGTGCGATAGGCGCGATCCATGTGGCAATTGCCAGGATGCAGGCATATCCTGTAATCGTCGGCGAACTGTGAAGCGCAAGTGTCTTAGTACTCGCCCCCGGGCTCACTCCCGCAGCCCTTCACACAGTTCTCGACGAAAAGTAACACCTGATCACCATTTTGATGAAGTTCACTTGACAGATGAAGTTATACCAGTCCTCCGCTCTAACCCAAGTCGTAATTTCGATCTACGTGGGGTTAAAACTGGGGTTTTATCTGATCCGGTTTATGATGCCCAAATGACAATCCAGCATCAACTATGCAATCTGCCGGGTCTCACTCTAGCCAGACGCAGTGTGCTCGAAACAGCTTTGTCTATTATCAAGATCTTGTCTGACAATTCCAGATCGCTGGTACAAGACAGCCTTAACGATCATCAAGAGCAAGTTTCTTCTCGGAGTCTGTCCGTTGAATTTCTTACCTGGATGTTGAAAGGTATATCGATGATCAGCTGTCCAAGTTTCGAAATCGATACTGACCACGAAGCTCTGCAGATATCCGAACGGACAGATTTGGAATCTTCGTTGCGGATTACTTTCGACATCTTTCTATTCCATCATTGAAGAAGATGGGTCTTTCACTCCTTCGCGGCAACGTATCGACTCGCGAATCAATCATCTACACCGTTTGCGTGAATGCCGTCGCCTACAAGTTCCTCATTACGCTTGTAAATCTTGAAGAAGACACCGACCTTGCCTTTGAGTTGAAGAAAAATTCCACAGAATATCGAGCAGCAGCTCAGGCCGCATTAAAGCAGATCCCTCTGCTGATACCCCCGTCTCTCGCGCTATTACAGGCTATCATATGTGGTGTAAGTCTCTGGAATCTGCCCCTGTCTTGTTTCTCGATGATACTAATCCATATCTAGATATTCCTTCATCAAGGGTGTGGAGACGTCGATCTAAGTGGAGACCTCACCAAGGCCGCCTGTAACACCTGCATTGACTTGGATCTTCCAACGAAAGTTTTCTGTGGAAATGCAAGCGAGGAAGAGCTTTTCTGTTTCCTTTGGTGCTACATTTTGGACAGAAACTATGCGTTCAAATCACGAAATTCACGCTGCCTTCTCGACGTTCAGCTACCGGCCACTTTCAACGATCTTTATCCAACTTACCCTCCCATAGCCGAACACTTCTCGGTTTATCTAGATCTTGCTCGGGTGCAGGATACAATGCTTTCATATCTTCCCGATAACTCATTGAATCACAGCAATTCCTTATTACTATATGGCACTGGAGAATACATGTTGCTGCAGATGCAATACATCGAGCAAAGAATGACAAACGTGAGTCGAGTCCTCTCCTTTTCTTCGTGCACAATGTCTTATTCGAATACAGATTGCTTCCTTGTCGTTTGAGTGGAAAGGACTCGACTCGCAGACCGAAATGTCCGCCCTCAAGTTCGCCTATCAATCAGTCATGACCGGAATCCTATACCTTCTCCAATCCGATCCTGGCCAAAACATCTGCTCAACAGAGAGCTATCTTCAATCAGCGCGTCGGGAACTTTCAGCACTTGTATCCATGTGTCAATCGGCGAAGAAGCAAACTGCAGTCAATTTTTTGAACTGGCGAGTACTCAATACCATATTAGCATCTTACTTTCATCTCTAATATACCCATCAGGACGATTTTGCTCTACCCAGCGACGGCATACCTCATTCTATTCTGCAATGTCATCGCGACATCTGACATCGGCGATTTCAACCTCATGAAAGCAATTGCGGATTGCCTCGCTCAGAGTGGAATCAGCTACCCTCTTGTACAATTACGAACACTCTACCAGAAATTCTTGGGCCTTTCTCAGGAGTTTTTCAACGATGAGCGCAATGCGCTTCAACGGATCAGTGCGCCTCAACTGGGAAGTCCGTTGACTGACCCTGTTGAGAACCCATTTGCGATTACATGGGGTGCGGATGATTCAATTTTCAACCAGTTCGTTTTCACTGGATCAGAGAGTTTCTCTGGTATGTTGAGTCTGCCGGAGCTTGATCCGTCTCTGCCATACAATTTTGATTGAAATGTATGATTGAAGTGTATTATACCTGGCGTGTTGGTGGATTTGATACGGTGTTGTATTGAGATATATGGGCTTTCATGGATATAACAAATTAATTCGATTTCTGTACATAAATGATATGATATACACCAAAATTGTATGAAATATTCCAAGTTATATTCCTGGTACGTACAGGTATATACCGTTGCTGTTAAGTACGGTCTTGCGGTACATGACGGCGGGTGATATATCCCGTTCTATATATTTCAAACCGAACTTCAAACTCAACAAGGTACGTGCAGAAATTCAGGTATCTCCTATCCAAGTCGAAACATTTTCCTTGAAAGAGATTTCTATACGTATAATCATATGGACAAGACTGTTTTCCGCTAAGCATATGATATGTAGGCTATTACATACAAACATGACGTCTTGTAAATGATACCATGAAGCAGAAAAGAACTTGAACAGACCCGGAACGAGGTCCATTCCTATGATAAAATTGAGATTGACTTAACATGAAAATGACTACATGAAAATATAGCATAAATCTGAAGGGAAAATTGACTCGAAAGAAGATAGCCCGAGTTGGAGATAGGGCATGGAAAGTTGAGAACAAGATAAGAAACGTCTCAAACGCGAGCAATACCTTACAAGGCCGACTATTTTGAGAGAGATAGCCGTCAAAGAATTACAGCAGAAGAATCATAAAGACGCACGAAATGAAGAGCTAGCATATCGCAGAGCTCGGAATCAGCTTAATTGCGGCGGACACATGGGAGACCAGGGAGGCGGGTATACCCATGGCTCGAAATCAAATAAAGAGAATCGGAAGAACAAAGTCGTGGTGAGAAGAATCGAATCATAGAAACGTTGCGCCGCGTATCAAGAAATGGCAAAGTAGAAACACCGTTTTTCCATCACAAAGTGGAAGCTGCAGTTTAAAAAGACACGAACTCGCTGAATAACAGACAAGACATCATCGGTTGACAAGGGAATTGACCTAATTGACACGGAACGCATCGAAGATGACTGCATGGCCAGTTAGTACGGACCAATCGAAAAGAAGGGAAAGGATTGAAGAAACCTACCTTCATGACCTCTGCGGCAACCGCTACCGATCCACATCAAGGTGTTCAAGAATGTGTATCGCTCATCGCCGGTCTCCATGGACAAATTGACCCGGTATTTGTAGCTGCCGGGGTTGACACCGTCTGCCATGTTGGCATCAATGACCTTTTCGAGGACGTCCTTGGCGCCTGTCAACCATCCTTCTGTGCGAACCATGATAAATGCAGGTGGCTCATCGACAGTCTGAAGAATGTAACTCGCGCGAAGGTTGGTAGTGGAATCCTTGGTCACAATCTGTGTATCTTGACCACCGGGCTATTCTTCAAAATTAACACTGAACAAGAAATGACCGGAGATAAAGGCTTACCAGAACAATACCCTTACCCCATCGACCGGCCCATTGGCCGCCGATGAAGGAGACCCACTCCCTTTGGCCCCAGATGCTAGGGCCAACGGACACCTTGGGGTTCATTTTGATGCTCATGCGGAAATCAAGCTCCAGCGACGGCGCAGGGATCTGAAGGGATCGGGCAACGTCGCCTTCGGGGAATGTGTGGAGCAGATTGTTGGCGGGGATCGAGTCCTTCATCACGCTGAGATAGGTGGGACATTCGAGCAGATGCTGGCGCTGACGACTAGTATTCTTCGCGCGAACTTGCTGGCAGTAAATACATTGAACGGACAAGCACTTTTCCACATGATCAGCTTGAATGTTCCAAAACATATGACCGAGTTGTTTAGCCATACCTTGTCTTCTTCCTTTGCGCGGAACTCGACGAAAGCTGCGTGCACATCGTCTAATGGGGGCGCGGGCAAGCTCGAGCTTGATGTCTTGGCCTTTGGCTTGGGAGTCGGGCGCGAGGGAACGGCGCTTGCCGGCGCGGAGGGAGGGCCGGTAGGCGGAACCGGAGTTGCCATTGTGGCACGACTCTGTAGAGCTCCGAGCGGGGTCTGCAACGGAGTAGCATGAGGGTTGACACCATTGGTCATAAGGGTGCCGTTGGGAGTTGGGATAGTACCAGGGCCAGCTGGACCTGATGGGGTGGCTGTCGGGCCATTGGGAGTTCCGGGGTAGCCATTGGGAGGACCGATTCCGTTAGGGGCGGCCTGGGCGGGCTGGGAAGGTTGAGGCGCGTTGGGATGACCGCGCAAACCTGGACATTCGAGGAGATGTTGTTTCTGTCGCGAAGTGTTCTTTGCTCGAATTTGTTGACAGTATATACACTGAACGGACAGACACTAAAACGGGTTTTCGTATGTTAGGGACTGGTTGAAATATTACGAAATACACACGCACCTTATCATCTTCCTTGGCGCGAAATTCGACAAACGCCGCGTGTACTTCCTGGTCGACGGTGCGACCCATGACGAGCAGAGTTAAAGTAATACTATCGAGAACAATAAACAAAGAAAGTCGAAAGAATGGGTAAAAGTCGCGTATAGGTAAAGTTGGAGGGGTGAGGGAGAAGAAAAGAAAATGGAAAGACGAAGACGGGAGAATACGCGGGTTACGCGCCCTGCGTAATTTGGAGCACTGCTTACGGTACCTGCCATCTCCGTACTGGACTTATATTACACACTTGGGTAGTTATGAATCTATGGTTTTATTAGTTGATCAGTCTAGTCTATTCGAATCTATTATATGTCCTAGTCGTTTCTGTTAAACCTCATTACCTTTCCTATCACTTGCTGCCCTGGTGGTGTAAAAACATCAGCCAATGGATGAGACCGGCGCTCGGGACCCTAGAAATATGAAATATATAAAAAAATTATGAATAGCTGCCTAATAAAAAGCAAAATCCTAAAGGCACAATGAATAATCTCTATAGACCTTGAGATTTCCTTTGAATCAAAAGTTCCTTGTATAGCCCTAGCGGTTCAACCTTGTCAGTCTATTGAGTCGGAGAATTCAGGGCAAACGAGGCACACTCGGATCAGGGCTATGATTAGATTGAGTGGGGGAAACAATTTTCCTGAATCGCGCGCATTTAGCAGAAGTAAAAAAAAAAACAGATCGAGATAGAAAAGAAATATAGATCTCTCTTATATACTCCGTACTTGCTCGTATATTCATTTCCACGAGATCGAAACATCAGGTATTATTACTGTTACCCTGTTGGACCGTATCCCATACGCGATACTGTCAACTACTTCAGTTACAACTTACAGGTTCCTGGTAAGATTGGGGTATATTGAAAAAAATAAAGATAGACTGAATTGTCCGCATTGCCTTCACCTTCCCACATACGTATACCCTCTCATGCAATTCATAATATTGTTCTGCGCATCCCGGTGATGTAATATGCCACAGATCGCGTCAATAAGTTCGTTCATATCATCAACCTGCATCATAGTAGTGTCCATTTTTTGGTGTTTGATTGCAGCAATAGGAACCAGCGCACGACTGAGCAAAGCCCCTCATATTTTCCACTTGAAATTCAGCGCTTCAAGAGTCTATTATCAAGCATGTGTTCCTCGACGTCATTGGTGGTCGTCATTGAGACCCAGTACGCACGGTTCACGCTCACATTCCAGATAGTCTCAGGAAAATCTCGCCATAGCGATAGTGGACTGCCCATTCCGTACTTTCGTCGATATACCCATCTTGGTGGACATGCAGCACACCTTTTGTAGCGAGCGTGAGAACATTCATCAAAGCCTGAGTCGCGACAGCTCGCGTCGTACTCTCAGGAGGAAGAAGACGCGCGAATGTGGTCTGCCCGAGTTTGGTCGTGAGCGGGCTAGACGTGTTGCTGTTCGGGCTCTGTGTGCTTTCTGCTTCACCGTCGCTAGCAGTACCCATCTTGGTCTTCATGAAATCTATGAAGTTCAAGCTTTCCCGATCAAGGGTTGACTGAGCGCGTTCGAGAGCAGAGCGCTTGCTCGGCGTGAGTGAGCTAATATTTTCGCGCTCTGTCGCAAGCTCGCCCTCAAGATAATGAGTGAGATCTAGGTCGTCTCCGAACTCGCCCAGGAGATCGACGCTAAGCTGGTCTTGCCCTCCGAGATAGCTGCGCCCAGCAAGGGGGCTAGCGCTTGTGAGACGGCTTCGGGCTTTCCGTCCTTGAGAAGAGAGCTCGCTAACACTGCCGAATCGTTGTCTTTGTCGAGAGCTTTGAATAGATGCGGTGATGTTCCAGGGCATCTGGGATGAGTGATCGTCAAACAGACTTGAAGGTGCATCACGGCCGACTTCAACTTCCATATTGAGACGGTCGATGTTCTCACGGCTAAGATGCCCTGCTTGTTCGTCTCTCGCGCGTACTCGACGCTCCTCTGATTCTTCATTATCTGCGCTGCGCTTTCGCCGGTTTCGATGAGAGTATCCACCAACGGCTTCAAACAGACTCTCACCTGAGTAGAGGTTGAGCGGATGCGTTTCGTGACCCATTCCTAGTCCGACTCCAACCGACCCGATTCCTTGGCCGAACACCCAAAAAGCAGCATTCTTCTTCGAAATAGTCGGAATTTTGTTTTGCTGCTTTTGCTTCAGTGCTTCGATCATGTTCGCAACGTATTCATTGTTCCATTGGGCCATCGTCATATTTCGAAGCGCCGTGGCATCGTCGGATATGATTTCCTTTGGGCGTCTGACTCTGCGGGTTCTCGCTGCTTGAATATCGATTGTTTCCTCAACTCCATCTAGGTTTTCATTTGTCTGGGGAATTGTTGGACCTGCAGTCTGGGTGTCGAGCTCTAGCATGTCATTGGTCTCTGGCACTATGACTTCCTCGTTGTCAATCTGCATCTATTGAGCAGAGTCAGTGGACATTCTTTTGCTTTCGGCATCAATGTATGATACTCACAGGGTCTTCATAGAGCTGACGTTGCTGGTCGTCTGTCGGTCCTTCGCTTTCCCTCAGGTCAACGGTGGACTTCCTTGCACAAGGGGACTGCTCCCTGGCACCGAGCTCGATGATATTACCATCCTCATCAAATTCGAAGTCAGGTTGAAGGAGGACACCTTCTTCATAGCCTAAGCCTAGCCCCGACATGTTGCCGAACTTATCTTTCTTCTGTACAGACCCATTGATTTCATTGAGTCCACTGATGGTACCATCTCCTAGGATGTCATCCGATGGGAGCTCAAGGTGCAAACTTGAAAGTTGGGAATTGCCTGACAAGCTATTATTCGGTGATTTGGTCCATAGACCACTGAGCTGGCTCGAGCTGTCGTCTGTGGTGGCAGTGAAATAGGACAGGTCAATTTCAAGTCCCGGGAGAGCCGTCTCGGGTAAGAAAGACGGGTCATAAGGTAGGATCAGATTGCTGGGCCTGGGATGAGGTCAGTCTTCGACCAATTCCTTGCAATACTACAATTCAAGGAAACTCACTTGGTCTGTCCGGCAGCTGGATCAAGCCCACTGCCTGGAACGATCTTCAGCTTGGAGACCATCTTGTCATGCATCGCCTGTGTATCAAGCAGCGTATACCCACACTGTTGATTGTATACCCGAGAGACTCCGTACCTTATACAAACAATCTGTTAGCATACCCATGAAGGCGGCACTGAGGAAATCTTACAGCAAGCTCCCCTGTAGCCGCAGGGCCATAGGTGCGTCAGGATTGATGATGACTCGACACGCATTGGGGACATCAACGTCCAGGATCGCTTTTCGGTTCAGTCTTCTGGCAATGGAGCGGGACCCTAGAGTTGCGACCAGCCTGTGAAAAAGGTATTATTAAACTTGGCTTTGTGTCGTGAAATTCCTGCGTATTCTTACCATATTGTCGCGACACCATGCTCTGGCGAGGTGAGGACTAAAGTGTGATAGGCAAGTGAGCTTTTCGTCCGAGATGACGATGGCCTGTGGTGGCATTTCGACTTACTTTCGTGGCTGTAGAACATGGTTGTGAGGCAAATGGACTCGAGTGACCACAGACCCTCGAGTCTCCACAAAGCTTGAATTTTCAGATGCAGTTAGGAATAGTGTGACCAAGTCATCGAACTGTTGTTCTCTAGGAGTGGGCGCGGAATTAGGTAACCCCAGAAGAGGGAGAAGGTGGAAGTATGATGTATGAAGAGGGTGTGCAAGTCTCAGTCTAAGCACAAGATCCTTGAGGTGAGGTGGACAGATGAGCTCTGCATCCTAAGTCCACGCGTACAACTACAGCACACATGAGCTTGGGTCCAATGTTTCCCATTGCCATACATTGTTTTCTAAGTACAAACGACTGGACTCTCCTTTCTTTTCAATTCAATAAATCAACTCGATTTGTATATCCATGGATGGTCCTGAGATAGGGAACAATCGTCGGAGACTGGGTCAAACCCCAACATTAAAAGAAAGAAAATTTACTTTTCTTGAGACTCTTGAGAAAGCATATGTCAGCTGAGCACAAGGGGACAAAAAATGACAAGCCATTTGAAAAGAGGCAGCAGAATTCTAAGGAAGCAAAAAAAGGACCAAGACCAACAAAAACCGCACTCTTTTGACACAAAAGTATGGGCGTAGGCATAATCAACTATGGAAGATCTGAATATAGATAGGAAGCACCCAGAAATCTCCAACCCAGAGCGATTTATAGGATGCACGGGGGGTATGAGACAAAAGACATGCAAAAACAGGACACAAACACACCCTGGCAATTACTCGTCACTCATTTTGAGTGGGAGCTTAATCGAGAGGGATACCCTCGTACTCGGAGTAGCCCAGAGCCAAGTTCATGTTTTCTATTGGGTTCGTTAGCGTCACAGGCATGAAATAGATGGATTCAACACTTACGCAAGCACTGGGTAGCAGCACCCTTGAGCAGGTTGTCAATGGTGGCGCAGACAACCACGCGCTCGCCGCTGGAGTGGACAGCAAATCCACCGATCTCGACACCGTGGCGGCCGGCAATGTCCTTGACAAGAGGGGCTTCGCCAACGATCTTGACGAGCTTCTCACCAGCGTAGCGATCCTGGTAGAGGTTGCGGATATCGCGGGAGGTCATCTTCTGCTTCAGGGGAATGCTGATAGAGTGCTTGATAGAAATGTTAGCAATCGTGAAAACCAATGCCAGGTCAACAGGCACTTACGGAGATACCCTGGAACCAAACTGCGACGTGAGGAATGAACGCAATGCTGGTGCCCAGCTGTGCGCTGATCTCACGCTCGTGGATGTGGTCAGTCAGACTGTAGGGGATGAGGTTGTTGGTGAGGAAGTTGACGTCGTTCTTAGGGCTGGGCTTGGTACCGGCGCCGGAGTATCCAGAAACACCGAAGGTAGTAGGCTGACCGCCAAGGAACGGAACAAGAGGGGCGATTCCAAGCTGAGCAGCAGTGGCGTAGCATCCGGGATTGGCAATGCGAGTAGCCCGGGCAATCTTGGACCGCTCAACCAGCTCGGGAAGACCATAGGTCCACTTAGGGTCGAAGCGGTAGTCAGCGCTCAGGTCGACAATGACGTTACCCGTCTTGGAACCCTCGTCAACGGCATCGACGAAAGGCTTGCAGATACCGTTAGGCAGAGCCATAACCCAGCAGTCAATGTCACCATTAGCGGACATCTTGCGAACATCGTCGGGGCTAAGATTCTCATAGATGATCTCGCGCTTCTCGTAGCCTTGGAGCTTCTTACCAGCCAGCTCGCGCGACGAGACGTGACGAAGATCCATGTTAGGGTGGGCATTGAGCAAGTTGATCAGGGCCTGGCCGGTGTAACCGCGGGCACCAATGAGAGCAACTTTGGCGGGCTGGGTGTTGGAGATGTTCTTCTCTCCAAGAGGAGGGTTGGGGTTGGTAGTAGCAAAGGTGCGGAAAGAGTTCACGGCAACGGTGGGACGCTTAGCACGGCTCATGCGCAGGGCGTTGGTGGTGGTTGAGAACGCACGCTTCTGCTCAACAGAAGCACCGCTAGCGCCGAAACCCTTGCTAATGTTGGCGGCAGCCTCAGCAGCGCGGTGAAGGCGCGCTTCAAGGTTAATGTCACCGAACATCTGGCGACCGTGCGCGTTGAACTCCTGAACCAGCTGCTTGACTTCCTCGCCGTTCTCGGCGCCGTACCAGAAGAGGACCTGGCCATCACGGCTCAAGCTGCCATCGGCCTTGTCGAAGAACCAGGTCAGATTCTCATCGTCCTCCTTGACAGTCCATGCCAGCTTAGGGAAGTCCTTCTTGATGCTAGCGAAGACGTTGTCGGCAACGTTAGTCAACCAACCAGACTTGGTGATGGTGAAAGTGGCCAGGTGGGCCATCTGGGAGTTGGGCTGCGGAGGCAGCACAACGCCAAGAGCTTCCATAGGCTCGTCGTAGTAGATCTTGAAATCCTTCTCCTTCATACCCTCAACGTAGCGGTCAACAACAGCACGGGCATCAAGACCCTCACGATCACGGACCAGAACCTCCTTCAGGGCGTCCATGTCTTCAAACTCGGACAGAGAGGTCTTCACGTGGATCTTGTTACCGCGGCGGATCAGGGTACCAGCACCAGAGTCGGTGAAGAGTTCCTTCTGGAGATCAGCAGGGTGAATGATTGCGACGCTAGACGAGCGAGGCAGGTCATTGAGGAGATCCTTCATCTCCTTGATCTTCAGGCGAGTGCCGTGGCGCACCCACCACTGGCTCATCAAATGGTCGTACTCCTCATCGAGGTTGATGGCGGAGATCTTCTCACCGGTGTCACCGTTGAACAAACCACCCTTCTCGGCCAGATAGACAATCTTGAGGGGCTGCAAGGCGCGGGCAAGCTCACCGGCAGCCACATCCGCATTGACATTGAGCACCTGGCCGTCAGGGGTCTCGGCCATGGAGGTCAGGATGGGCAGGCATCCAGCAGCAATAGCTGACTCAATGGGAGCCTTGTCAACACCATTGATCTTGCCAACCAGGTTGTACTTGGGCTTGTCGAGGTAATCGGCCGAAAAGACGCCGGCGGTAATGGGGCGAGCACGGATACCGATACGCTCGAGCTCCTCAACCAGCTTCATGTTCTCCTCCAGGAAGAGCTTGCGGGCGAGGGCCAGGGTCTTACCGTCAGTCACCCGGATTCCATCCTCAAAGTGAGGCTCAACACCGGCGGCCTCCAGCATGCGGTTAAGCTGAGGGCCGGCACCGTGGACGACGATGGGGTACAAACCGACATGGTTAAGGAACGCGAGCGCGGATGACAGAGTCTGAAGGTGCTCCGTAATAATAGCACCTCCAACCTTGATCACAGCGAATTGCTGAGAGGACACGGAGGTGAAGTGTGACAGGTACTGTTGAACCTCGCGCTTGGAGCCAATATTGCTCAACAGTTGCACAACGGTACTGCGGGTGGAGGTCAGGTGAGGATCCGTCGAGCGGGAGTAGGTGCGAGTCTGGCGCAGGGAGGTGGCAGTCTTGACGGCTGAGACTCGCAGAGCAGTCGGTGCGGAGAGAGTACGGAGGGGCTTGCACGAAGCTCTCCGCACAGCGGAGCGAAGGGACATCATCCTGGCAACACACATGCGGCAGCCTCAATGGTCTCACGGTCGGCCCTTGGGTGGGAGAGGCCCCAAATATGTATAAGAAGGTGGAAGGGTAGGTGGAAGGTGAGAAAGTGTTGAGTCAAGAGATATTTTTCAGATCGGCCGGGCCTCGGAGCGATAACTTGGCCCAATGACGGGGAGAAGGCGGTGGACCCTCTCCCTCTAGCGAGCGATTTATCTCTCCATCTTTACGTGCGACATTTGATTATTCCAATACTGTTTTGCATGAGTATTTTAAGAGTATTTTAATCCTCTCTTTTTATCTCAAATTTGTATTGTATACATGTACACCAATTCTCCCTTGACTGCTTTAGGTGCATATTTAACATTTGTGTGGTGCCCTAACCGGGACCAAAAAAAAAGATGGTTAAGAAATCATAAAAGAATCTTCACATTCCTCGGGATATCAATCTCCTTAGACTTCCTTAACAGACATCTTACCTCCGAAAAAAGTCCACTTCTTCCAAGGTTCTGCTCGGATATCGTGAAACGTCATCCTGCTTGGGCTTAGTCTCAGTTATCTGATCTTGTTCCTTGTTCTCACTCGTTGCGTTGAGCCACCACTATCCACTTCCCTCCACCCTGGCTGGGTCTAGCACTCTGCCCTTCCTGCCGAGGGCATACACGAGCCCTTTTCCCAATGGTCTAATTGAGGAATTGGTGGACACTGGTTTTCGTGCCAAGGGTTCCCAGTATTATCTGATTTTTCTTACTGTCCAACAGCCTTCGCTAGATGAATTTTCAAGCGACTCTCCGGGAAGGGCGAGGGCCTGCGCTGCTGTACTCATATAGCAAGAGATCCACAGTGGAAACGATTTTGATCAGTTTAATATATGAGTAGACACCTGATGCCAATGGGTTCGGGCATGCATAGCGGGTTCCTTGCAGGATGATCTCATTGGCGAATAGGAGCTTCATAGGATGGGTCTATGGGTTACGTGGACAGTGTGCTAGCCCTCATCCCTGAGACTGAGTGGCCGTGTCTACTATAATGGTAGCCGATTCAACTCTCGCTCTCAATCGCCTCTCTTCCATTTCCAGTCATGCATACCCCTAAGCTCAAAGACCTAGACTCAATCGTCAGACTTAACACGAGGGTGGATGTTAGCCTTGTCCATCGAAGTGTGGATCTACGCGAACATTCTACATTGCACAACTATGATGCTATTCAAGTGTCCCGGCAAGACTGACTTTCAGAAAAGAAAAAAAAAAGCGAAAGCGCACTATAAGGGAGGTTCATTGCAGTAAGAAAGCACCCGAATGGCAATGTGGTAAGCATACTTAAACACGGCGTCATGGAAGTATCATTTACATCTTCATCCGTCGACCGGGTCGCATATAGCGACACAACCCAAAATCGGATGAACTCGTTTCGTTGCACGGAAAAGTCAAAGAGGATTTGGTCATTGAAAACACACGCCCAGAAAAAAACAGCAGGAGGTATTAGCGGCTGCGAAGAAAACGGAAAAGGCCACACGGCCCTAGCAACAGTAAGCCCAGTAAAATTCAAGATTCCATGTCCAAAGAGAAGTCGTAAGTCGCGCACAGTCGAGGTGCTTAGTGCTTGGTGGCAACCACTGTGTATAGTGTTAGTGGCGAACTGAGGAGGGTGGCAGAAGGCCAGATCACTTACCGGCTGGCACAATAATGACAATGAGAAGGACAATCACGCAGATGACTAGACACACGCGCATCTTCATGTCCTTCCACCACATATCTTTGCGCACACGGTTGGCGCCTCGGCGGAAGCCCTGGGCTGAGACAGCGAGGTTGTCGGTCTTGTCCTGGAGAGAATCCAAGTTCTCACCACGTTGGGAGACCTTGTTAATGTTTTCGCGCATCACACCGACGGTATCGTCGATTTGCTATAGAAGATACCGTGTTAGCCCCATTGCGGGAAGCAAGTACCCTAGCCTTCGCATTCCGGTAGATCACTGAGTAAACAAGCATCCTCCATCCACCGGATGATGTCTAGGGGTTTTCTCAATGGCTAGGGACGCCACGAGTCAAGATAACGTCAGGGATCAACTCACTGCTTGCAAAGCGGCAGTTCGCTGATTGCCATTCTGTCCGGCGGCAGCGGGGGCTCCAGCAGAGCCGGAAGGGATATAGGGGTCGTAAGGTTGTTCGGTGGCAGCCATTATGAATGTCGTAAATGAATTTAAGAGATCCTCAGGTTTGTACTGGCAGGAAACTGGGAGTGTCTAACGACCTCGCGGGAGCACTAGGGGTTGCGCTGTTTGGATGGGGAAGCGCAGCAAAGAGAAAATCTAGGGCACTAGAATCGACGTGAAAAGTGGAGTATGGAGCAAGAGCTAATGTAGGATGATGAATATTGGAATTTAGCGCAACGGCGAGTGACGGAGGGAAGGGATTAAATGGTTGTTGTCTGGAGTGAAGCTGACAAGGGTGACTTGCCGCTGAGGCGGCTTGCCCAGAGTCACGTGCTGTGGCGTTCCCAGCACAAAGCGTACTATATGTACGTATATAGGCCCCGGCTTTACTATGTTTAGAGCGTTAGATGTTTATTCTTTTCAACTTGTTGACCTTTATTGTGAAGGTCGTCTGCACCCTTAACTGTTCAGGCTAGGCAATTCTCTGGTTTTTTCCCTTAAACTCAACGAAAATGAATTTAATATACCGCAAACAACGTGCGTGTAGAATAGTAGATATATAGTACTACCTAGGTACTATGTGCTTCGCATAAGCAATACCCCTGGTTTTTTATAACTCTTTTCAGTATATTAACAGTCCTGTTTTGAGGAAATTCATCGTTATATAGCTGCCTATTGATATAAGTGCCGTCAGAAGCGTTGCTCGAGGAACCCGTGCACGTGTCCTATTTTTAGTAGCAAGCCGCATCAGGTAGCATTTTCCGGTCCTGTTGCCGTGATGCCCCTCCATTAAGCACCAGTCCGCTACATACAATGTTTGAAACTCTTTGATGAATGAGGCAAGCCAAAAGTTCAAAAAGAAAAGCATGAATATAATCGGCGAAAACAGAGAACAAAAAGCAGAAGTAAAATTCCCGATATTGAAACATTCACAGGAGGGTAAGATGATCCGACATGTTTTTTATCGATGTGCTGAAGCCCGCAATGAGAACTCGTCTGTCATCATGTTCAAAAGCTAGGGAATCTTCATAAAATACTAAGTAGGTTCATTCACGTTACTATATCGGAGGCCAAACATTACTATCGCCTAAAAAGGCTACAAAGTCCTTTGGCAAGGAGATTCGATCGCGTCCTTCATAAAGACCCCATATTGGCTCTTCAATGTCTATCACTTTGTGTCCATTATCCTATGCGCAAGTGTGGTGCTTTTATAACAAAGCCTGAGCCCCATAACTGACCATCAGAAGAGAAGGTTTCTTTTAGAAGCCAACCACAGTGAAATAGAAGAACCACAGGTAGGAACGATTTTGACCAACTCACTGAGGAGGACAGATTCGGCCAGACCAGCCAAAATATCTCTTCATGTCAGCCTATATGAAATCTATACCAGGATATCTTCTAGTGATGAATGTATCAACTCTACTACCTCGATAGCAGAGTCGGTTCCTGTGGTCGAAAAAACGTGCTGGAAAGCCTGCAGAGCGTCGTCCAATGCAGAACCTGCAAGCTGCGCTGATCTTGTTCTTGGTCAGTAGATGTAATGAGTTTCTCGGCCAATGGAAGATTTTTGTCGTTCCTTTGCATTAGATCTTTCCTTGCACACGCTCAAGTATGTTGAGATTTGGGACCTTAGGGGTGGGTAGTCTTAAAAGGATTTCATTTCATTTACACAACCACATGCAACTTGTTCGAAGGCATGAAACAACCTAGAGGATTCGAACATTGGAACCTCTCAAGGTTGAAAGCAGCGGTCGATTGCATAAGCAGAATCAGATCCCGAGGTCGTTCCGAATGCACAGAAGGGTAGTAGCCAGTAATATATTATGGCAATGCAACGTAATCAATTCAATCATCCTGCTTTGCAGTACCTGTTCACAATCCCCTTTGCATAGACTGGCAGCCTCATACAGTTCTGCATTACCATTCAACACAGCTAGTCCCTAATAGCATTCGCAAGAGTCTCCTCAATAACCCTAATCATCTCCTCCGTATTCTTCATATCAAATGGAACCATATGCTTAGAACCATGATCATAGAAAGTCGCCTTGGTGGGATCACAGAGTTCATACAACCTTACGCTCTCCGGGAACAGCGCATCCGCCTTGCCAACAATATTTGCCGTCGGAATGACAATTGGATAAGTTCCCGCCTGCGGCGCGATCTGCTCTAGTCCGGTACTATCCCAGGGCGCCGCACCACAGATAAACACCGCTGCGCGGAATAGCGACGGTTCGGCCGGGTAGTTCTTGCTTTGGTGAATTAAAAGTGAGGCTGCTAGTGCCGCGCCTTGTGAGAAACCTATGACCACGTCGAAGGGGCCTTCTTTTGTGATGAAGCTCTTGGTGTGATCGAAGGCTTCGTGGATGCTGGAGCCTGGCGAGGAACCTCGGGTGTAGTGGTTATAGAAGGGGCCGTCCACTATGCCTTCGAGTTCTGGGTTGGTTTAGTAGGTGAATTAGGCGATGGTTGTATAGGGACTAGAGTTTACCCTCTTCCACTTTGGCGTCCATCTTCCCGTTCATGAATTTGAAGTCGTGGCCATTTTTCTCTAGTATCTGGCGGAGGCCTCCAATTTGGATTTCAAAGATCTATGGCTGGTCAGTATTTTCTATGTCAAAATTGAACGTATGCATACTTCACCATTTGTGCCTCCCCCATGCAAGCAAAGGAATCGCATTTTGGTGCTTAAGGAACTCGTATATAAGCTTGTATATATTGTTTGACAAGCACGAAATTATAGTGAAACAGGTCAGAATTTTGTGGTACAAGATTCCTCGGGTTCCTGCTCAAGGGGAAAAAAGAAACGAAGTCTACAGGACAGGTGGCCAGGGGAACTGTCTCGAGAGATACAAGGGGGATCAACCTGCAGGCGGGGCAGGGCTAGAGCTTGGCGGGATGATGTGAGATTATACAAAGGTCTTGTTCTTAACTCCGAATTTCTTCAATTTAAAGTTGAACAGCAGGTCTGCAGAAATCCCTTGCCAGGGGGACCAATAGGAAATTTCAACATCAGAGATTTTGTTTGAGAAACTAAAAGAGATACTCTTCTTCGGACTACTTTGACACATGTGAAAAAGAAATGTTATTCCTTGGCCCGAAGTCATTGACCTCATTGACCGGCTATTTAACCCCCTAATCTGATCGCAACTTCCACAACCCTACATATTCTTCAACTCATAAGCTATGGATCTACGTGATATTATAGCCACTCGTGGCTTCGCGACCTACAGCTTGCGTCATCCTCGGGAAGCACTGTCAAGCTTTGGCCCAACCCTGAACGAGGCCACCTTCGGCTTTTTAGGGACATCTTTCCAGCCAGAGCGCGATATTCGCGACTTAGAAGGCAAGGTCGTCCTTGTGACTGGAGGTACATTTCCTCTTTTCCTCTATCGCCAGCTTCCAAATCACTGACATTGCGATTGATTAAGGCAATGCCGGCCTAGGCAAAGAGACCATTCTCCAACTCGCCAAGCATCGCCCGTCGCGCATCTACATGGCCGCCCGCACCGAGAGCAAGGCGCGCGGGGCAATTGAATCGCTACAAAGCCAGCTCCCCTCCCCTGCCGATATTCGCTTTCTCCCCCTCGATCTCTCTTCCTTCAAATCCATTCGCGCCGCCGCAGACAAGTTCCAGTCCGATAGCGATCGCCTGGATATCCTGATACTAAATGCGGGCACGATGGGTAACCCGCCCATCACGACAGAGGAGGGCTACGAGATCCAGTTCGGCACAAACCATATCGGTCACTTCCTGCTCACAAAATTGCTTCTGCCTACGCTGCAGAAGACCGCTGATCTTCAGCGCGCCAAGGATGAGGTCCCCGATGTGCGGGTCGTGACGGTCGCTTCGGCAGCTCACTGTGTTGGCCCCTCCACTTTCGAGGAACTTACGTCTACCCCTGGCTTGTTGGCTTCCAGTACCTGGACGCGCTACGGCGCCTCCAAGTCGGCTAATATTCTCTTTGCATCCGAGCTGGCCCGCCGGTATCCTGATATCCTGTCTGTTGCTGTGCACCCGGGTGCAGTTGACAGCGGGCTCTATGGGCATACGAAAACTCTGAACTCGCTGATGAAGTATAGTATCAATGCTGCTGGCTCTATGGTTTTCCGGAGTATCGCTAGTGGGGCCCTCAATTCTCTTTGGGCAGCTGGTACGCAAAGGGAAAATATTATCAACGGAGCTTACTACACCCCCATTGGGTACCGCAGTGGTGGCACTGCGACTGTACAGAACGAACAATTGGCCCACAAGCTCTGGGATTGGACCGAGAGTCAGGTTTCCAAGCAAAATTGAGGAACCGCCAAGGCATGTATGAATATATGAAATGACTGAAATGTAATCAACGATTTAGCTTGCTTCTAATTGGTGTCCACGTTGTTTGCAATGAACGTTGCGATTCTCCGACCTGTAAGAAGCAGTGAGCATGGAGGCAAATGGCATCATGATGATTTCGATGTCGGTCATGCTACCTAAGCCCTGGATGACTGCCCGCGTAGCTTGTTCAATCCAAAGGACACCCTATTATCAGACAAGACTTCCCTTGAGTGGATTTTCTACCCTCAACCCCGTGTCGCGCCAGACACTATCACCAACATGGGCCACATCGTCGTGACCGGTGGCTCCGGCAAAGCAGGCCAGTTCGTCATCACCGAGCTCCTCAACGCCGGACACAAAGTCCTGAACCTGGACCTAATGCACATGGAACACCCATCCGTACACACCCTAAAAACCGACCTCGCCGACAGCGGCCAAGTCTTCAACGCCCTCTCCGGCCAATGGACGCTCAGTGAGCCCTTTCCGGAAGGCCTACCTCCACGCCCAGACGCCGTAGTTCACCTCGCAGGCTACGCACGCAACATGCTCGTACCAGACAACGAAACCTTCCGCTCGAACACGCAGGGCACATATAACATCGTCGAGGCCGCTTGCAAACTAGGAGTCCGCAAGATCATCATCGCGAGTAGCGTAACAGTGTACGGGGTATCATTTGCGCAGGGAGATGCCAACTTCCCCTCGTTTCCGGTCCACGAAGACCTGGACATCAACCCGACGGATACGTATGCGATCGCGAAATTGTGCAACGAGCGCATTGCGCGTGGTTTTGCGTCGCGCTTCGACGCGGATATCTACAGTCTACGCATTGGGCGCCTTATTGAGCCCCATGAGTACAATGATGATATCTTCTACAGCTATGTGCATGAGCCGGCGTTGTGGAAAGTGCATGGGTGGTCGTATATTGATGCTCGGGATCTAGGTGGGATGTGTAAGGCGGCCTTGGAGACTAGTGGGCTTGGATTTCAGGTCTTCAATGCAACCAATGATCATATCACCAATCTTAGTCCCACGAAGGACTTTTTGAAGTCTCAGTTTCCGGATATACCCATCACGCGCGAGATGGGGGAGTTTGAGGCGCCTTTTTCGAATGCGAAGATAAAGCAGCTTCTTGGGTTCAAGGAGAAGCATTCTTGGCACAAATATTTCACTAATTGGGAGAAGAAACAGATTGAGATGGAGGAGAGGAAGAAGTAGATGATTAGTGATTAGGATGGAATGAAACTGTGTCCACTGATTCCCGCTTTGGGTATATACCAAGGTATCAAGGTTCATATTGCTCTAGTAGTATTCAAATACACCAGAGTGTCGCTATTAGCTCAATGTTGCAATGTTGCTATGTTCCAACACTGAACTATATATCTCATTCTCATGGAGCCCGATTAGGGTTTAGCCGAGAGCATCAAGATCCCACAATCGAACACCCTGGGACTTTGCGAATAACCAAAATCACCCAAGAACGACAGGTAGATTATATTCCTATAGATTCAATTTATAAATCATAGAAAAATGTAGACCTTCGAAAAAAAAACAGCCCGTTAAACCCAAGTCGGCGCATTAGCGAATATTCTGGCAAACTCCCCACACAAAACTCTTGGGGATGCATCATCATTCCACCCACTTCCACTTCACGTTCCCTTTAACCATCTCCCCCTCAACCTTTTTTTAACGGTACGCCATCTTAATTGTTGAATTAAACAATTATATTGAAATCCTCGAATTTCAATCGCCCTATATCGAATTACCGGCTAATCCTGCGCCAGGCGATCACCCCTCCAGACTTCATCATGGATCAGGCAAAGTTGGCTAGAATGCAGGCGAGCGTTCGCATCGGTACGTTTCTGTCTATTTTCGAGGATTTTGGAGCTTGAAATATGATCTGGGTCATGACGTGGAGCTGCGATTCTGTAGAATCGGTAGCCCTGGAGCTTGGTCATATCTCGAATCTGCAATTCTTTGAATGTCCTAAGAGTCCCTGGTGTATGCACAGTTGATAGCTAACATGATTTTCATTAATAGGGTATGTACATATTGTCCAGAATTGCTCTCATCCCGACCCCTCGATTTCCTACGGAGGGAACGAATTTTCGAATTGTGCAATATCCGGATTCGACACAGCCGATAGTCAGAGAAGTTCTCGATTTTTGAATCTATGCGACGGCGTTATATCAAATATCGGACCAGAAATAGATATCGCATGGCGCATGGCGAAGAGAATCCAGTCTTGACTCTCGGCCTGTCATCAATCCTTGCATTCCTTCGATCTTTTCGGACCCCCCCCCGTTCAGCCCCCCCACCACCCATATTCACCCGCTCTCCACACCGATACCACATTTTTTTTCAACCAGTCCGAAGTCCAACCAACTAACAAATTTATAGTGGCAAGGGTACTCCCCGCCGCAAGGTCAAGAAGGTCGTCCGTAACTCCGGCGCCGATGACAAGAAGCTCCAGGCCGCTCTCAAGAAGTTGAACGTCCAGCCCATCCAGGGCATTGAGGAGGTCAACATGTTCAAGGAGGACGGCAACGTCATCCACTTCGCCAACCCCCGTGGTGAGTAGAAGCCACCCGAAACCAACTCTGTTCTTCTCGACACGGAGATGAAGCAGGAACGAGAAATGGAAAACACCAGACTAATCATTTTATCGCGATCAGTCCACGGCGCTGTCCCCTCCAACACCTTCGCCCTGTACGGTAACGGTGAGGAGAAGGAGCTCACCGAGCTCGTCCCCAACATTCTCAACCAGCTCGGCCCCGACTCCCTCGCTTCCCTGCGCAAGCTCGCCGAGAGCTACCAGAACATGCAGAAGCAGCAGGGTGATAAGAAGGACGATGAGGAGGATGATATCCCCGAACTCGTCGAGGGCGAGAACTTCGAGACCAAGGAATAAATACGCCTAGATGCGAATTAAATCGAGTCTTTAAAAACTTTCGTCTATGATCAATGAAATATAAACTCCAGTTTGAGGGTTGTTTTTTGTTGAGTCTTCTTCATTTCTTGGTTGTTTCGTCTCTACCCCCGGGTAAGGTTGTTGCGTGCGTCTATACAATGATAGCGTTATTGGTGCACCCGGTGGAAAGGAATCTTATGACAGCTCGATGGTTTCCGGTAAGCAGGAGGATGAGGAATTGGACTTGTTACTGTTCTACGGTATATCGATTTCACGCGCGTGGTCCCTCAATAGGACGGTTCATTATGTCTGCAGATGCAGCTATCGTACAAGTTATCCATTGATCAAACTCCGACCTATTTTACAGAGCCATTGACTCCATTCCATGTCTTGCGCGATATGCGCAGTATTTCTTGAATGATCCCGCGAGCTGCGTAATGATTCGGATTTTGGGTTGTTTGCGCGCAAGATCTCGCAATTGTGGGGAAAGATCCGCGACGTAGGGAACAAGTAAAGACGGAAGGTATTCCATCTTCATAGTGCTTGATAGCCTTCATGTGGCCTCAGCTATCCTCTTTCAGTCCGCACATGTCCGTTTTGAGGAAATAATCGAACGTGTACCAGAACCTCCAATAAATGCCTGATTTTTCCTGGTCGAATGTGCCGTCCTCGCGGAGCAGCGGGCCCTCGCCCACGATATCACCTGTGAACCAGCTCAGGATCGGGATTGAGCGGAGGATGCGCTCGGTCATGGTTGGCTGCGGAGGGAGTGCTTCGACCATGGGGCGCAGCTTGGTACGGCGAACGGTTGGAATATGCGTCATGAATTCGTTGTCAGTGGTGGGTTCGACCTGAGCAGGAGCTCGGCGTTGATGGATTGAGGTGCGATCGTTACTAGACGAAGCTCCTGTTGTCCATGTTGACGAAGAAGTAGTTGTATTGAAACTGCTTTGCTGGAATGAGGGCGTGGCGGTGGCAGTTGCAGAAGTTGCAGTGGATGTAGTCGTACCATCAGAAGTACCAGCGATTGTCGAGGACTCGACCGAGTGTCCTTCATCCTCTGGTATGTCCGGTACACTGGAAAGGTTGTTCATGGCAAAGGATCGAGGCAATGTCATGCGATCCTGATCTTTGCTGGAACTGGAGAGGAAAGTGGTGGAGTGCGATGTGGTCAAGGTACGCGGTGCTTTATTGCGCATGCGACTGCTCGCAGCGGAGTCTGCAGGGATGGGGGCGTCCTCAGTTGGGCCGTGGCCATGGTACAGCTCGCAGAAGACCATGTGACCATCGATTTCTTGGGGCGAGTAGAAGCATGCGCGGTCTGCGGTCTGAGTTGAGTCAAAAGTGACCTTGATCCAGTGATAGCCACCGGCATAGCGCTTCGATTTGCGATTCGCATCAGCGGACAGGTTTCGGATGACAACGTCGCCTCCGCTCAGGAGCTGGGTGTAGTGATTCGCTGAGTTCGGGTCGTTACGAGGGTAGTCTTCGCAGATCATGCCCTGGGAGATGCGCTCATACTTGTCGATCACCTTCCACTCGTGGTCCTTGTTTCTGTATCCGTAGAGTATGCATTCGGTCGCAACCTTCTCTGTTTGCTTCCGTGGATTATCAAGACTGGATGATGAAGATGACTTGGGCAACACGTGTGGTTTCTCCTCCTCCTGTTGTTGCTGTGAGAATAGTCGGCCGAACTCGGCAACGTTGGGATTCTCGCGCTTTGCCGGTGTCCCAGTCCTTGTTCGTGAGCGGGCATTATCATATCGAGCATTTCTTCTCTTGCCGAATGGTCCTGATTCTTCGGGTGGTCGTCGAGGATTGCGAGATTCACTGGGAAGGAAATTGTTGTCAGCTTTGATAGGAGTGGGGCTACAAGGTACATCGCACATACTCTTTGTAAACATAACCCCAAGGGAGGAGGTTGCCATCCTCGTCTCTGGCACGTTCCTCCGGTGGGACGGAGTGGTACTCCATGACAGTATATGGATGGGGTCAAGGGTTTGAGTAAATGTGGAATTAAGAGATATGAAGAAGTCAGAGGTCAAGAAAGGGGAGGTTCTGTGAGTTGAATGCGTAGGGTAAATTGGTCCATCGAGGGAGCCAAAACTTTTGGTAAACATTGGTTCGCTGGGATACGGTCACGTGATACCATATACATCTTTTACTTCCACTCCTAGAAAAAAATGAGATTTATATTTCAATTGCTCCTACGGCCTTTGGCTCTATTAATGATTCTTGGTGGCTTGACACTAAGTAAATGCGACCATAGGTGCAATTCTCTTTTTGCATAATTTCGCTCGATCTGGTGTTGCTACCAGTTCAAATATATATCTGCATGCTTCATATTCTCCAAACCTTTGGAAATACCACTGTCACTAGAGGTAAAATTGCATTCTTGAGCAATTCCACAATTTTAGTTTTGTTGAATATCTTGACACATTCACGACTGAACTACACGCGGGCAAAAGGCAATCCCGAGGTTTCATGGGTCAAGTTGCCATCCTATGATCCAACTATATGTCTTTCTTTCCTATATCTCAAGGAGCTGTCGCTTGTGCTAGGTATACCGGAGCTACGGCATTACCAACATAATGAGCTATCATATCTTCTTCGCTCTGGCGGTTGGGACTCACACTAGGGGGCTGTTCGTCATTATAACGGCAACAGTTCGACGAGAGGCGATTCTAACCATTGATTCTATCACTATATGTTCATAAATTTCTCAGGACTACACAGTATCCGAATTTCTACACTCAATGACTTCTGCAGAACACAAGGACCTAGAAGACTGAGAGACAACGTGGATTCAAGTATATAGAAAGCACGACTTCTGGGACGATGGACTACAAGAAATATATCTGGAATGACATAGATCGATTCTGGAAATACGTCCGATGAAACGGGTTATGACTTCGTCCCACTCTGATGACAAGCATTGGATCCTCTCCGTTGAAACCCCTGCTCTTGGCCGCCGTCATAATGCACTGATTCACCTTCCCTTCACTGCAAGATTCCTTCACCAATCCAACTCAGTTCGATTGTTTCTTTACTTTTCCCACGACCTCACAAGCCTCGCGAAGATGCTGCTCGACCTGACTCATTTCCTACCAATCTATTTGACCTGGCAGGCGAGCCTGAACCACTGGAAAGGTGGTTTAAATCCATTGCTGTAGCATGATACACTACATGTCATTAGTAAAAAAAAGCTCTATATAGCACTCTACGACCATTTAGGTCCAGATCTCGAATATGATGCTGGAAGGGGCGTGGGATAGAGTCGGTGGATGTTGTCAAGTAGTTCCAAATGAAAATCAAATACCAAACCATGTGAATATCCTGGATAGCGCCAGAGAACAGTTCCAACAATAACAATTCCAATCAAATATAATCAAACCCAATTCCCAACCCATGGAGTGCCTTGCCAAACCCGAGTAAACAAGCTATCATACGCTGAAGGGCATTTTGAGGGTATCTCCTGCTGGGGGACCAAGATACCATTCAGTTAGGGTCTTGAATCTTGGGTAGTGTTTTGGGGTATTCATCATTAGAATAATTTGTCAGAAGCCTCGCTAAGTCTAGCTTAATTCTAGGTTGAGACCTTCGCTCTATGACAGGTCGTCCGGAAGACTAATATTTCACCACTAGTTAATCAATCATGACTGATTTATGCGCCGGCGCTACAGTCTTCTGGGCTTGATTCTGTTGATAGATTGATACATTTCTACATGTGTATGTTTTTGAATGTTTTGAGTATGCAATCGAATCATTTTAATCTTTTTTGCTTCTGAAAAGAGTACTGGGACAGTTATATATTGATACAGTACCTCAGCTCCCCGGAAGGTACTACTCTGAATGCTTTTTTGAATACGCTCCCATCCAGTGTACCGCAAGAGACTGGCCTTCCCGTAGCAATGCAAGAACAGGGCATTTCTTCTCATAATCCTACCCTCAAGGTAAACTACATGTCACACTGGCTGGAAGCAGGATTTGCCCCTGAAATATCCCAAGTTGTCTGTTTTAGTGATATGTTTCTACTAATGATGCCTGGCTATGACTATTGCGAATTGAGAAATACACATATCATCGTTTAGATGTGTGTCATTAACATAGGCGCTCGACTATTCTATGCTGATGTGTCTATCCCCGTCACATTGCCGCCTCGGCGGCGACACTGAATGCATGCACACTTCCTCGTGGCTGAAAGGTCGAGGAGTTCTGATGACTTTTGCTGTCACTCGTCACGACTTCATCCTCGGCCACGTTACCCCAACCACCACCTCCAGGTCTAAATGAGAAGTACTGTCAGCATATATCATGAGATAAAGGAGGAACGTCTTGGATCACTCACGTATGAATCAAAATGCGCTCTCCGGGCTGGACTACGAGCTCCATTTTCCCGCCAATATTAATCATTCTCTCGGTCCCATCAAGCTCCTTCTTCATGTAAAGATTCAAGCCTGCTTGCCCAGACTCACCTCCCGCCAGCCCATACGGGCGGTAGACGCGTCTTTCGCTGAGCATAGACACCGAAAGAGGCATACGGAACTCTAGCTCACGGATAACGCCATCTCCACCGCGGAAGCGACCAACGCCACCAGATCCATCTCGGATACAGAACCTACGGAGTATGACCGGGTATCTCAGCTCGTAGACCTCTGCATCTGTGATGCGTGTATTTGTCATGTGGACATGCACGCCTGATGTGCCGTTCCAGGTTGGTCCAGCACCTGAGCCGCCGCATATTGTCTCACCAACACCAAATCCAGGTACTTCAATACCGGTCTTAGGATCAACTCCACCCATACCAAAGGATATAATGTTGCAGCAGCCCTGGGAGGCAGCACAGGCGTTGAATGCACCCAGAACGACGTCTGTAATACGCTGAGAGGTGATAGGATTGCCAGCGCAGACGGCGGCGTGGCCGGATGGATTTAGAAGTGTGCCAGAGGGGATTATCACATTGACTGGGGCAAGGCAGCCCTGGTTGAGGGGAATGTCAACGTCAATCAAAGCCCGCAAACTGTAGATAATAGCTGAGTGGGCGATGGCTTTGGGAGCATTGAGGCAGTTGAACGTTTCCCGGCCAGTGCCTGTGAAGTCAAAGTCGGCAGACCCAGTCTCAGAATCGATGCGGATCTCCAATTTGATTTCGGTACCATCATCCATGAAGTCAGAGAATCGGAGAGGAGCTCCCTTGTTCTTGAGGCCAATGGACTTGAGCAGGTCACGGACAGCGACTTCTGCGTTGCGTTTGATTGCGTCCATATAGAAGTGCACTACTTCCAATGTGTTCTCAACTACCAGACCTTCTAAAAGCTGTGCACCTTTGTGATTTGCTGCAATTGCAGCCTTCAAGTCTGAGACATTGTCATTATATGTCCGCGTGCCACTGCAACCGGGGTACGAAGCGGGCTCATTGTATAAGAACTTTCGGACGATCTCCTCGTCAAAGCGGCCCTCTGACACTACTTTGAAGCCCATTGTCATAGCACCTTCCTCGTACAGCATTTTGCTGTTTGAAGGCATAGATCCCGGGGCGATGCCGCCGATTTCAGCTAATTTGAGTTAGAATGACACGGCAAATAAAGGGAAAAGGAAATAGCTCTCTGCTTACCATGGTGACCACGAGATGCAACATAAAAGATAATGTCTTTGCCCTCGCTATCCCAAACTGGAGTAATTATAGTAATATCAGGAAGATGTGTTCCACCGGCAAGAGGATGATTGGTGAGAATGTGATCGCCAGGCTTCAAATCGCCGGCATACTTCTCATGCTGATACCGGACAGCATACTCCATACCTACAGGAGACATTAGCATGGGGTTCGTCTAGCCACCAAAGGGTTGTTCCAAAATGGTGTCGACTTACTTCCTAGATGCACTGGCACGTTTGGCGCATTTGCAACCAGTTTTCCATCAGGAGAGAACACGGCGCAAGAAAAGTCGAGCCGCTCTTTGATATTTGTTGACACGGAGGTCTTTTGGAACATCCGACTCATTTGATCAGCGACAGACATGAAGCGATGACCAAAGATAGATAGTCTGATAGGATCTACGACCGTTGAATCTGCAGTCTGCTTCTTTGAAGACTGAACATCCAAAATCACATGTCGCGACAAGATTGTAGCGGTAGCGTTTGGCTCAACAACAATTGTTTGAGTTTTATCAATGATCATTGCAGGTCCCTCAAGGACGTATCCTGGCTTCATGTTATCCAGGAAGAAGACCGGCGTAGTAGCTTCACCGACGCCGGAAAAGTAGACAGACGATAAATCATCCCGTTTCTCTGAGCCCACGGACGTTTTGATGACTGATTTAAGTTCTTGCTGGGGTGCCTCTGGCGCAATAGATGTTGCCTTTCCAACACCTCGGACCCGGATGTCCTCGACAAGAATGTTGCGACCAGGGAATGTGAAAGAAAACTCACGCTCGTGCTCTCTCACAAATTCAGCGATGAAGTCTCCGTGATCAGGTTCAAGGACCATCAGCAAGTTGTCCGTACCCTGGTATCGCAGATTGAGGTAAGTTTCATGCTTAATCCGAGTCGCATCAATGCCATCCGTGATCAACGCAGAAGTGACCTTAGACTTCAACGTTGCAATACGCTCCGTAACGCTTTTCATGGCTGTCTGGTCCAGCACTCCCGATGCTGGCTCTTGGGCCTCATGAACAACGTCGGCAAGAGCCATACCGTAGGCAGAGAGAATGGACGAGTATCTATGAATGATGACAGTACCAATAGACAAGGAAGAGGCAATGGCGCAAGCATGTTGTCCTCCAGCGCCACCAAAGCAGGCCAGATTATGCGCAGAAGTATCGTAGCCACGGGCTTCTGTAAGGGCTCGAATAGGTTTTGCCATAGACTCATTGGCAACCTGAATGAAGCCCAGTGCGATCTCTTCTGGGGACTTGTTTTGCCCAGTCTCAGAATTGATCTGATCTGCGAGTTCCGTGAACTTCTTCCGGGTGATCTCGACATCGAGGGCTTCGTTCTCGTCTGGGCCAAAGATCTTCGGGAAATATGCTGGAAGAAGACGACCAAGAAAAAGGTTGGCATCAGTCACAGTCAAAGGACCTCCTTTCCGGTAGCATGCTGGTCCTGGATGGGCACTTGCAGACTCGGGACCAACGGCAAACAGTCCATGTCGCCAGAAGAGAATACTACCGCCGCCCGCGGCGACTGTATTGATATCTAATTGGGGTGCCATCACTGTCACGCCGGAGATGGTATTCTCGAAGGTGTGCTCCAACTTCCCGTCATATCTAGAAACGTCTGTGCTAGTACCGCCCATATCGAATCTGGAAAGTCAGTTGATGGCAGTCCATAAAATATGGTGAATCGACTCACCCAATGACAGGCTTTCTATCGTTCTCGTCGAAAGAAGTTCCTGCGTAGCCCACAACGCCGCCTGCCGGGCCAGACAAGATCGCACGAAGACCGGTGAATCTAAGGGGATTAACAAAATCCTCCCTCTGCATTCCAGGTGATTGAAAACATACTTATCAAAGTTAGCTAAGCCTCCGTCACTCTGCATAAACTCGCAGCGTGTGTCAGCAGATCTGAGTCCATCCTTAAATCCCGAGCGGAAGCCCTGAATATAACGCTGAATAACTGGTGTCAAGTACGCATCTGCAGTAGCCGAAGCACCACGAGATGTCATTTTGATCATGGGCAACAGCTGGCTGGAAAGGGATATCTGTTTGAAGCCAACTTCCTTCGCGATCTTCTCAATTGCAAGCTCATGGTCTTGGAATGTGTATGAGTGAACCAAGCAGACCGCAATTGAACGATATCCCTTCTCATACAACTTCTGAAGGCTCTGTCTTGTGCATTCCTCATCCAGAGGCTCCAGGATGCGAATGACTTCTCCACTGACACCCTTTTTCAAAGAGGCATCTGACTCCAAGGACTTTTGTAGATTCTCCTTGTCCGGAATAGGATTTTGTTGATAATCCTCAACTGTGACACGCTCATTAATCTCAACAACATCGTCATACAAGACATCAGGACGTTGGATGTTGAGCGCAAACAGCTTTGGTCGAGACTGGGTTCCAATACGCAAGGCATCTTTGAAGCCTTTGGTGATCAAAAGCGCATGACGCTCTCCCTTGCGCTCAAGCAAGGCATTGGTGGCGACTGTTGTTCCCATGCGGATGCTGACATTAGAGAAATCGGAAGTTGTGAGTTTTTGATCGCGGGGAAAGGCCTTGCCTGTTGCTTGCTCTAAAATACGCCTAATGCCCTCAATTGGAGCATCGGCGTAGTTGGCCGGATCCTGCGAAAGCAGCTTGACAACGATTTCCTCATCGCGACCCTCAACAATGCCCAGGCAGTCGGTGAAAGTACCACCACGATCTGGAGGGTGCATTAGCTAACTGTTGTATGTAAATTGTGAAGTTACCAGTGACTCACCGATGGCGATCTTGAGGCTTGGAGTAGACATGATGTGCGATGTGTTTAGATACCCTAAGAATGCAAGGAGCAAGGCTTTTATGAATCTCCATTGAAACTAAACAGCAGGTCGAAGCGAAGTGAATAAGAGAAATAACGCCACAATCTAATCGAATCGGCTTGAAGATGCCGATGGACGAGATAAAGCGGGGAGAGCAATGGGAGCGAAACGCGGAGAAGGGAGAAGGGCCGCTTATCAGTCGCTCCGACCTTCCTGACGCACCCAAACCCTAATTGGCCGCGCTTTTCATGATAACCACCTGAATGAACTCTCTTGCGGGTTCATTGACCTTCAATTCAAGTATAAAACCATCTCAAATGACTATCTCTTTCAATTTCAGAGTGTACGTGTCTCTTGCTATCTGATATATACGAATCCTTACTCCAATACTATGGACGAAAAACAAGGCGTTTCTCCGGAAATTCAACTCGCACTTGATCAGAGAAAAGCCCAGGCTGGAGAAATTCTTGAAGCTCAAAACAAAACCGACGGCAAAGATGTTGCAGCACAATTCCTCGCTCGATTGGACCCGGCCATCCCAGTGGAGCCTGTCACCGAGGCTGAGGCGCGCCGTGTGTTATGGAAAATCGATCTCATCCTCATTCCCTTGATTATGGTGACAGTGGTTCTGGCCGCTATTGATAAAGTTATTATCTCGAATGCCGCCATCTACGGCATGAAAAAGGATACCCACTTGACTGGAGATCAGTACTCTTGGGTAGGCTCCATCTTCTACTTCGGATACCTCGGTTTTGAATACCCGGCAGCGCTACTCATTCAGCGGCTTCCTGTAGCCAAGCTGTATGTGGGCATGGTCTTGGGGTGGGCAGTCCTACTGCTGTGTACCGCAGCAACGCATAACTTTGCCGGCATAGCCACCGTGCGCTTCTTGATGGGCATGACAGAAGCTGCCGTGTTCCCAATCTCCAGCATTTTGACGGTCATGTGGTGGAAGACAAGCGAGCAGCCCATTCGTGTCGCATTTTGGTTCAATCAGCTCTCCTCCGTCTTCTCGGGTGTTGTCAGCTATGGAATCGGCCAAACAAACACCTCTCTAGCGCCCTGGAGACTGCTCTTTATTGTACTTGGTGCATTCTCTCTTATTTGGGCAGGCGTGTTGTACATATTCTTGCCCGATTCGCCCGTGCAATGCTGGTATTTCTCGGATCGTGAGAAATTCGTCTGCCTTGAGCGCGTCAAAGACAACAATACCGGCATGGAAGACAAAACCATCAAGTGGTACCAAGTGCGCGAGTGCCTTCTTGACCCCAAGACTTGGCTTTTGGCGCTCTTTTCGCTGGCCCAGAACATCCCCAATGGTGGTCTTGTGACCTTCTCGGCTATTATTGTGACCGGTCTGGGGTACTCCCCGTTGATCACTACCGTATTGGGTATCCCCACCGGTGTCCTTGCAACGGTGTGGCAGATCCTGCTTGGCTTCATTGCTGCTGCGGTGCCCAACTCCCGTTGCAACATTATTGCCGTGGCCAACCTGGTCCCGATGATCTGCGCGATCCTAATGTGGAAGTTGCCACGCGAGAACCAGCAAGGCCTGCTAGCAGCGTACTATGTCTTTTACACTTACTGGGCGCCATATGTCCTATCGACTTCGCTTCCAATGGCCAACACCAGCGGCCATAGCAAAAAGTTGACGATGAACGCTGTCTTCTTCTTGGCGTATTGTATTGGTAACATTATTGGTCCCCAGTGTTTCCGTGCCGATGATGCACCGTCGTATTCGCGAGGATACGAGGGCCTTCTGGGCTGTCTTGTTGTGGCTATAGCCGCCATTATCTCCTATGGGGTTCTTTGCCGATGGGAAAACAGCCGCCGTGATAAGGAAGCCTTGTCAAATGCGGAGACATCGGAGGTTGTCGCTTTTTCGGACATGACTGATAAAGAAAAACGGTCTTTCCGGTATACTTATTAGGTGTGGAGATGTTCACGGGCTGTTGATAAGAATGGATATAGTGAACAAATGAGAAGAATTCTAATTGGACGCGGTATCTTTGTACTTCCATAGTCTCGGAATAATTTGAATTGTTAATCCCAACACAGAAAGAAATAGTAGGGCCAATGATCTTGATGAATATATTGGGGAATAGGGTAGAAGAGTGCAAGTCGGAACGAGTTGAGACTCTCTCGGAGAATCTCCGAGAGCTGTGCTCTATCGGAAGGTCAGAACGAAGCTGCATCATTCTTCCCCGCAAATGGGAATATGCTCACGATACATATGATTGTGCGTGAGGAAGCTAGTAGCGAGATGAGATGTTCTGAAAAAACGCAAGACGGTGCAAATTACCTGAATAAATATGGCGGTGCCACCCTCGAAGTTTAACAATTCAGACCAAGTCGCGATAGGAACTCAACTCACATGATGAACAAAGACACGCAAATCCTCATCGTTGGCGCCGGCTGCTTTGGCACTTCGACCGCATACCACCTTTCACAGCGTGGCTACACTTCCATCCGCGTACTGGACCCGTACGCACCCCCCTCCTGTGAAGCAGCTTCCACCGATATCAGCAAGGTCATTCGCAGTGACTATAACGAGCCCCTATATGCGCGTCTTGGAATTGAGTCTATTGAGGCGTGGCGGTCTTGGCCGTTGTTTCGTGGGCTCTACCATGTCCCCGGTTGGATCCTCAGCGCGGCGAACCTGTCTCGACCCTTTGTCGAGGGTTCGATTGAGACATGTAAGAGGCTTGGGGTCAAGGGCCTTGAGAAACTCACCACAGACCAGATCCGTGCTCGCTTTCCTGTTGTCACGGGCAAGTTGGATGGGTGGAATATCAATGTATGGAACCCAACGGCTGGGTGGGCAGCTTCTGGTACAGCTATCGAGCGAATGGCTGGCGCTGCTCAACTGAAGGGAGTGGAATACATTTCGGGGAAGAACAAGGGGAATGTGCATGAGTTGATCCTGGATGATATCACGGGCGATTGTAACGGAGTCGTCACTGCAGATGGTACGAGACACGAGGCGGATATAGTCATTGTGGCGGCAGGTGCTTGGACACCTTCACTATTGGATGTCAAGGATCAGTTGACTGCCAAGGGACACAGTGTCGCTCACATCCAGCTCACCCCTTCCGAAACGAAACACTATGCCTCGATGCCCATTATGGATAACCTCGAGTTAGGCTATTTCTTCCCACCTCAAAAAGATGGGATATTCAAGATGGCCCACAGCCAGTTCATCACCAACGTACAAACTACAAAGTCTGGTATCATCACTTCTGTCCCGCACACGTTTGTTCAAGCACCCAACGATGGCCTCCCTCTTGAGATCGAAGCCCAGATGCGCCGGAACTTGCGGCGCGTGTTCCCCGAGCTTGCAGACAAACCCTTCTGCTATACACGGCTTTGCTGGGATGCTGATACAGCCGACCGTCATTTTCTTGTCACGCCTCATCCTACTCACAAAAGTCTCTTCCTGGCAACCGGCGGCTCAGCACATGGGTTTAAGTTCCTTCCTGTCGTTGGAAAATATGTTGCGGATCTGCTCGAGGGAACTCTTGATCCGATTATCATGCGTCAATGGCAATGGAGAGCTGGACAAAAGGGCACTGCGAAGAACCTAGCGCACTTGGATCCTGAAATGAAGTTGAGCGACCTCACAGGTTGGAAGGGTAGACAAATCCGTGAAAGAAGCCATGCTTCTAAACTATAACTTGTCTAGATAAGAGGTGCGAGGTAGAATGAAGTCGCACAGTTAACAAACAATTTGACTACTGGCTATACAAATCGAAATCATATTTAGAACATATACATGAGAACATAATCAAAAGCTACCATTGCCCACGTAGAAGTTCAAGTCAAGCTGAGCTTCCTTCCACCCAGCATCACCATGGCATGCTCCCACGAGAACCGGGCTTCTTGCAATGGATCTTTCTGCCGTTGTGTATTGAGCTTCTTCCGGAGTTTTCTTTCATCTTGCACCGACAGATCCCGCTGGCGCCAAACCATTTCGACAACTTCAATCGCAGGGGTAATATTCTGGGAGAGGTGAGACGTCAACCGACCGACGACAAACGGCAGGGAGGAATGTACATACCCCAAATCGACGAATACTCTCCAGCTCTTTAAACAACTGCAAGACAATCACCCTCTCCTCTTCCCTACGAGCACAACATCCTGCCAGAAAGAGAGGCCATAGAGGCGTAACTGCGGTCCGCATCATATTTACCTTCTTTTTCAAGATCAATGTCAATATCTGCTCAACATATACATCCTTCTCCTCAGATTCCAGTGTCGGGATACCAGATCGATTCATAGGGGCTTTAGTCAAACAGATCTCATGAAGAAGAAGAAGGGCCCCAAGCTTGTTTGCTTCTGCAATTGCAGCACACTCAGTATCCGGATCGATATGCTCTGTGGGTATCTTTTGTTGAAGGCTATCGAGGTTCGTCTTTAGTTGATGAACATCTTTACGGTTGATTTTTATGTTTCCATCTTCACAATTCCACGCTAGCTCGGCTACTTGATTGATAAGTAGTAAGAGAGCAGGGCTCAATCCCATGTATGGATCAATGGTGTCTGATTTCTCCAGTATACTGTCCGGAGAAAGGGGCGATGTATGAAATGAAGCAGGAGTGACGCGAAACGCAGTGCGAGCTAAAACTAAATGGAAGGCGAAATAACGATTGAAGAAACTCGCCAATTCTTGGCTGTGACAGGACCGACCGGGGCGTTCTTTTCGTGTCCGAATCAAGTTTTGGAAACCGTTGAGATGGGTGACCCACGAAGAGCGACTGTGATCGGATATCTGCAAGAAATTAGGACATCTCTCATTGGTAGAAAGCGTTGAGGAGCCTACGTCGAACCAGCATAACATCAATACCAGACCGAGCATCTCATCTAGCTCACTTTCCACCCAGCTGTCTTTATTCAATAGACCACGCAGGTGACTTAATGCCTGATGGTGATGCTCCAATGCCGACAGCCGGTACCGCTGGTCTGACAGCTTGAGGGTATTGGCTGCGATTGCAAGTGCAGCGTGATATAGCCCGTCGGACTGCAGAGCCATAGGGAGTATGAGATATCGATATGGGTTGTAATGTGCGTTATCGACAAGAGTTGCGCTGCTGCAGATGATATGTTCGAAATAAGACATAAGCACGGGATCGCAATCTGATCGCTGGCCGGGAGGGATGGTATTCAGCCAAGGGGACAACGGGCTTGGTTGAGAAAACGGCTCCATTTCTTTGCAATTGGGCTGGGCAGCATCAAAATGGATCTGGAGATCGATCATTGTGGTATTCAAAAACATCCAGGTCCGATTATTGCGCGCATGCTCTGACCTTAGCGACAGTATATCGTCCACATGCTCTAGCGTTTCCCTCTTTCGTTCATCCTTTTGCTTGGACCATACTCCTGCTCTTCCATGGCAAACGCCTCGGGCTAAAGATTCCTCGTGCCAGACTAGACGAAGTCCGTACCCGCATGAGGCATTGTTACGGGCGCAACGACTGCAAATTGGGTGGGTTTCTAATGCATGTCATCTCCAATTAGAATGGCCAGAAGTATAGGGTAACCACCGTACCGTCACATTTGATGCGTCGCGCACGGCATGTCCAGCAGCCTGTACGAGCTCTTGAAATTGCAGGCATCGCGGATATGCAGCTTTTACCCCGCAGAAGGACTTTATATGCGAGGTGATAAGTATATTTCCTAGTCTTCGTATTCTATTCATTTCTATTCGCCCGTGGATGTGGGAATATCCACTTCGGGCTTATCTTTGATGTTTGGTGAGGCAAAAGGGGCTTCCTCCGGATGTAGGAATGTACTGGGGAAATCTTTTTACTTGAAGAGGTATTTATATGCCCACATCCTTGCTGGCTGGAAATCATCGAAATGACAGATTAGGAGACCCCTAACAGCTACTTGACCCTACTAACTTCAAGTTCATCCTTTGTTGTTCAGCATTAGAACACCAACCATGGAGATAGGCTAGACTTACCTCGAAATCTCCTGGCACTATCAATCCCTTGACAGCCCAACTTTCCATGTTGGCATGATGACGAACATATTCACGGTATTGCGGAGCTCCAGGCCGAAGCACGTTATCTGCCAACACCAACGCTGATGGCTTGAGAAGACCCAGATCCTCACAAATCTTGAGATCGGCCACATAAAGGTCTTCGACATGGTCTAGGAAGAGGAGGTCGATAGCGATCAACTCCTTCTTCGCATGAAGTCTTTTCAACGAATCCGACGCAGACCCTACCACCACTTTGACGATATCGCTCAAACCTGCCAAGTCGATCAAATTCATGGCGATGGATGCGATCAGCGGATCAAACTCCAAACTCCAGAGTCTTAGATCTTTCTGTGTTCCCTGGGCTTGACGCATAGCTTCCCCAAAGTATATGGCCGAATAGCCGATATATCCGCCCAGCTCGACTAGAACGGTCGGCTTTCCTTGTTGAACTATCTCGCGAACCTTTTCGGCTTTATCGGGACCAATGTTGATCAAAAACTTCTCCTGTGCGGCGAACTCGTCTATCACGTCAAGGATGGCGGGCGGTGAACCGCGCAGCTTCTCCAAGGCATGATGATTGTATATATATTCTAGAAGGGCGACTTCGCGCCCATCATGGGATTCGACATCGTTTCCATCGACGAACTCGTTCAGCGAGGGGTACTTGGATGTGAGATCGGAAGATAGCATGATTTTCGAAGAGATGAAGAAATTCTGGAGATAAGACAATCGGGGAGAAGACATAGAGACACGGATTTCTTTGCTTATTTCCAATGCATGCACGGGCTCGGGGAGATACAATCTCACGCCGCAAGTACATGCATATATCAGAATTCTAAATAGGTAAATCAATACAAATGTCAGATGCACGACATACTTGCTCCGTAAATGCATGCGGTCTTGGACCGGCCTCGGCAAGTCCGAACATTTCTTTGATATAACCCCCGCTCCACCTTATAACCTCGTTCTTTCAGGGGGTTTCTCTACATTTCATCCATCATGGGTTTCAGCACAACCGCCGAATTTGATCAGGTAAATATGAACCGAACTATTTGATACATCCGCTCACATTTCCAAGGCATATCAAAGTGTTAGGGGTGCTTTTACATCTGGTACCACTAAGAACAAGGAATGGAGACGTCGTCAATTGAAACGTGCTTGGTGGATGGTCGAGGACAACAAGAAACGCATTTGCGATGCCCTCTATACTGATCTGCACAAGCACTATCAAGAAGCTTACACCGGCGACTGCGGTGGCGTCCAAGCCGACATTCTACGTACTCTCAAAAAGCTAGACGAATGGACCAAGGATGAAAGACCGGGCAGGTCCGATCCTCTCAATTTCCTAGGAAGGACCACTGTCCGCAAAGAACCTCTTGGTGTGACTCTAATTATCAGCGCATGGAATTTCCCCGTCAGCTTGCTCCTGCAGCCAATGGTCGCCGCAATTGCTGCTGGGTGTGCCGTGATCCTCAAACCATCAGATGTGGCAAGTGCTACCCAAGATGTATTGATGGAAATCGTTCCCCAATATATGGACACAGATGCAATCCGGTGTGTTTCCGCTGGTCCACAAGAGATGGGATACATCCTTGAACATCGCTTTGACCACATTTTCTACACTGGATCCCCCAATGTTGCCAAAATCATCCATGCAGCAGCCGCAAAGCATCTGACTCCCGTTACATTCGAGTTGGGCGGTCAATGTCCTGCTATTGTCGCGGAGTCGGCAAATCTTGATCTCACTGCGAAACACATTGCGGTTACCAAATTCATGAATGCTGGACAGGTAGGCTCACACTGTTCATCCCTCAACCATCAAAGCTAACTCATCTCCACTAAACAAAGGTTTGCTTGAACGTTAACCACGTTCTTGTTCATCCGAGCCTGCGAGAACTCCTTGTCGCCGATTTAATTCGACACTTTGATACTTTCCTAGGAGGCAAAGCCAACAACCCAGAGTATTACACACACATCATCAACGAACGCAGTTTCGACCGTCTCGAGAGATTACTTGAACATTCCTCCGGAAAGATTGTCTATGGGGGCCAGCGCGATCGTCAAAGCCTGTACTTCGCACCAACGATTGTCACCGGAGTCAAGCCTGGCGATTCCCTTCTCTCTGAAGAGCTTTTCGGCCCGATCCTCCCCATCGTTGACGCAGACTTCAATGCTGCTATCTCTCATACTCGTGGGGGAGAGCATCCACTCGCAATTTATGCCTTCACTACTCAAGATGCCGAGAAGGCTCGCATCTTGAACGAAACTCAGTCCGGGGGCGTGACCTTCAATGACTGCGCTCTCCACGTAGCTGGTCGTGATGTGCCATTCGGTGGTGTTGGGAACTCCGGTCAAGGGCGCTATCATGGCCCGCATGGTATCTTGACTTTCTCTCATCTCCGTACCCATACCAATGCCATCCCTTCATGGTTGGAGGGACTTATGGCTGCACGGTACCCCCCGTACTCCATTGAGAAGGCTCACAAGATGAGCGCACCCGTCACCCCGCCTTTTGACCGAGATGGCAATGACACGACATTCGCTGCTCGTTCGAAGTGGGTCCTTGGCGTTGGAGTTCTCGCAGTCTCCGCATTGTTTGTGTCTCGGGATCAGGTCATCTCTTTGGGTTCTCAGTGGCTCAAATAGGAACATGTGTAGTAAATCAAACTATCTATTCTGCGGCTTTTGTATATAGTAGGTGGAATTAATCTCTATATCCCCGTTTGAGAGGGGAAGCTCTCCAAGCTCTTGACCTCGGAGGTATGAAGCGCGGAGTACAAATCGGCAAATCCGGACATATGACAAGAAGATAAGGGCACTGATAATATGAACAGCATATAGGTACTTCGATTGTATTTAAGCCATCAAACCCACTTTCGGCACATTCGTGGGTGGAGAAACGGTCAACAAATCAGATGAAGTATAGAACACCGGCATATTCGGTGATCATGGCCAAATTCACCGGTATCTTCAATGTAAGCCAATCTATATACTAGATATCATGCAGCTCAAAAAGTTGAACCCGTTACAAAATCAGGGAGGGGAGTACGGACAAGTTGAGTACCAGAAGCTGAGCTTCTTTTGCAAATCTTTACCTACCATCCTTATATCGAGGCATCTCCGAAGCAATGAAGCTTTCATTGGCTCTTCTCGGATTGAATGCCAGCATTGTCTCTGCTTCTCTACTAGAGAAATGGTCATCCAGATTCCATGCCTCGTCGCACGCGGTGGACATGTTCAATACTGCCATTGAATGGAACGACGGGTACTGGGACGACGAAGCCGGCTATCTCATCAGCACAGCCAGTAGTCCTGGACGCTATGACAGTCGACACACAGCCTGGTATGCACCTCAATTGCTAGCTAGAAATGGACCGGGCGACGTTGCAAAAGCCATCCGCATCTTCGACAATGTGATCTCTGGTCAATATCTTGATCCATCTAAGCAGTGGTATGGAGATTATCAACAAGCGCCTTCGGAACCTCAGCCTGGGACACTGATATATCCCGATGAAGGTCCATACGGCTCGGTAAGTTGGTGTCTAGTCTTTTCTCTGGGCTCTTACATGGGCTCTTGCATAGGCTATCTTTCTGATATCGTTATGGCCAGTGGGATCCGAATATTCGCGTCTTCGTAGGTTGTTCTTGGATTGTGGCCTTGAATGATTACGGCCATCTACTTCCACGAGCGACGGTAGCCAAAGTGGAGAATTCCTTACACATCGCAGCCAAGGGTGATCTCTATCGTGTTGGCGGTGTCGATGGTGATAACTCTTACCCCTGTTACTCCAATCCCTGGTTGATGCGAACCGTTTTCCACAACTGGGTTGGTGCCCGAGTTGGCGATGCAAACTTGACCCAGTCTGGTGAAATATTTGCACAGGAAATCTACGACCTCTGGAGTATGCACCACACATTGTCTGAATTCAATTCTCCCACATACGCTGGCGTTGCCATGTGGGCTCTAGCTCTCTGGAATCAGTATGCCACAAAGGGCAGTGTATTGAAGGAGTATGGACCGGAAATGCTCAAGGCCAGCTGGAATGAGCTCGCTCAGCTCTATAACGCACATCTAAAGAACCTTGCCGGTCCTTGGGATCGCTCATATGGCTACGATATGAAGGAGTACGCATCTCTCGTTGGCGCTGTTATCTGGGGTGTCGTTGGCCGCAAGCATGCGCCCGTCCCCCAGCAGAATCTGGGGATGTTCCATCAAGACGATTTTGCTTTTTACCCGCTCTTTGCCCTGTCGATGTCTACAATGGTGAAGACCCTTCCTGCAAAGGCAAAAGCAAGCTTGCTCAAATTCCAGGGCGAGCATATTTTTACTTCGCAGGCTTTCTCGCCGCCGTTTGATACCTATCCTCGCAATATTTCCGCTTGGATCTCCAAGGATGTGACAATTGGAGCTGAAGCGATTGCTGAGAAAGTCATCGGTGGTCCCGCTAAAAATCCCGGTCAATTTAGTCCTGCCGTCATCCAGTGGGCTATAGACGAGCAGAAAATTGGCTGCATTTCACACTGGGTCACAGAGGCATCTATTCATGCCGTGGCCGCTCCTAGGTCTCTGCACATCTCATACCCGAATGCGTCATCTTCACACGGCCCTGTTTCTTTTAACTTCTTGTTCAGTGGTCTCACCATCAACAACGGGTTCAATGTGACTGGGCTGGAAGGTCTACCTGGTTTGAAAATCAAGGTTGAGACAAATGCACGACCGGATCATACGATTACTTACGTCGGTTCTGACGGTGTCAACGAATTTGCGTATTACAACGTTACATATACGATGCCGGAGACTTTCACTGGGGAACCATTTGTGACCCTCCAGGTAGTGTGACGGTTTACATGAACAAGACATCATATACCGTGGTGTCGTGGTGTCGTGGTGTTCAATATCAATGTCAATTTTATGTGCTATGAGGTCCAAAAAGCGTGTATATACAAAAATCAAAGTCCCCACAACTCCACTGAATATGCACACATTACTCGTCATTACTCGTCCTTTTTCTCCCCCTTACTCTCCTCCTTTTTCTCACCCTCGGGCTTGCCATCTCCATCAGCGGACTCCGATTTTGTCTGCGGAAGCCAATAGCGTGCAATCAAACCACCCAAGAACTTCTGATCAGCCCACTTGATCAAACCATAAAGAATCCAGCCCCAACCCCACAGAGACATGCCCATCATGCTCGTGACCATTAACACCGGACCAAGAATAAGCAACGACAAAACAGCCCAGAGCAGTATCGACACCGCAGCGAAGACAAACACGCCAGCCAGGAATACAAGTAGAGGAACTCCACAGCAAATCATCTGACAAACGATCAAGGTTGATGCGGCAGGACGCTTCAATGCAGCTTCATACATCGCAGCCTGACGGGGCGGAGGAAGTAGCCAGGCGATGAATCTCTGAATGCAGGACTCGAAGTAATCAAAAGCTTGAGGGAAAAGCGTAGCGAACCATGCTTTGATGGTGGCCCATATCGACGAAAATGAGAGGTTGTTGTCGACGTTCTGGCCTTTTGGAGGAGCATCGTCTGAAGGAAATTGACCTGGGAGCGCAGGGTCCGTCAGGTCCTTTGTTGATTTGCTTAATTTTTTTGGTGCTTTCGAGGTGGTTTTTCTGACTCCGCTTGTTGTGGATTGGACTTTGTCAACAGGAACTTGTCCGGTCATACCGCTGGTCAGGTTATCGAGCGGCATCGCGAGAGTAGCTATTCTCAACCAATGAGAGAATATGGAGAATAAAAGCAGAGATGGTAAGCTTTTAGTAAAGAATAGTTAGAATCTATGTTCAAGAACTTGATATCGATATCTATATCAAGGGAACGATCAGATCCATCACATGACGTCAGGGGCGTTCTAGCAACTGGTTTGTGTTTCTCGCCGATATTAATCCTGCGTCACTGTTAGCCACGCTACACTCGGGGATTTCGCTACATGTATATTTTACAATGTACACTACTTAGAGCATGAAGGCTTTGGTTCATATGCATTTGATTAACAATGTGTATCATTCCAAGCCGAGTAGCATAATCTAACCGTTACACATCTGCACATTCTAGAAAGGATTTGGAGCTTCCGAGCACTTGAAACCATGACACAATTGAAAATTGTAGATAGGATCATTTGATTAACTATTTCTGCAGAAAATATGAGTGAAGTTGTAATTGGAAAGAACGCTATGCTACGAATCATTGGTCAGAAGTGCCATCGCGATCGTCAAACATCATGAAATCGGCGTCATCAACTTCATCTCCTACAACTTTCTTCCATGCCTCTTTTACAAGTTCAAGCGTGTCATCTTCAAATGCCAAGTCGAGGCTCGATGAAGGGAAAGCGTAACAATCAGGAACTGCGTCGTCAGAAATAAGGCGCCGGGGCCCACCGTTGCTGAGACGACCGCTATGAGTGTATCGCAACGACCACAATACGGTAGCCGGGAGACCTTCAGCCCGGATTAGTCTATCCACGGCGGACTCGAGAAGAGCTTGGCCTTCCGACCCAGGCAGTGCCACACTGCAATAAATAACACCTATGACAATCAATTAGCCACATGTACGACAATGTTGTTGACGAATCAAGTTCAGAATGTGCTCGTGATCAGGTGAAAAGGTTTTCAACATAGCAAGTTCAGGCAATGTAGATAAGTTTTTTATAAAAAATCATCATGCGAGCGGATTGAAGGGAATTTAGAGCAAGATTGCGCGAGGGATGACTTACTCTGCTGGGGTGGACACTCGCCAGTATCGCTTGAGTGGACCTGGAGATAGACTGGTGGGGAGTGAGGGCTGCCCAAAGTATCCCCTGGGAACATGAGAACTGCAGTTGCGGGCACAGGAGCACCTTCAACTGTCACAGGGAAAAGAGATGGGAAAGTAGCCGACACAATACTGATTGAGCGGGCGACCTCGACCAACGGTTTTGAGCCTTCTTTGGGAATGGTATCAACATTCAAGCTAAACATGCATTTCGCCTGAACGGACCCTTCATTGGCCAGTTTCAGCAGAAAACGATGCTCTGAATATTCAGCTTCCTTGCGCCATAAGCAATCTTGAATTTGCGTGTCCAGGGCATATATACCCCCTCCCACAGCGGACGCGCGACAAGCGGCTTGGAGTATTTCAGCTCCACCACCATACTTAGCAAGCACAGCTCCAAACCCAGGTCCGAGATGTCCAATGGATGACAGATGTCTCTGAATCCTGGGCAAAGCATAGCTGGCAGTAGTATCTTGCTGAGAAAGCTGTGACAGCGACAGTGAGAGAAGAGGATTGTGAAGTTCCTCCGGGACACTGAACTTGGAAGCCAGGTAATCCTTCAAGGGCATTGACATATCATCATTATCATCATCATTTGAAGCGTCATCCTCATTGGGTTTGATGATATGACGCAACAATCGCATGAGGGTTCTCTTGGACTTCATACTGATATGAGTTGCAGCAAAGACATCCTCCCGGTTGCCAGGCACACGGTAGAGAACCTTTTCCGCACCAAGCTCGCCATTTTCTGAATCTGGCTGTTCAGGTGCATAAATCCACCAGCTGCCCACAGCCATAAATTCCAGCTGGCGAAAGACCTTCGAGGATACAAGCGCTGACATTAGTTGAGACCGGGCATATATAAAATATGGGGAAAGGGACAATGTGTAAGCACGGCTGGATGCAAGTTTGGGGGGGAATGCCCGTCTCCTCGGAAGAAGATGCATCATGTTTGAAGATTGAGGCATCTTTGAATGTTGATCTATGTTCGCCTGTTCGGCAGCATGAGATTAGCAGTGAATCAAGCAGCCACACACCAGGGTGAAATCACCTTGATTGACTCTCTCTGCCCACTCCTGGGCCTCATCAAGACTGAAGGCTGCATCTGAACCACCATAGTACTGGTTTCGGTCGATGTGAAGAACCTTCTTTCCAGATCGTGAGAGGGCCCTTTGGGAGTGTGAGTGCTACTCACTACCACCCTAAGAGAGTCACTCACAGTGCCAGAAGAGACTGGGAAACCCCAGTCCCGTCGATGATCACATCCCAAGTCGTGTCTGACAGAGTTTCCATGATATGGAAGATCAGGAACCAAGTCCTAGCTGTAAGTAAGTCCAAGTATTACAACCAAATTTGGCAGTTCAAGCTCTCATAAGGTTGAGAATTGGGATGTTTGATGCAACCAAAGCATTCCTAGTATTTCCACAAGCTTTGATGCTGGAAATCCCAAAAATTTGAGGTTGGAGGAAAGAAAAAGAGAAAGAAAAAGAAGAAGAGAAAAAATTGGAGAAAAACGCGGGAAGTGCGCGTGAAGGCGGTCACCAGCTCCCCACTCCAGTCAACAACCCTGACCAGGACAAAAACATTGAACTCGAGCTTAAAGAACATTGTATGAAGAAAGTGATATTATTTCTGGGCTGTATGGACTCACATTTTATCCTCCATGGTATTAAAAGTATAACGATTCCAATATTAGAGTATGGCTCACACCGGCTTTGCTCCCTTTCACTCTTAAGGCACCCGGTTGCCTTTATTGGAAAATATATATTTCAACGAGGGCTTTTGTCGGCTTCCTTGTCCAAGGGTCCACGAGCTTCGTCTTTCTCTTCTTCCTTCTCGGTCCCTTCATCTTTACCCAGCTTCACATTCTCCAAGAAAAACATTACAATAAGCATCAATGAAAGTGAAACAAGACCTGCGATTGCAAGGAGCCTCTGGGACTCTCGGTAGCTGCGATTGATGGCATCACGAGCTTCAGTTCCCATGGCATATTTTCGAGCCACCACAATTGATCCGAATATGGTTTTAGCCTGATCCTTCAGCTCACTTGGAAGATACTTTTGGAGCTTGTTGGGGAGAGTATTTCGCCATATTGCCCCGGCGACGCTATTTGAATGATTAGAAAGGAGTGTCAAATCGAGCTGGGTGTGGTTGCTTACCTTGTCCCAACTGCACCACCCACGCTCATCGATGCAAAGAATACCGCGGTAACAACGGAAACATCCTGCCGCGCGACCACAGCCTGCACTGAGACCTGTGCGGCCGTTTGGTAGAACCCACGACCAATACCAATCAATGACTTGGCTGCCACGAAAGATGCTTCATTACCACTGCGACCATCTCCCATGTCGACCAGATAGAGAAGTACACCCATTCCAAGAACGCAGAGCGGAACGCCGGTCAACACCCAAATTTGGGAGCGCTTGGTATATTTCATGAAGAAGGCAGCGAATATGCCAGCCACCTGAAAAGCTACCCGAAGGGAATTACTAGATTGGACGTTAGTCTCAAAAGGAGAAAAAGATAGCAACGAAGATAGCTAGCAAGAAATGGGACGGGGAGCCGTACTCAATTCTGGTTGCAGGCCCCGGCGAAAAGTTTCCAGCCACCTGAAGGTAACTCGTGAAGAAGACACTAAACACCGAATAATGGAAAAAATCCAATGCCCCAAGCAGACATGCAGCTGCCACTGTGCGGTTCTTGACCATACGATAAGGCACAAATGGTTTCTCCGCGAACCATGCATCCCAGCATAAGAACGCTATGATCAAAACCACGCCGAGAACCAACATGGCGATAAAAGACCCTTTTGTCCATGCGCCACTGTTATTAGAGCCTGTCAAGGACAGGGGAACCAAAAGGAGAGACAACCCAGCCACAAGGAGAACAGCTCCCGGCAAATCAAGCTGAATCCAAAATAATCGGTACAGCTTCTTCCACCAGACATCGTTGGTTTTCCAGCCCAAAGCCTCAGACACAGATACCGGAGATGGTGCCCGACGTTGATAAAACAGCATGGTACCGATCAATGGCAGCGATGCAACGGGCAAGACAATCGCCCACATGCCCCATCCCCATCGCCACGTTGAATGATCGAGGATGCGCTGACCGATGATAGTACCAAGGTAAAGAGTCGGAATTGTGGTGAGAGAGTCGGGTAACGTTGACCAGATACCGCGATTGACCAACGAGGTCATATCTGCCACGAAGATTTGCTGTGTGAGGGCAAATCCCGTCGATCCGATAGCGTCGAAGATCCCGGCAACCTGTGAGATAGAGCAATGATTAGCATGGAATTAAATATGCCACGAATCCAAGGGGAATACTCCTTACTATGTATTGCGTGATGTTCGTGCAAGCGGCCCATATGGCATAGCCCAAAACAGACGTCAGAATGGACAAGATGAACATTTCAGCCCTACCGAAGACCTAACCACCATGGTAAGCAAGAAAGAAACAGCTGGAGACTCAAGAATACTAACATCTCCCAGCTTTGCAATAATGGGATAGGCGGAGATACGTGCAATGTTCATGACCACGCGGGCTGCGCTCATGGCAGAGTGCTGCTTGAAGTCACTCGTCGTATATGGGGCATACACCTGAGTTGAATAATCAGCGAAATTAATCGCTAATGTACACAGAAACAGTCTGATCAGCCATTAGTAAAATGCCCTGCTTGAAATGTATCTGCAATGACTAACCCTGTAAAGACAATGATCAAGCCTTGCTTGGTCCAACTTTTCGAAGCACATCAGCCCTATAGACTCCAGGTTGAAGGCTAGGAATGCTTGATTGCTTTTCGAGGTTTTCCTCTTGGTGAGCATTCTCAGCAGCTTGGCTACTCTGGTTGTTTGATGGTACCATCGAAATGGAAATGTCCCCTTCCTGCTTGGCCATGGCCGTGGTCGTATGTCTTTAGTGGAAGTACTGAAGTTTCTCAAAAGCCAAATCAGGCGCCAAAGGATTTAAAGAGAAAGTCTTCCTCAAAAGTCAAACAGCGAAAGCAGCGAAACCGGACCGGATATTGTCGCACTGTACCCAACATTGCCTTCAAAAAGCAGCGAGAACAGCAGCAATGTACGGAGAAATGGAAAGTATTGGAAGCCATGACTTCTTTGCCCCACTCGGCTTTCTGCGAGAGGTAGATATGGTCTCTTGGACCACGGATACTATGTACGAAAGTGGACAAGTGGAAACCAAACCTAATCTTATCAATCATATGTTAAACAAGAAAAAAACGAGTACTATCCCAAACAGGTAATTCAGACGAGGGCCGCGTCCCCCCTATATGTATCTATGAAGAATGCCAAGCTAGCCAAGGACGAATATATCCACCGCACGAGAATGGCCTCACTTTCGGAGTTAAGAGAAGTCAAATATTCGGGAGAAGTATCTTTCTTTGTAACGGACTTTTTCCGAAGATTTTGTCTCATGCCATTCTTGTCCCCACTTCCACGTGCGCAATAGTATGGGAGCCCTGAAGACTGGGGCCCTTGTAATGTTTTTCACCTACTCTTGAACGGCTCCAAAGTGTGACTATTCGGCTGTTCTCGCCGGAGTAACTTCTGTCAGACCCACAAGACGGCTACACTTCGGGGATTCTCCTGCTGATAACGATCTAGTCTTCAAATTAACCCGTTCTTCATAATTGCTGCCCCAGATATTATCTTTCCAACACACAATGGAAGGCCAGTGGAGATTTGAACAGGCGGGCTGCCATGTCCAAAACATGGCGAACTGGCTCGTCGTAAACAAGCAGGATGAGGAATATCTTATCCAAGTGTCGTGGCCACTCGAGTGGAAATCGACCCAAGATGAGCCAATCGTCGACAAAGCCAATGCGATGTAAGTGAAGAGGTTATTGTGGATATATCATCAGCCAACACTTCTCAATCTGTCTAGATATATCGTGGATGGCAATGCGATGATGCTCTCAGCAACAGACATTGTGCGACGACGGCAAATACGTAAATCGGACGAGACATCGGCAATAATCATCGGAATCTCCTACCCATTGGCCCAATCTGTTTACAGCCCTCGTCGAAACCATGATCTAACTCCCCCTTGCGAGAAATATGACTCGCCCCAAGGCCCAGATGGAAATCCCAATCCTTATGAGTACGGAGGTGCAGATGCTTTTCTCTATTTCATAACGAACACTGTTCATCATTTTGTGTTTTCGTCAATATTCCCTCGCGTGTCAGTTTGCCAAACTGCTCTGTTCGGACACTCATTTGGGGCCCTGTTCGCCCTCCATGCACTGTATACAGCCCCCGCAAGCTTCGACGCTTATCTTGCTGCAAGTCCGTCAATTTGGTGGAACGAGAGATTTTTGTTGCAGGAAGAAGAGCAATTCTACAATCTGCCAGAGTCGCACCACCGGCCGAAAGTTTGGATGGCTTATGGATCACTTGAGCAGTCACCCATACGTCAAAAAAATCAGTCTTTGGAGGAATATGAAAAACGGTTGGCGATAGTCAACGAACGTCTCATGGGGGATAATTGCGACCAAATGTTTGTTCGACTTTTGCAAAGTGGTCGGGTACAGTCAGTCACAAGAAGAATATACGAAGATGAAGACCATGGAAGTGTCATTGCTGGGGCACTGAGCGGAGCTATCTTCCATTTCCTTGATCAAGGCGATGAATGAACAATGAAGGAGTACCATAGTCATAGCAGCTCTATTGATGTGATTGAAACGCCCACACAAATGCTTCACTTTATTTTTTTATTTTTTTTCCTCCTGGCCTATCTTCTAGGTAGTTACTAATGCCAGGACGATGCTTACGCCGGTCTACATCGATGTGAAAGAGAAGTATGTGATACCATGTCAGTAGGGTTCTACTGAGAGTTCAGTGGGGTTTTGATCCCTGCACCCCAACATTTACTAGTTAACGTATTCGGTCAGCGAGTGGGCCATGTAAGCCAGTGGGCCACCCTACCCAAAACACGTCTATAGATTAGCACTTAGTCAATTCAACCACCTACCATGCCACCAATTCGCTCTCCATCCTCTCGCAATGTAGCAGAGCAAGAGGGTAGGATCTTACTAGCTATCCAGGCTTTTCAGAACCAAGCAATATCTTCAATTCGTGAAGTGGCCCGCCGGTTTAATATACCGCGTACAGCTTTATAACGCCGCCTCACTCGTGATCCTTTTCGTCTTAAAACACGTACTAACAGCTATAAATTAATAGAAATCGAGGACTACGCTCTTTAAAAATAGATTCTCTCTATATATCTACATGGAGCGGCTCCCTAGCCTTCTACTATACGAGAAATGGCGAATCTTTTGCTTTAATAACACGGAACCCTCCTAGCTATTTCGGTCGGCGAAAAATAGACCTATGACTTTGCTAAACGATATCCTCTCCTCTCCTCCCGGTTCTTAAGACGCTATAATTACGAACGTGCGAAGTGCGGAGACCTAAAGATTGTTAGTGAATAGTTTAATCTTGTTTAAAAGACTATTATTTAATTTAGAATCGATCCCGATAGCGTTTACAACTTCGATAAAGACTAGTTTCGCGATAGGGTTAATTGCGACAGCGGAGGTGATAACGAGGAGTGAATTATATGGTCGTGTCATGGATAAACTATGTGCGCTACTATGTATATTGGTCCTGGGCATGTCAGAGCATGGGCTCTGATATAATGGTCTTTTGGCCGAGTTGGAGAATGTGCGCCCACGCATATCCTTTACATAACCTAAAAGCTTACGATCATATTCTAAAATCTATTAGTAAATTATCTATAAAATACTGGTTAGTAAATTTTGACTTACCTTCGATCAATTATATTAGCTACTTATATTTATTAGCGCTTTTATAATCTATTAAGCTATTTAGGTGGTATAAGCCTCTATATAAGAGGTATTATATAGATTCTAGCTCGCTAGTATTAATTTATTAATTGTATATAAAGAACAAAAGAACATATATTCACTACCTCTAGCTTTCGTATATGCCAATCCTTGAATCACCGATGAAGAAAAAATCACCAAGCAATCTACCATTCTTGAACTTCGCCGTTGTAGAGGACGACCTTGCCACCGTACTGCTCCTTGGTTCCATTGGTAATCACATCAACCATACCGCTTGTAGACTTTTCAACAGTGTCAGGTGCTGACTCCATACCCCAACCTTTCGCAGCCCCGTTGCCCATATCGGTCTGTACCCAGCCGGGGTCCAATACAAAGGTGTTAAGCCACTCATCTTCGGCGTTGATTCGAACACCGTACCACGGGAGAATTGACTTGGAAGCTCCGTATGCTGCACTAGGAACGGGAGGCTGGCGACTAGGGAGTGAATCAGTATGGGCATAAATAAAAAATAAATAATAATCACATAGGGGAATGTGAGAGGAACATCTTACCCTAAAGCTCCAGCTCCAGATCCCATGATAGCATAGACAGGCTTGGTGATCGACTTTTCAAGTAGAGGACGAGTGGCTTGGTAGAGAGAGATTACGCTAAAGACGTTCACCTCAATATGCTCGAGGACGTCGACGCGTTTGACATCCTTGACAAGGGGATACCCTTTAGCGATACCGGCATTGGCAACAACGTAATCAATATGATCAATGCCCTTGTCGGCGGCTTCTTTGACAGCGTCAAAGGCGGACTGCTCAATACCGGCGTCATACTTCACGACGATAATGCTGCTGCCTTCGCCCGTGTGTAGCTCGGATAGCCTCTCAACAGTTGGGTGTGCGGTATCACGGACCGCAGCAACGACAACCTACGAGTGGCTCAATTAGCTAGCTCCTGACGGATATTCTGAAAAGGATGATTTACATAGTTCGGGTTGGCCACGAAATTCTTTACCAGTCCGAAGCCCAGTCCGCGATTAGCACCGGTAACAAAGGCAACAGTGGGAGCCATGATAGCGTAGTACAAGGGGTATAGGTCAAAAATGTAGAGAGTTGAGACAATTGAATCAGTGCGTTGATACAAATTGGTAGGCAGATAGATACAAGCATTGCCTTCAAATATATTTCTACTAACACGCCATTAACTACCTAAGGCTGATTATCAATCTGTTCGATTACAAATGTAAGAAGGGGGTAACGGCGGCGCTGAAACAAACAAAATACAGCCGTGACTTGGTTCAGCCGGACCGACTGTTCTAAGGCCATGATGCGATCGGCGGAGATAAGCACCTGACAGGGCTGGGCCGAAATGGGGACGTAGGTAGGTTTCGTCGGAGATCCGGCGGAAGGAAATAGGGTAACGGGAATCTCCACCGTGACCGTGCGTATATGCCGCATAATCCTCCAGGGCTGCTTTAGCCCGAGACCCCCAGAGCCAACTATATGCGACACGCTCGTCCAAGGGTCTAATGCGAGATGATTGTTGATCGTTCATCTTGCATGCGAAGCGATTTACCTAGATCACTCCACTGATGGTCAGCTTTGGATGCAATGGCGTAAAACAATAATTCTAGGAGAGAACATAGTTTCTTCTTCTTTCTACTCGATTGTGCTGGCAGTCAAACCTCAATTCATTTTACATGGATCGGCGTGTAAGTATCATCCAAATTTGTAAGATATATAGTACTATGCCAAAATATAGGAGAAAACAAGCGCTTCAGTCAACGATTTTCACTACTTTCGATACAATTCATATATAAAAGCAACCATGTGGAGCCGGTCAGAGATATCGCCTGGAGTTCTTGGGATTTCTAGGATCTTAGGCTATAAATTACAAGGCCAGGATGTGAGCGCCCTCGCATGGAAGGCTTCTGTGTTGCTTATTGCTCTCCTCTTTACCTATGCCATCAGTGCAGGATTTTATCGTTGTATGTCATCACAGTTGAGGGTTGGATTTTTTAGATGTTGACTCGAAACCCTCGCAGTCTCTATGGATCCTAACCAACGGCAAATGCTTGAGGTTGTCTTCGAGGGATTGGAGAACGGAGGAATTACAATGGACAGTTTGGACGGTAAATCAGTCGCTTGTTTCGTAGCTTCCTTTGCCACTGGTAAGTCTTTCTCGGACCGTGCTTATACCCTAATTAGACCTCAATACCACCATGACCAATTTGTATACTGATTGTCCATGGATGATTACGGTGACCTTCAAATTGGCGATCCTCTAGACTGGGCATCAAATCATGCAATTGGCATTGGGCGAGCCAGTATGGCCAATCGGCTGGGCTACTTCCTGAATATCAAGGGACCCAGTGTCACCATTGATACAGCTTGCCCAGGAAGCATGGTTGCGTTGCATTTGGCCGTCCGCACCCTTCGCAACCGAGAGTCCGACAGCGCGATTGTCGCTACTAGCAATATCTTCCTGAATCCTGAACACACCGAGCACGGGCCTACGTATCCCACCGAACTCTCAGTAAGATCCTACTGACCTGTGATCTGGAGAAGTATGTACATACTGTCAAATACACTGGTATCCTGAAATGTATGGGTCCAATCAATGGTGTTAAAATCTCTGAATTTTAGAATCCGTTCCTAGCAATTTATATGGGCTGTGGATTATCAATCTAAAATTACTGAACAACCTGGATTAATTACCCCGGTATGCCGGTCTGTATGCTCCGACACGTACATAGAGCCTTCTGCCTCAGGCGCATGTTTATGCCTAAGGCTAGATATTACTCAGCGGTTCCTAAAGAGGTTAGGCTGCACCGCTATATGAACCGAAATTTCGGCGGAACACTTTCTTCTCCATACCACTCCCCGTGTTCTGCACAGAACGGGCTACTATACGATTGTAGCCTGGTCTTTGTTGACGCAGTCCTTCACTGGGCTTCGTTTGGGAGTGGTAGATAAGATTTCTTGTCACTCTGTATCTGCTGCTCTTGATGGTTCATTTGATGGAAGCGGTTCGTTTTGTAGTGATACATCCATAATCTCATTATTAGAATGGCACCTTGCTGTGCCGCCCTGATATTGTAGTTTGTAGAGTCCAGGAGGCTTGCAAAGAGCACCTTGCGATGACAGCCAGGCAATGCTGCCCTAGATGACTTGGTCCGGGCGCGCCGAAAGTTGTACCTGCAACCCGTATCGCAGATGGAATCCAAACTCTCCAAATTGGGCAGCACCTTTTTTTCCCGGGAGATGTGACTTGATTTGTATGACCTACCACCTTGACTCGATGGATTAAGCCGCGCGTCACGACTCTCACTCCTGTGTACCTGCTTCAACCACCCGGGCCCGAATGATCTTCAGTTCATCCACTGGCTTGTCCTGCTCACCGGTCTTAACCAGTCCCATGCGCTGAATTATTCTCATGCCACTTTTCACCCGGCCGAAAATTGTGTGGCTCCCGTCCAGCCATGGTGTTGGCGCAAGAGTGATAAAAAACTGACTACCATTGGTATTGGGTCCACTGTTGGCCATGCTCAGAACTCCAGCGCCGGTGTGTTTCAGTTCTGGACGAATCTCATCCTCGAATTTCTCGCCGTAGATGGAGCTACCTCCTCGACCGGTGCCAGTAGGATCGCCGGTTTGAACCATGAAGTCGGGAATGATACGATGGAAGATGACATTATTGTAGTAGCCGCGTTCGGCGAGGGTCGCAAAGTTCTTGCATGTCTGAAAAGCAAGACATTAGCAATGTTTCCATAGAAGATTTGCGAAGGGTCTCATACTTTGGGCGCATGGGTATTGTAGAGCTCCACGGAGAAGGAGCCCTGCGGTGGGTTAGTAAGATTTCTTGAGAGAACAACGAAGCACTAGTTACCATAGTCGTGTCAAAAGCCACCTCGGTAGTCATGATGAAGATGTGAGTGTAGAATCGTAAATCAAAGAGCTAAAATGAGAGCTGAGAGTTTGCGAGGAGCGGGATCAGTGAACATTACGGAGGAGTGCAGCGACCATGCGAGTCTCAATTCCCATTGGGCCAATTTGTTTGGCAGAAAACTGGTACCGCCCTATCTATATAATCTACACGACAACGTACTATTATCAAAGTTATAGCAAAGAAATATATGTACACCGTAAGAAAATATGAGAGTTCACGACATACATCAATTGCAGTCTCCTGGTTCTACAGAAACAAGCTGGCTATTGGTATATATGTATGCACGTAATCTTGGTCTTCAGACTTTACTGGATCAGACTATCTGAGCAAAAGATCTGCAGCTTAGATATAACATCCAGGAGATCAAAAGGCACTAAGAAACTATCGATGAAGCAAAGTAAATCTATAGATCACAATGGGTGGCCTTCCGCTCATTTTCCATGTTATTTCCAAAAGATCATCTGTTTTTGACTTACCTTGGGTTAGCATGACTAGCCTCATGGTAAAAGTTTGCTCAATATTCAGTAGCTAGGTAATACCTACGTTTTTGCAAGATATTGATTAATGAGGGTAGCCCTCAAAGTGAGACCAAGCAGCCCGAATCCGGTTGCTATATTGTTAACCATCTGATAAACTTCAAATTTCGCAAAGAGATATAGCATGTGACTCTAATTATGGAAGGTCCGATTTGCCTGACCAGACAATATCGTAATGCTCCTCTCTGTCCTCACTTCGTTTATCTCATGTCTTGCTTCTTTCCTACCTTACTTGCATCCCAGCAGTGTCAAATCGGCTGTCTGGTGTGTTCTCAATGGCGCCAACCACAACGATACACGATCTCCCCACAGAGCTGATCTGGATGATCGTGGGAAATCTGGACATAGTCAGTCGTATGCACCTACGCGGATCTTGCGCCGACATTAACAATCGTATCTGCCCACCAACTCGCAAGGAACTGATCGAATTCGAGAGCACCCCATACGGGTTTGAAAGCGGTCTATTCGCCTGTGCCAACTGCATTCGGCTGCTGCCAAAGGAAATGTTTGCCGAGAATCTGACAGTGCATCAGAGGGCAAAGAGAAGATCTAGTTCAACTACCAGATTCTGTCTAGAGTGTGGAACCTACCCTGACCACTGCCCTCCTTTGTACTCAGTTGAAGATCATATCACTATCAAAAGCAAATTATCCGTGGTTTGTCATATTTGCTGCGAGTTCAAGGAGGGCAAGGCTGGAGAAAGGAAAGGCACAGTCAGAGTGTTTGGAATGCTGGGAATCTTCACTGTGAATATGGCAAGAAGGTAGCCGTCAAACAGGGTAAAATGCTGTTCCAATTGCTATTCAGTGGTTGACTTTTGTCGACGTCCTTTTCTTAATGGTTTTCCATTGAGCTTATTGTGCATCTTCGTCCATAGACCTCGGACATGTCCGTCAACTGGTGGATTAAATGTGGACAATCGCCAGATTAGCCGTGGGATATGAAGAATGAAATCAAAAGCTTATGCCGTAGGAATCCTAGAGTTTTGAATTAAGAACGAAATGAATGGACAAATGTGAAGAAGACAAGGTGTAGATGCGAACAAAAAGCGGTGAACTAAATTTTGCTGTGGTCACTAAGCTCCTCCGTGCACTCGGGCATGGCCTCGGGAAGCTTCAAAGGATCTCTCCCACTATCAACTCTTTGTGGCCATCATGGTCTAATTCATTCTTTTTTCTTTGATCGAGTCCAATTTCCTGCCATTTGCCTCGTGCGTACAGTCCATAATTTCTTGTTCACTATGACCGATGTCAGCCCTGTCGCGGAGCTTCTGGGACAAGCCCTCTACCACTTCGACCGTCTGAGGCCACTCCTTCCAACTTATGGGCATCTAATCATTTCTGCTCTTTTTCCGATTTGGATCGGCGCACATGGATCCTTGACAAGACCTTCCTCTGCCGCCAAACCGAAGAAAAAATCCGACAAGAATAAAGATGAATATGACACGGATGACGAAGAGGGACGTGGCCCTTTGCAGAAGATGGAAGGGCTTGAGCCATCAGACGCCCTGATATTCCCATTGACTGCAGGACTTACACTTGGTGGGTTATACTTGGTGATCAAATGGCTCGAAGATCCGGCCATCTTGAATAAGATCCTTAGCTTCTACTTCTCCCAAATGGGACTCTTCTTTGCTTTCGCTTTCCTGAAGGATGTGCTCTCGATGATTCGTTCATTTGTGTTTCCTAGATATTACCGCCAAGGTGGACAATTGTGGAAAGCGAGACAGTCCGAACGCCTTTTCGTGGCATCTGGGGACCATTCAGCAAAGCCACACCCCATTCGGCATTCACCTCTTCCTGGGATTTTGGGCCGACTTCCACTCCCTGGTATGGTGTTAGGTCTGCTTTGGACGTATCGAAATGTTTTCTACCAGCGTCTCAAGGTTCGGGCCCATATACGTGGCTTATTTGACTTCAAATGCCTTGTTGGTCTCCTTGATATCATAAGTGGAATCCTTGCATTGTCTGCTGTAGGGTACTTTGCATTCGTCGCGAACCCCTGGTGGTTGACTAACTTTCTCGGTTTCTGCTTCTGCTACGGCACCCTACAATTCATGTCTCCCTCCACATTCTGGACAGGAACCCTCATTATGGGATCCTTATTTTTCTATGATATTTACTTTGTCTTCTTCACACCGTTGATGGTAACTGTTGCAACTAAACTGGATGTACCGATCAAGCTCCTTTTTCCTCGTCCGCCCACCGCTCGTGATGCGCCAGGTGTCGTGCCGTTGGCCATGCTCGGGCTGGGTGACATTGTCATTCCAGGAATGATGATTGGGCTGGCACTTCGCTTCGACCTGTTCCTCTTCTACCAGAAAAAAGGTGCCCAAATGCCACGCACTGAAGGATCAGACCAATCAATCCTCAAGCCTACGTATCAGTCGGCAACCGGTGCTTGGGGAGAGCGATTCTGGGCGCCATCAGTCAAGCCACTGCAGCCGGAAACTCAGCCCCCCTACCACGATGCCCGGGCTTTCCCAAAGATTTACTTCAAGGCTAGTATATTCGGCTATATTGTTGGGATGATCACCACCCTCCTTGCCATGCAATATTCGAATCATGCCCAACCAGCTCTTCTATATCTGGTACCCGGCGTCTTGGCGTCACTTTGGGGTACTGCACTCATTCGAGGTGAGGTCAACACAATGTGGGACTTCTCTGACGCTGAGGAAACGGAAATTGAAGAGGGAAAGAAGCAAGATGAAATCGAGGACAAGCCTTCTCGAGATCAGAAGAGCCTCTTTATGCGCATCTTCTCCGGTGACTTCCTGCGTACATCAAACGATAAGAACACAACACTGGACAATGAACCCAAGGAAGAGGAAATCGATGACTCGAAATCCAAAACAAAATCATCCGAAGCAGACGGACATGATGCTAAGACGAAGAAATCTAAATCGGACCGTGACAGTTTGGACCTGGTCTCTTTCTCCGTATCAATTCCTCGCACGCCCAAACATGAAACCCAGGCTAGCTCGCCGTCCATGGAAGAGGACGAGGCGGTGTCTGTTTCGAGGGATGTCAGCGGGGACAACGAACCGCCGTTGAAGAGAAGGCGACGCAGCATGATGAACAAGCAATCAGCAAATTAGCGATGTGATCAATCAAGTCTGACGCAGCGAATGTATTAGTCAAACAAGATCAATTTAAGGATTATCAATATGACGGCCACCGTTGCAGTCTACTCCAATACATAGCTCTACATATTAAAAGACGAAATTGGCAAGAAATACTTGTAGTGGTATCATTGATTTGTAGTGCATATCAGTTCCATTAGCATTGATCCAGTATCCGCTTCATCTCATCCCATCTCTGAGCAGAAACATCCACCAGGTGGCGCAGATCATCACTGTCCACAGTCCAACCTCCATGCTTCTCCATCTTCACAATGACCGTCTTTCCGTTCTCTTTATCAACAACAACAGAAACCCGCTCTTGACTCAATCCCTCCTCGTATCCATCTGGGTCCGCAAGAATCCACCTTTGCTGTGCACCCTTCTTCTGCTTCTGCTCCTCAGCATCGGGAATGACGACCGCCCTCCAACCAGCAGCAACATCACCCTCGAAAGAACAGAATGAACTAGAAACAGGCAAACCACGCAAAGACAACTTTTGAGCATCGGCAACATCGTCCGAGCAAAGGATAGTCTCATTATCTGCATCCCACCAGGCCTTAGGAAGCTTCGTGTCCCGAAGCGCAGCCAAGACAGAGGCCCAGGCCGCGTCGAATGGGTTTCCAGCCAGAGAAATGATCATGACATCAATATAAAGCACCCAGAATGCCTTGATCTCCCGCTCAGGACCCCTGCTCTCTTCTGTATCCACTTCCATCCCCTCACCCGCATTGTGGAATTCTTCCGAGTCCAGGTTCGGTGGCTGATACCAAATGCGCAGGTCGTCTGCTTTAACGAGACGGGTGGTGTGCAGGAGGGAAAGGATTTGGTGAGAAAGTGACTGAGCCAGTGCAGAAGGTGGTGCACCGGGTGTAAAGCCTGGCGCGCAGCCAGTGCTGAGGGAAAGATTGGGAACAAGTAGATTCAGATCTTGGATGTGGCCTTTATCTTCCTCATCTTGGGATTCGGGGACTCCCATCTCGTTTGACTTGTCGAACTTTTGCTCTGCTGAGGCCTGCAACACGCTCCAGGAAGCTATGTCCTTTGTGTGTAGGATCTCTGCGCGGACGCCGCAGACAGCGGCTGTGTCGCCGATTCGTACGACTGCACTGCCGTTTGTGTGGGTTAAGGAGCCAGCATTGGCGGATGTGACACGGAATTGTGAGGTGGCACGGCCGTTTGCGCGAATTGAGGGCTGGTTGCTCGCTGGTGGAGGGGAGAGGTGGGCGAGAAGGTAGGCGTGAGGTTGGAGGCGGGCGAATTGAGATGGTGGAAGGGATAATGATGGAGGTGTCGGGTTACTGGGAGTAGTGGTGGACGCCATAGCTGAAGAGAGAGTCTCTGCTTGTGTCCAAGGGTAATATAGAAATTATTGGAGATGCAGAAAAAGCCGACGAGCATGGCATGGCAGAATAATTTCCTATCGAAAGCGGTGGAAGCTGCCACTCATGCCCCAGGCATCAAGTGTTTATCTGCCAAGACTTTCGTGGGCTTGTCTACTAGACTACACCGTCTCACTGCCGCGGGATAACCATCTCCTATGTACGGAGGTCAATTTCAAAGGGTTGAATTTATTTTTCAGTTGCTTTTTCTGCTAATATCACTATTTTACAATGGTGGTGTGAAGCATCACCTACTACCTTATACCTTTTTACCATCACTCTTTTGTAATGACACTACTACTAACCATATACCTGCCACTACCTATCACAATGGGCAAAAGGATTGCTGTTGCTGTAGGTGAAGCTATTATTGGCGTTTCTATAATTCATTGGACTTGTCATGTAACACCAAGCCACATCTGAAAAGACCCCATTCCTGCCCTAGGCAATCAATCAATCTTCTGTTACGCTGTATCCCTTTGACACTATTCTATACAGCTTACGACGCAATCATGCAAACTCCAATGTTCATATAGTCTGGGAGTACGTTGAGAAAATATCACACAATTGGTTACTTAAATTCCTAAAACTTGACATTGAGAAACCGATCGCGACATTCATCCTCGAGCACTATAGAGGAGATGGGACCGAATTTATGATACTCGCAAAAAGGTTCTTACAATATCTTCTTACAAATAAAGTACCACAATAATGCTGTGGTTATACAGCTATCTCAGCCCGGTGCCGTATTTCTTCCTGAGGAACAAGTCGTGAACGAAGTCGCTACTATGCGATGTCTCACCGACTAGACATCCATTCATTCTCCATTTGGACACAAAGAAAAAAAAAGACCCCCTTGAACTAAGTCCATTCATCCTGATGGAGCATATCGACCGCGAAACAAATATGTACGACGCTCTCAATACTCCTGAATGCCCGAAAGAGGAAGTTGGAAGAGAGGGAAATTAGAATAATGAAGTGGGACCCGGATGAGTACACTATGGAAGCAATAACGAAAGCGGCGCAAGTGGATGAAGCCTACTAGATTCAAAGGTATGGAGCAAAGTGCAACGAGATCGGAACGGCTGCTGGCAGGCCAAATGCATGAGCTATCACCTTATTGTCAGGAAAATAGAGGTTTTGATCAGAATCGAGTCCTGGGTAAAAGAAAATTATGTCTATTCTTTGCGGGCATAGTATAGCTTTTTGCCGAGAATAATCAGCTAGAAAAGGATGCTCGTTTGATCGGTACGAGAGGCGTCTCGAAGAGCTGTGCAACATCACGCAAAAATTGATTTCAAATGATATCTCGAGAGAATCTGATTCTAGCAAACATTGAGGCAAGTCTTGTAGTATATGGGAAAGGGAAGGGAATTGAATGGAAACCTCCAGCATAACGTGGAGTTCGATTTGGCTGCTGTGTACCACAGCAGGTGCTTGCCGTTATGCAGGAACCAAAAAGGAGCTGTAAGTCAAGATGCCTCTTATTCAACCGTTGAAATATCGATTTCTTTGATTCCTTTGATTGCACAGGTAGGCAAGGGTAATATTCGACTGCACAGGTCATGATTAGGGGACACAGCTTCGTACTACTGAATCCTATTCGCTTCGGCAACTAAACCCTTATATTCTCCGAATTGGCAGGCTCATTGACCTCTCTTATGGCCTTTTTACGGCATCATTGAGGTTAAATTAGTCATACCTAGCCCATTCCTACATATGGAGTATACATGCTCCCTTTGTGACGACTCCCAGCGGCTACCAGCACGGGGAATTCTGATCCACAACATACATTACAATTCGATTATTATTGGATGTGTTTCGAGGTAGAACCTTGTGAGAATGAGAACATGAGTGTTCTGCATATACCCCACCCACGCTAATGCGGCTCGATCACCAGTCACTCTGCTGCTAATATCGCCGGCTGTGATTGGGCTGCAGAGCGCTAAACCGTCACATATCACTGGAATATCCCTATCACAATGGCGAAACGCCTGTACTTTCATAAATCGGTCTGTAATACCCGTCTTCGATTGGTTCAATGTCTGACCAGCCACAAATATTCTGTTGGGCTTATTCTATCACAGGCCAAGACTGCGAGGTTGTGTGACCTCCCCGCTTCCATTTTCCCATACGGAGTACATGAAGACGAAATTTCCCTCGAACATTGCTTTTCCCGCTTGACTTGGATGACATCAATCGTGGTAGCTTGAGTTAAGATATGAGCGGCCGAATATAGTACAAGAGAGCAATACTCTTGTGTGCGGGTGATACCTAAAGGTAGGTTACTCCGTCCAACATTGTATAATGAGATCGACCTAATGAGAAACAATTGCAGAAATAATTTCAATATTGCTGACCAGTGCACTGCAAAATGCTGAGCACTATGGTTTTCCTCGCCAAGCGCATCAATGTCGCGATCACGGCATCAACAACTCCAGCCGAGGCAGCTGAGATGCAGCGAGATCCATGGTCAAAGTCGGCAAAATATGGAGTAGGATTTGTCTATTTTGCCGTCGTGCTGCTGATCATTACGACATTTGTCCGATGTTGGCATAAATGGGGCGACAAGATGCGGATTGCCCTCTACAGAGAAAACCGACCAGAGATCTCTCGCGACGATTCGGTACCGGACGAGTACGAACTCCCGAGTGCAGGTACTGATGCTTCCAACGCTCACTTCTTTCCATCACCGAATGTGATCTCTCCACCTAAGAGGCGCGAGTCAATTCTTGCTAGCATAGTTCCTTTGAACAAGGCAATTGCCTTAATGCGATGGATCTTCTACCGACCAGTTCCCTCTCTGAGGATTGGAAAGATAGAGCTCTCGTTCCCATCTTTGGCAATCACGGCAATTGTCTTGATTGCGTTTACTTTTGTCACATTATACTGTTTTGTGCCACAGCCCTTATACTACTGGTCTATTGCGCTGGGGTCGCCGCCGTTGGCTATTCGGGCAGGTATGCTCGCAGTAGCCATGATTCCCTGGATCGTTGCACTCAGCACCAAGGCAAATTTTATTACTTTGATGACTGGCCTCAGTCCTGAAAGGTTGAATGGACTGCACCGCTGGTCAGCCTATATCTGCCTATTCCTCAGTTTGGTTCACATGGTCCCGTTCTACATCACTCCAATCTGGGAAGATGGTGCTTTGGTCAACTATAGCGTAGGCATCCCACCGCATGCCTATGTGTATGGGACTGGAATTGCGGCGCTCGTTCCTCTGCTTGTGTTGTGCATCCATTCTCTCCCAGTCTTCCGCAATTGGATGTATGAGCTTTTTGTCTTTATTCATATCCCAGTCTCGTACATCTTTGTGGCGATGCTTTTCTGGCATACAAGAAACTACTTGTCATCGTGGGCCTATCTTTTCACAACCATCGCTATTTGGATCATCTCTTATATCGTCCGGCTGTTCTACTTGAACTGGACACACCCTTTGCGCTCATCATTTTTGATTGGAGAAGAGTCGGCCGTAACCCTTCTTCCACAAAATGCTATCAAGATTACCATTCCCACAAAGATGCGTTGGAGGCCCGGTCAGTATGTCTATTTGAGGCTGCCGAGAATCTCTGTGATACAGAGTCACCCTTTTACAATTGCCTCTCTTTGCAGCGACGACTTTCCATCTGCGTATGGTGAAAAGTACCGTGACATAACACTGGTTTTCCGGCCATTTAAAGGCTTCACCCGCCAGGTATTTCAGGAAGCCATAGAGCGTGGCCCCTACAACACATACAGCGCATTTGTCGAAGGACCTTATGGTGGTATGCAGCGCGAGATTGCTGCTTTCGATGACGTGGTTTTCTTTGCCGGAGGAAGTGGCATTACTGCCATTGCAAGCCAACTGCTGGACCTCATCAAGAAGATTCGAGATGGCAAGGCCATCACCAAGTCGGTCAAAGTCATTTGGGCGCTCAAGAGCCCCGAGACTATGGAATGGTTCCAAGAAGAACTACGGATCTGCCGTGACTATGCACCATCGAACATTGTGAGCTGTCATTTCTTCCTTACTGGAGTCAAGCAAACCGACCAAGTTGGACGGGATACAGTCCAAGAGAAGATATACGGCATGCTCAAGGGCATCGACAAGCGAAACTCGGCCTATATCCGCAATGAAGCTGCGGGCAATCCGGATATAGAAAAGGAACTGCGCCGTGAGAATGAAGATGGTGTCGCAGCTCTTCCCAACACGTACGCGGCCACCCATGCGCCCAATACCCGCCAATACTACCAGCCTGCCATGAACGCCCATGGCCCTGCTGCATCCAATGGTCATGGCAACCCGAACTTTGATTTCGGATTTGGCGCACCTCAACCTGTGCCACAAAGGCCACCGCCATCACCTGCACCACGATTTGCTTATTATCAGCCACGGGCACGAGACAACTGGCGAACTGATTACTTCCGCCCGAACATTACCCAGATGGTCAATGAGCTTTCGCAAACATTTGGCCGCCGTGCCTGTGTCTTCGTCTGCGGTCCACCGAGCATGAGAGTTGAGGTCGCCAACGCGGTAGCCAAGCTACAGCTGCAGGTGATTATGGACTCGTCAAGAGATGAGATATTTTTGCATGCCGAGAACTATAACGTCTAATGTAGCGTTGCCGTCTTCTGTTTGATCTTATACCCACGGTGTTACAGATATATGAATATTATGCCAGTTCTTCTAATGTTTAACTTTCACACGTAGCGGTATATCTTGCGAGAGATAATTTCTCATATTCAAGTATAATATCATCATGTACGCAACGGTCATCTAGCACAAGCACTATTCTAAATCAGATGCATGAACAAGCGCAAAGGGTATCCAAAGTATATCAGAAATTCACACATGCAAAGCATGTCTCACCGGACTAGAGGTTTGTGTTTGTCGTCTTCAGCTTTGCGCTTGCGCGAAGGTGTATCCTGTTTTTCAAGGACTTGCGACTCATTCAAATGCTGTATTCCATGGTCGCCTTCTTCTCCATCCTCCGCTTCCACCTTCTCCCAGTCCTCATCTTCTACCTCCCGGGGAGGACTGACAGTCTGGGAACTGCTTTCTTTCGGAGCATGTGTATCATCTTCTTCATTCCAATTCAGATCTAGTCGTACGATCTTCGCGCCCGAGGGCTTCAGTCGCCGATAGTATTCGGCTACCTCGCCGTCAACCCTAAATCCACGAGCAATATACCAGTCCAACCCTTCTTCGTTTGCCTCATGGACATGTGCTGTCACAGAGCGAATGTTATAGTGTTTGACAAGCTCGGACACCTGGTATGAGTCTTTCTTCTTTCGGTCCGCATAGAGAAGCGAATTCAATAGCGATGCGGCAACACCACAGCCCCGATATGGGGAGAGAAGATGTAGAGTCTGAATGTAGAGAGTTGTGGGGGTGCTATCCCCTTGGGTTTGAGTCTCTTTGTTTGAGTCCTCTGCCTGTTGGATTCTTTCTAGCCGACACCGAATGCCCCCAATCACTTTGTCTGTCCCCACAGATGCACCGGACCCGGGAGCTGCAACAACAGGATGGTCATGATAAATAGCAACCCGCGAAAGAGAAGCGATCACCGGATCAGTTATGATAGCTGTGTAGAACGCGTTCGGGTAGCGGATGGGAAGGAGTAAGCCCGTGATCCGCGTCAAGGAAGGGATATGCGCCGTATTGACTTTCTCGACTGTTATATGGGGGTGTGGAGTCGTCACACCAGCTGGAATATCGTGAAGATAGGGGTCAAATATTTCTTCTTTCGAGTGTCTCGGGCCGGACGTGTTTGCGACGGCTGATTGAGGCGGGTGAACTGGCGGGGGGTGGATAGGAGGCCGCACAGGTTGGCGGCTGGTCGGTGGAGGAGACAGCGAAGACGGAGAAGTCGCTAGTCTTGTCTGGTTCTTTGAAAAGAACTGGTATGCCATTTTGGAGCAGTAATAGTTGTGAAAGAACAAGCAGAGAGGCAGCGAATGCGGAGATACGATAAGAGATAAGCACAGTGAACAACTTGCTCCAGCCTCATCCGTCTCTTCATCTCCCAGAGCGATATTTCATTCGCATGCTAATAGACACCTCAATAGGTCAGTGCCCTATTTGCTGCCCATGCCTATTTTCTATTGTATGCGTCGATAGGACTCCTTCATTGACCTCCCGAGGTCCCCTATTGTTGCTGACTATTAGTCCACGCCCCCCCATTATTGAAGCTCACTGACAATACGCCTTACGCTAGGCTATTCAATTCAGCCCTCCCTATTGTCGTCCTTCATCCTTTTATTTCGGCTTCTATGTTTTGGACTTTTACCTTTTTCGTCTTTCCTACACCCGTGCACCCATTGCGTCAACCCTGCATAGATTTCCAGTACATGGAGAACTAAACCTCGGACCTAGCGGTTCGGAGCACTCACTACCTGTGTCGCGGGCAGACACAGCCGTCGGTCAATCAGGACCGGACGAGAAATATTCGGCGCATCCATCTCCGGCCGCAATCCCAAAATGGCCGATTCGAACAACAACGGTGGTCGCAGGCCGACTTACCCTGCCGGAACGATCGCTAAAGTGGTATGACCATGAGAAAACTTCATGGGTTGTACAATACGGTTTCTAATAGTTTCCTGTCTAGGCCACCGACATCCTCAACGAAACATTCCAGAACATCATCCATGACCTTGTCGCCAAAGTTCACCGCGAAGAGAAGGTGGCGCGCATGCGGTCTGCAGTGGTTCTTGCCCGACAGAAGGCGGAGGAAGACGCAATTATGCCGGAGGAGGCCCCCAGTAAAACCTCGACCGATACAAAGAGAGAAATCATACTCGATACCAAGAAGCTTGCGGGTATGCGCATGGAGACGGATGCAGCCGTTTTCAACCGCGGAAGGGTCTTCCTCAAAGGAAATCCGATGAAAACCGTGAAAGAGCACGTGTGCCCAGATTGTCGCCTCCCAAGGCTCATGTACCCGACCACTGGGGCTCGTTCTTGCCCCCTCCTGATCCTGACGTTGAATATTGCACAAATGTGCCCATGATCGACCTTCCCGGCCATGACGTCCATGGAAAGCTCTTTGCAGTCACACCAAACCCTAAGAAGAAGAAGGGTGACCGTGACAGTACCATTCCCGAAATCCCAACTACCAAGTGCCCTCTTTGTCCACGCTATTTTGTCATGACTCGTCTCGCCCAGCACCTTGAACGCTGCGTCTGTGGTGGCCGTGGTGGCCGCGATGGGGGGGGCGCAATAAGACTCCGACAGAGGGCGGACCTAGCAGTGGCAATAGCCCCAGCTCATCAACACACAAGCGCTCTTACGCAGACGACGACGAAGAAAGTCCCAGCCCCACCAAGAAGAAGAAGCTGAATGGACCCAAGAAGGGCTCCACCGCAAAGCCTGGGCCAAGTAAGCTCAAGCAATCATTTACGGTTGAGGACAACGACGACGACATCAAGAGCGAGAACGCCGACTAAATTTCCATTTGTTTCCTCATACCCTTTTTTCCTATCATGGTGTCCGCGGCGTTTGAGCTTTGTTTTGATGGGCTGGTCATATCCTATGGCGTCTCTGGGTCTGCTTTGGTCTGGTCATTGTTTGACCTTTCCTTCGAATAAATCTGCATAGATGAATGATGATGGGGGGGGATGGACTTTGTAGGATGTACATTACTTGATAACATGAGATACAACTGACAGGGGCACTGCAAGAAATATGCAACTGATTTGTGCTAATATGAATATTTTCTTCGTTTCTTATTACTTTTTGACCCCATTGAATGGCCCAAAGGCCGAGACATACATCTCACATACACGCTGCAAACTGATCTCACCATGCAACCACCCAGGTACGATCAATCTTCTGTGATCATACACCACAGTACGTCTATGTCCCCATATCCCATATTCGACAATAAGCAAAGCAAGCTCTGAACATATTAGGACTGAAGCTTGGACAATCGCCGGTTGGTTACAATGAACGATGGACAAATCATCCACCTGCTATTTAATGAAGTTATTCCAGTCGTCATCATTGACTCCATGCTACTTCTCTTGTTTGATATTTTTAACGGCCTCAAACATTTGTATGTGTGCTGTTACTACTGGAATCCCTATTTAGACCATCCCAGGTTAGCTCATATGCCCATCCCTGTACCTCTATGTAGGTCTATCTCTCGGCAGAATTGCATGAGATCATTCACAGTTACTGCAGGTGGATATGCTGGTTGCAAAAATCCAGAATGGGCTGGATATATGTATTCCATCCCGGCACATCGGGGCTCTACATCACCAATTAGCGCGTGTGTTATCATGATGCCTGTAGAGGCTACTCACAGTATACTTGTGATCAAAAACATGATCTTGATTAGGCTCATAGCTTTCCACAACCGGTACATTCATCGCTTTCAGACGCTCAGCCATTTCCTGGCTTTGTGCAAGCGGAGCAGCCCTGTCAGCCATGCCATGCAGGAAAGCTGTGGGCGGATACCATGTCTTCGTTTCAAGAAGCGGAGATGGTGACATCGATAGCAGAAACGCAGTCAGGGCTGCTTCATCCGCAAAGCGCTCAGCATGCAACGAGCCTACGCGTACCGACCTCACAGTAGAACCGACACGCGCAGCTATATCAGATCGCCACTGGTGGAGCTCCGCCTGAAGTCGTATCCGACGGGTGAAGCGGACGTCGGTTCCCCAGCATCTACTCAGCACCTGCTCGGATGTATTCTTATTTTCATCGGCCCATAGCGCATCCGTCAAAATGTTGGCTTCATCTCGGTCCTTTAGAAATTCTTCCAGCTCAGTATCAGAGAACTCGCCAATCCATGGCGGTGCGTTTTTCGAGTTCTCGGGAACTGGCGCTAGAATGGGCCACGCCGCTGCTGGATCAACTACTCCATAAACGAGAATGACAGCCTTTGGTGGTGGTGATAAATGGTGTCCCATGAGGCCAGTGAGAAGTGCGCCACCTGAATCACCGCAGAGGATTAACTGGCTCATGTCTACCGTTTCTGCGCCGAGTATAGACGGGAGATTGGCCCGGCACCAACTCACGGCATCTAGAGAATCCTGCAACTGCATTTCATAGCTTGCCTGCGGACCAAGCCGGAAGTTGTGTGATACCATATGATAGCCTCGCTGGCGAAAGCCAGGTTGCATCCATGGGAGCGGCGCAAAGTGGTTTCCTGCGAGCCAGCCGCCGCCGTGCGTGTAAAATATCACTGGGGCTGGCTTATTGACGGGAGGGTCAGCGGGCCAGATTCTTACAGCGAGCTCTACGCCGCTGTCGGTCTTGAATGGGTGATCGGAGAAGCCTGGGGGGCAGGTTCGAGTCCCATATTCCGTAGCGTCGGCTATTGCCTGATCGTCACTCATCGCTCGAACCTTCTCTCAAAATTGATATGTGCTGATATTGTATCGTATCAACCTGGCTTGGTTACAAGTACGCTCGCTTTGATGCTTTGAAAGGGGAAGAGATGCGCCAATTTTGCCGGCCGGTTAATATGTCTCACCAGCAATGCCCCAATGATATGATATACCCGGGGATTCGATTATGTCCGATCATTCTCATTCTCCATTGACAGTTTCTATTAGCCGCCTTGCCATTTAAGCGTGTATATATCGTGCAGACGAAAGAAAGGCATTACATCTTACTGCACTTATCTCAGACTTGTCGTCTCTGCTATGTTCGCTTGGACGAGAATAGAAAGCATCTAGTATGTCTATTCGCTAGTCATTAGCGAACATACTTAGCCTCTACTGAATTGTGCGGTCACTCGTCTCAAATAAGAGCAGAATCCTAAGATCATCTTCAACAACTCACAGCCGACTTGCTCTCATGAGTAAATTCAATAGCTACGGATCATAAGTTGTAGGGCGTCCTCCTATGGATACAAAGTAGCCCTAAGTGTTCCCAGTTGATCTTGAAACGTTCAGCCAAATTGAGTAATGAGCGATATCGGATTGCAAAAGAGAACACATACTCAATGAAATTGAGATTGTGCTTATTAGATTGAAAGGCTGACATTGATTGCGGCTCTGAAGGCAGCCTGTGTAGACGGTTAGCCCTGGCCCCGGGGAGAACTGTGGCTTAATAATTGCGGGGATCCCCGAGCATCTCAGCTTGTTATTCATCAACGGCCTAAACATTTTCCAACATGGCTGATCTTAGTGCATGGGCAGCTCCCCGTCTCTCCCAGCTTCTCCCACTGGATCCAGATTCTCTTTCTCAGGTTATCGATTATGCCGTCAGTCTCTCGAGGGAGGCATGTGCGGACCACCTCAAAAACCTCCTCGGCGACTCCCCGGCCGCCCTAGAATTCATCTCCTCCTTTAATGCACGCCGAGAACCCCAGCGACCACCTCAGAACCCTTCCACACAAAGCAGAGATACACCGAGATCAAGTGGGGGAACCAAGAAGGGCAAAAAGAAGGCTCCGCTGCACAGTGCCGGCCCACCACGTCGACCCGACGACTACGGCGATGTAGGAGGTGGCTACAAGAAAGCCGAGGAAGAAGACTATATATCCTCTCGAAAACCAGCTACTCCTACTCTTGCGCCATCACCGCATGGGTCCTCTGCGTCGTCGCGCATTCCCTCCCCCTTACCCACATCATCCCCGAAGCCACCACCATCTGCGAGTGGCCCCACGATCTCGGACATGTTACCAAATGTGCGATCAAAAGTGAGCAAGTCAACACGTCAAGGTGGTGGAGGAGGATCGTCATCGAAGGGAAACCCAGCCCTCACAACCAACGACATATCCGATCTCACCGCCGCTATCGCCGCGTTGGAGGTATCGACAAATCCGAGTCTGGGCGAGAGACGCAAATGTACATGCTACGGATCATTGCACCCTGTATTTGAAGCAGCACCTAATTGCCTCAACTGCGGGAAAATTATCTGCTCACTTGAGGGTCTACAGCCGTGCTCATTCTGCGGCACACCACTCCTCTCCGCTGAAGAAGTGCAAGGTATGATTCGGGAATTACGGGCGGAGCGCGGGCAAGAGAAGATGCGCGTACACAATGAAGGTGTTCATCATGAAGGGGGTCCTAGGCCTACTGGCGGGTCCGAACCTCCCAGCAACCTGGATGCCGCGAAAGCACACCGAGACAAGCTGCTCCAGTTCCAAGCGCAAAATGCGCGCCGGACCAAGGTTGTCGATGAAACGGCAGATTTCGAGACCCCGAATGTCGCCTCAACCTTGTGGATGACACCCACACAGCGAGCACTAGCACTCAAGAAGCAGCAGCGCATTCAGCGCGAGATGGACGAGAAAGCTCGTCCTGAGTGGGAGAGGAAAAAGACTGTAATGAGTCTTGATATCAAGGGTGGCAAAGTCCGCCGAGTCTATCATTCCGCGCCAGCAGAACCAACCCCAGAGGCCAATGAATCTGAACCTGCTAATGAAGGAGGTGCAGTAGACAGCTCGCAAGGACAACATACTTTCAGTCGCAACCCCCTTCTCGCAGCTGGTGGTCTTATGCGACCTGTTTGGCGTGCGCCAGAAACAAAGCAGACCGAAGCAACGGAGCCAACCGAACGGAAGCAGACTTGGCGACGTGTGCAAGATGACAACGACGACAACGAGCAGTGGATTCTGGATGGAGGAATACATGGACACACCACTTAGAATGTAATATTACGTGGATTTAACCGCAAAGCTCAAAGCACGAGCCTCCAAAAGTATCATTTCGGGCCATATTCATTATCCCGAATCAAGCATTTCGGGAGGCAATCAGGTATAGCCTCCAGGGATTATCACCAGTTTCATTGTCGACATTGACGCGGGCAAGCCAACCCCACGCAGAAAAACCTGTTCACTATGTATCCCAGTTTCTGACACATTCCTTGCTCTTCAAAAGCGCGGAACCCTCGGAGGGGATGTCTCATCACCGGGCTGTAAATCGGCTAATAACGGGGGTATTACCCCAATTCCCAGGACAGCCCCGAGCTAGTGGAGTCGATAGAAAGGGCCTGCTGGATGCTACTGTATGACCGAATTTGGGAATGACGGCCGTCTACCGAAAATAGAATAGACACATCCTTCTATGTCGCATTCCTATGTAACGATCATGAACACCTATTTTCACCCCAAGAATTCAAGTTGAAATATTCATTTCGTTATCTTTCCAGCATGAACTGGAATCCAGAATCCCCCACAAAAGTACCACACATGAGACAGGCTTCCCCGCGGATGTCATCAAGGTCAGTACGTGCATATTTAAGCATAGCCAATGACCGGCTGTATAAAATCATCCCCAAACAGCCGCCTATAACCGAGCCAGACAATGTCCTTATCCGAAGAAATCGACAAGCCTTAATTGGGGCTCCAGTTTTACCAGGCCTATTTCGTAGTATGGCTCCGGGGTCCGTCGTCATGAATCGCGGTTGGGTGCGGGTATCAACGGCGGAAAGAGTATAGAGGTATAAAGGACATTTGAGACAAGTAGAACCACAAGCTTATCTCTCAATGATCATCTCACAAAATGCTGCTTGAATCTGTACTGGAGTGCTTTTCTCTCCAGAGAGTTCTGGGGGGCTTAATAGGGCTATTAGCAGTAGCGGTACGTATATCCTGTTTTGATATATTTGATACCCTCTCTCGCCCACTTCTAAGTATCGCTAGAAGTAGACTAATCTAACTCACTTCAGACCGTCGCTTTCGCCCTCTACAATCGCTTCATCCACCCTCTCCGTCGGATCAACGGACCCTTCCTCGCATCCATCACACCCTGGGTCCAACTCTACCATGGTCTGAAAGGTGATCGCCATCTCTGGCTGCACAAGCTACACAGCCAGTACGGGACGCACGTGCGAGTTGCGCCTAATTTCGTCTCTGTCAATTCTGATCGTGGATTACACGATATCTATGGGCACGGGAAACGCCTTCAGAAGGCTGATTTCTATAATGCTTTCCCTGCTATCAAGGGCGTGTATAACACGCACAACGCCATCGATAAAGCCATGCATGGTCGCAAAAGGAGAGTGCTTAGCCAGGCTTTCTCGGATAATGCTCTCAGGGGTATGGAGGATGTGATGTTGCTTCATGTGCGTCAGCTGTGCGCTGTGCTGGCTGGATATGATGGAGATTTCGAATCGCATGATCAAAAAGGCAACGTCAAGAACATGGGTAGCTGGTTTAGTTATCTCTCGTACGATGTCATGGGCGAGCTATGCTTCGGCAAGAGCTTTGATATGCTTGTTTCTGATGCTATGAGATATAAAGTCGGATTGGTCGATCGTGCTGCGAACAGGCACTATGTGGTAAGCATCTGTGTTTCGTTCTCCATTATACGGATCCCTTTTCTAATTTACTCATAGTGTGGACTGTGGATGCCCCTAGACACATGGGGTCTAGACCAGATATTCATCCGCAAGCTGACGCGCGACCGATGGAACTTCATTATGAATTCGCGCGTTGAAGCAAACGAACGCGCCAAGGAACGCACCCAGATTGGTCGCGACGCCAAGAAAGACTTCTTCTATTACCTGTTGAACGCGAAGGATCCAGAGACAGGCAATGGACTCAGCACGCCCGAGCTGTGGGGCGAGTCGAATGTTCTCATGATTGCGGGCAGCGATACAACCTCGACTACATTGGCGGCCACACTGTTCTACCTGGTTCGGAGACCAGATGCACTAGCCAAGCTGTCTGCTGAGGTGCGCGGCGCATTCAAAGAAGTTGAGGAAATCGTCACCGGCAGCCAGCTCGGTGAACTAGTGTATCTCAAAGCATGTCTTGACGAGGCGTTGCGTCTGGCCCCGGCCGTGCCCGGTGCGATTCCCCGCGAAGTGATGGAAGGCGGTGCGGTGGTCGATGGGGTCTTCTTACCCGCCGGCACAGACTGCGGAACGCCGACATACTCAATCCATCGTCAAGAGCGATACTACCGGGAAGCAGGAACCTATATCCCGGAGCGCTGGATTGAGGACGCTACATGCACGGCATCTGGGATGTCTTGGCAGACGACCAAGGAGAGCATTGAGACTGCGCGACATGCATTTTGTCCATTTAGCATAGGACCCCGTGGCTGCATTGGCAAGAGCATGGCTTTCATGGAGATGCGGCTGACAATTGCGCGGTTGGTGTTCCTCTTTGACATGTCATTGGCGGATCGCGAGGGCGAAGACGCGGGGGGACATCTGGCGCTGACGGATCATTTCACATCCGCGAAGAATGGGCCGAATGTTGTGTTTAGACGAAAGTAATTCATCATTCTGAATATTAAACAATTTCTCATGCTTGAAAACGGTCATGTCGAAGATGTAGAATTTGAAACATCAAAAGGTCGCTTAATCTCTCAGCCTTATCCGCCCCCCCGACTTCGTAACTTCTCAGGACACGGTTGCGCGTCTTGGCAACAATCCCTGACCCTTTTCTACTGGTGTATATTGGACCATTGGGACTTACATGGATCTAATTAGAGGGCCACTATGACCTCGCCATTGATTGTGACGTTCGTGCAGGCGACCATCTTGAACGCCATTTCCAATGTCCTCGCGCAGCTGATTGACCAGCGAAACAACAAAGTAAGAGCTTTTATGCTCGATATACCCCAAAATATGACAGATTTAACAAGAAATACTAGGCTCCATTTACTCTAAACACATTAGCTCTCCTGCAATTTGTGAGCTATGGTATCTTAATCGTGCCCCCCAATTTCTACTGGCAACGCGCCCTTGAAGCGCGTTATCCAGGGTTTCCTACGCGTGCCGAATTCTCAAATGTGTTCAGTCTTCGATCGCTGAAATCTATCTGTTCACCTCGCTCATGGCTTTCCCTCTTTTCGAGATCTCCTCAGGAAGATTCACTCCCTAGCCACAAGGAGAAAGAAAAGCATGTCCGATGGGCACCGCGAAAGCAGCCATCCGGGCTGCGTAGCTTCCTCATGAAATTCTTCTTTGACCAGACGGCTGCTTCGATCGTGAATCTTGTGCTGTTTGTGGTTGTCATCAATCTGCTGAAGGGAGAGAGTCTGAAAAAGTCATGGGAGTTAGTTGTTTTGGTAAGTTGCTTCACTGGGGAAACAATTTTGATTACACAGATGCTGACTTGTATAGGATTTTCGGCCACTTATGAGTGCTCGTCTGAAGTATCGGCCCGTTGTCTCGGTCTTAATGTACTCAGTTATTCCTGTAGATCGACGAGTGGTCTTTGGAAGTGCATGTGGAGTGATCTGGGGTGTGTATCTGAGCTTATATGCTGGGGTTTAGGCCTTGTCTATCAAACTGCTTCTTTGTGTTACTTCAGCGTTGTATTATCATACTTTGAAAGAAATTCATGCAATAATATGTCAAACGGATTTACCCACATGGAGCTCAGTTAACGGGATAAAACATAGTTATTTGTGTGAAGACTCGGTGATATATTTACTTTACCTGCGAACACGATCAAAAATTGAGTGACTGAGACACAAGGTGTACCATATCCATATTCCAAGGTTTCCCTAGGAGGCTATATCTCGTTGGAACATCTTGCAACTGTCTAATGCATTGAGGAATTGATTGCGAACAGTCTGCATGCGTGTAAATACCAATGGACATATCCGTGTCACTTCCACTCCCACAATTCCAGATCCATATGAAAGCGCGATGATCCAGTTATCACATTGAAACTAAGCTTGGAAGGAAATCGACTATACATGTTAATGTAGGAAAGTGAACTTGGGGAATTTCCCTAGCAAGCTCAATCTACTGATGCGAATGGGCGTCCTCGTATCATTACCCAGAGAGATAGAAGCGTGGGTGCGTCACCGGTCACCGCAGTGGTACCGGAAGCCGGGGGCTTTCACGATGCCAAGCGGGGTTGATGCCTAAGTCGTATAGAGTATGTTTGCAACAGAAAAAAAAAAAAAATCATGAATTCCGTTCGTATGGGTAAGCCATACACAATGTCAATAGGCAGCGAACTCATTGTGGGTCACATGCGATGCGGTACCGGCAATACTGCCCGGTATTCAAAACTGCGGGCAGCGGATCTGCCCGCAGAGCCGCACCGCCTTCCGGGTATATAAGGCCGGCTGGGGCCCATCCCCCACTTCTCTTTCTTTTCTCCCCAGCTTCCTTTGCCTTCTGGCTTAGATCAAGTGTAGTATCTGTTCTTATCAGCTTAATCGCTGATAGCCCTGTACTCAGGACTTAACCGATTATTCCAATTTTTTGACCTCGTGACTTGGCCCCTGTGCTTGCACATGCCTCGTTGCACTGTGTCGCTGGGCTTACACTACCCCCGGCTGATGCGAACCCTTTCTTCATCACCTATTCGGCTTGTCCGGGTCTTTGGAGAAGAAAGATTTAACATTCGTAGAAGCATGTCCCACTTCGTAGTCTAGGACTCAGCTGTCCCGACCTTGTAATTAATCTCACATTGCACCATGTGCATGAATGTCTCTGTACACTGCTCGTAGGCTAGGAGCCCTTGTCGCATTACAATTTGTAAATGAATGCCTCTGTAGATCCCTCATCATAGGTCATGAGCTTCTGAAGCTCCACTATCAGCCTCGAAGTCACCATCAGTCTCGACGCCATCATCCATATCGACGCCAGCATGGTCTCAAGTTACCTTCGGCGCAATTAAACGCGCCCAATACCCTCTTCTACATTGAGAATCGCGAATCCAAAGCTCTTACACCTCGTACCTGCCCTTACCGACGAAACAAACCGCGCTTCGTGACATACCGCACCCAAGTGCTCTCGGCACTCGGGGATGTAACCGAGAATCAAGCTCAAACAGGTCCCAAGAGACTGACCGAGAACGAGTGAAGGCGCAAGTCTCATAACCTGCTCTCGTATCGTCACGCTACACCATGACACAATCCTACACACTGAGAAACATGCTGCCTACGGATTAGGCCAGTCGAGTGATGGGGAGACAGGCTTGTGTACTGTTGAGAGATAGAAAGTATTGATATGAAAGATTAACTCCATCGCAAAAAGCAATGATATTGGTATTTGTATCCGGCATTAATATGCGCATGAATTAGGATAGACAATAGAAAGTGTGGGTGTACCGCCCAGTACAATAGCCTGTAGACGACTCCCCGAAGAACAGAAACAGAGAAGAGAAGATGACTAAGATTAAGAATGTGCACGAAAAGACTTCAATGCGAAGTTGAAGCTTAGACAGGGACCACCTCGACCTTCTTGCCCTTGACAGACAACCACTCAACGAAGATGGGCCCGATGAGCGACAAAGCACCCATAGCAACAGCGACGTAGAAGGTCTGCACAATAGCCGCATTGTAGGCAATCAGGACCTGGTGTAGGGCATCACCACTAACGATACTACGGAGCATAGTAGCGCCAGCAGAGATGAGTTTCGCAGCATCCTCTTCAGGCGCATAGTGAGCCAGATTCTGGACGAGCTGGTTCTGGAACACGTTCTGTCCGACGGAGACGAAGATAGCGCCACCAAGGGTCTGTGCGAACATGACGATCGCAGTGCCACTGGGTATGTCTTCAGCCTTGAGGGCGGTCTGAGCGACGATCATAGGTTGCTGCATGCCCAGACCCAGACCGATACCGAAGACCGCCTGGTATCCGATCCACTTGGAGTGGTTTGAGTCGATCTCCAGAGTTGTCAGGAGTCCTGCGCCGATGGTCAGGATCACGGAGGAGGCGATCATGAAGGGCGTGTAGTATCCGCAGGCGGTGACGAGGCCACCAGACAGGATGGAGACAATCACGACTCCCATGATCGTGGGCAGGTTCATAATACCGGATTTCAAGGCTGTTGCATTCTTGATTGATTGGAACCAGATGGGGAGCTAAGTGGGTTAGAAGTTCGTTCGAACAATTTAGAAGCGGGAAACGTTAGACGGAGAGAACTCACATAGAAGGTAAAGACGAAGAAAGAAGCGCCGATAGCAAGAGCATACCATGACGCACCCCAAACGTTACGGTTCTTGATCAGACGCGGGGGAACGGTTGCGCGGTCTCCGGCCCAGATCTCGATGCCAATGAAGATGAGACCGAGAACGCCGAAGACCACAAATAGACCAATGATACGTCCGTTGCTCCACGGATACTTGGTACCGCCCCATTGTAGTGCGAGCAACAAACTGATGATAGAGGGTAGGAAAAAGAAGGTCCCGATCAAGTCTAGCTCCTTGAGCTGTTCCTTGAAGGTATTCTTCTTGAGAATCGCCTTGGGCGCTTGGAAGAAGAAGAACACGAAGAGGAAGGTCACTGCTCCGAAAGGCAAGTTGATGTAGAAACACCAACGCCAAGTGAGGTGGTCGGTGAATGCGCCTCCCATACTGTCGCCGGTTAGCATAATTTCACAATCAAGAACCAGGAGCAACATACAGAGGACCGGCTACGTTGGCAATGCCAAACATTGCGCCGACGATACCCGTGTACATAGGTCGCTTGACCAGGGGTACACTCTTGCTGATGATCAGGATCGAGCCCGAGAAAAGACCGGCAGCACCAAGTCCGGCGATGGCTCGGCCGCAGATGAGTCCGACCGAAGTGGGGGTGACAGCGCAGACGAGAGAGCCGATTTCGAAAATGCAGAGCGCGCTGAGATAGATCCACTTGATTGAGTAGAATGTGTAGAGTTTGCCGAACATCAGGGACACGGCGCATGTGGTCAGGAGGTAAGAACTTCCATACCAGCCGACATCTTCGAGGGAGTTGAATTGATCAGTGATTTTGGGGATTGCCGTTGCAATGATCGTATTGTCCTTGAGGATCTGGGTTAGCTGGACATAATCAAGTAGGCCAAGCGGTAGTGCATACCAATGCCACGCAGAATACGCATAGGCAGAGAGCAATGCTGATCAGCGTCAACTTCCATGCGTTTGGGTACTCCTCCTCATCAACTGGCGTTTCGGCATCATTATCCCCCTTTTTCTCTTCTTGTGTTGGCTTGTCGAATGTTCCCTTGGGAGCCAACTCCTGAGTGGACTCTCCATTGATTTCCGCGTAGTGAACTGGCGTGGGAGTGTCACGGCTCGCGAGCTCTTTGTCGGCGTCAGGATTGGGAGTCGAATCTCGTAAAGGCTCGTCTACTAGGGTGCTTGCTTTCTCACTGGAGGGCTTTGAAGTACGACCTCCAGACTGTACATGGGCGTCGTGATCGGGTGCCATGTTTTTGTCTTCAGTGTTTACCACAGTGTTTTGCTCAGCGTTGTCGGGCACATCTGCCTTGGGAAACTTGGCTTTGAGGGCATCGAAGAAGCCCATCATGAAAACAAAGAACCAAGATGATCAAAAAAAAAAAAAAAAAAGCAATGAGATTCAGTAAGATAAAGGACAAATAGGGGGAAACAGAGAGATTTAAAAAAGAAAAAACAAGCCAAGAATAAATATCAGAAAGAACACCAGTTCGTACAGGTCTCAACCTTGCGGGGGAAAGGGCCAATCCAGGTGGCTCAAGACCCTGCGATCGTATTTTAGGTGACCATGTGGTACGTGAAACTGAAATCCTCCGCCGAGGTGCAGATCCTGTTTTTGTTTTGTTTTGTTTTTGTTTTTTGGCAGTTAGGCAGCGAAGTCTAGCCCTCGAAGTACGGGGTACGGACTAGTATATGAGTTCAACAGCAACGGTGGCAATGTGAATGTGGTTATGCAACTACAATTAGTCGCAGTAGTCCATCCGCAGGAAAGGATGGATTTGATCTCATCCGACAAAATCTGAATCACAACATGCAGTTCAATGGCCAAGTGTCCAGTTTGGTTTGCCCCAGCGGGGCTGCAGTCAGGAGAATGCAAGGGTAAAGGTGATCTATTATTCAATTGCTGCATGAACTTATGCAGTCTTCGGTTGTGGTTGCTCACCAATTAGCGTTCAGGGGGTACGAGTAATCACCCCCTTACTCGAACACCAAGCGAAACAGAGGACATCGCTGCTGACCACATAAGGGGATGAGGATCAACATTCCGAATAAGTTGAATCAATGGTAAATGGGAAAGAGAGATGTTCAAAGTCTTTTAATTCTCTTGGAAGTTCAGTGATCGACAGGCTGACATGGATGACATGAAACTAACCGAATTGGGATTAGTGTGCCACACGGGACCCGGAGATCGGTGTTAAGCTTGTTGCGATTTCCAAGGCTACTGGCGAGTTACCTGAATATCCATCTAGAAGTTTCATGGTGATTCTTCATATAGCACTCGTTTTGAGATGAGAAAAAGAGGCACCTCCCCCATCCAGAGGGGCAAAGGTAGAGCCATGATTCACGATAGCCCTAATCCAAAGGTCCCGGTGCCCTACAGCATCAGCATAGACTCAGCTGATATATACAGACACTGCCATACGACGGCTCAGTGAGATTCCTTTCATAGTGGATTTTGGAGGGAAGGAATATGTTGTACATATTTGTTTCATATATATCCCCTGACGATATCGTTGGAACGATCTGAATAATTGGAAATAGAACAAGCTTATCGACGAAATCACGTCGAACCTGGTCATATTGAATATTGATTCAGGAACTCAGCCCGAGGTGTTACACGTGCTCATATATGACGGACGGTAATGACATATGTGGTGCAGAAAAGCATACAGGACGTGGTACTAGCATTATAAATCATCATTGGCTGCGGAGTATAGATCCTGCCTACATACATAATTAGTTTCTATAGAGGAAGGCAATCAGAAAGACTATACAATGTAGACTTGAGCGGAGATAGAAGAACGGACATTTGATAGCGTCTAGCGGGGTTAAAGTACACGCTAAAGAAGCTTACAAAACTATTCGTTAGCACCGGGGCATTAACTCCGGGCTTGATTTATAACGAAGTTAGAAGCTCGAATATAAAAAGGCACCTCACCCAACTAGAATAATTCATCGATCATAACCAATCTACAATACCATCAATCTATACTACACTCTACCAACAACAACTTCACAATGGACGAAATCTTCAGGCAAGCCCCAGAACCCGCCACTCCTCTAGGCCGCTACCGCGTCCTGTCCTCAACAGCAGGCGTCCGCGTGTCCCCCCTCCAACTCGGCGCAATGTCCATCGGCGACGCCTGGAGCCAATTCATGGGCAGCATGAACAAAGAGCAATCCTTCGCTCTACTAGACGCCTTCGTCGCCGCCGGCGGCAACTTCATCGACACAGCAAACAATTACCAAAACGAGCAATCCGAGACCTGGCTCGGCGAATGGATGACCGCACGTAACAACCGCGACCAGATCGTCCTAGCCACCAAATTCACAACGGACTACCGCAGCCACGCAGTTGGAAAGGGTAATGACCCGAACGCCTGCGGCAACCACAAACGCAGCATGATCCTCAGCGTGCGTGACTCCCTCCGCAAACTCCAAACCGACTTTATCGACGTTCTCTACCTCCACTGGTGGGATCACACCACCTCCATCGAGGAAATCATGGATTCCCTTCATATCCTCGTCGAGCAGGGGAAGGTCATGTATCTCGGTATCTCTGATTCGCCGGCGTGGGTCGTCTCCGCGGCGAACACTTATGCGCGCGCGCATGGTAAAACGCCTTTCTCTATCTACCAGGGACGGTGGAATGTGATGCGTCGCGACTTCGAGCGTGATATCCTACCCATGGCACGGCATTTCGGGATGGCGCTTGCGCCGTGGGATGTTCTTGGCAGTGGACATTTCCAGACTGCTAAGCAGCTTGAGGAGCGGAAGAAGAACGGGGAGGGTTTGCGGAGTGTGATGGGTAGTGAGCAGACGGAAGAAGAGAGACGGATTTCCGAGGCATTGGCGGTTGTTGCTGCTGAGCATGGGATTGAGTCTGTTACTGCTATTGCGTTGGCTTATGTGTTGTGCAAGGCACCGAATGTGTTCCCGCTTGTTGGAGGGCGAAAGATTGAGCATCTGCATGATAACATCCAGGCGTTGTCGATTCAACTCACGGATAAGCAGATTGAGTTTTTGGAGGCGGCGAATACCTTTGATGTTGGGTTCCCTGTCAACTTCATTGGGAGTGATCCGACTACCAATGGTGGCAAGGTGAACTTGCTGATGGGTACGGCTGGTCATATCGATTTTGTGAAGGGACCTCGGGCGATTGGGTATTAGTTTGGTAAATAGAGGACTTGATGTGTTTCGGAAGTATATAATGTTAGTAGGACGGGTGCAAATATGATGTTCTTTTCATTAGCCTTGGGTGTGCATCGTGCATCTACTTGGAAAAATTCATTAAAAGAGCAGTGGAATTGAGAAATAAGAAATAGACATGAAGATGGGAATGGGCGTAGAAGCCAGTTCAATGCAATGTACTGTTATCGCGTGCCATTCCACGCCGGGAAGGACTTAAAGATGTCTCTGCAACTCCAAATGAAAAATCCAGCCTCCCCAATATAGTCTGACATAGTTATTGGAAGTAGATGGAATGGGACGTAAAAATTGCGGATGCCCGCACCTGCAGGTTGGAAACTCCTGCAGGTTGGCAATATGACCATCAAGTTCTGAATCTTGATTCTAGCTGACATATTGCCATGGGGTTGGAGGAGCGCAAGGTGAGATAATTGGGTTGGGTATTTGTTTTCGGTGGGAACCAATTGTGGCAGCTCTGAGAATTTTGGGTAACACCAGGTAGGTCGACCAAGCTAGCTTTCAACTTCGCGGGGGAGAGAGGGTGATGGCCGGTGTTAAGGTCGTGAAAAACGAAGAGCCCCAGCCAACAGGAACAAGAAACGGTGCCATCATCCTTCAAGGCAAAAATGAAGGCAAATATGAGATAGTTCAAGTCATTTATTTCTCCTTGGGAATTTCGAGGCCTTCGTCCCGGTTAGCGACGAGCGCAATCAGAGCTGCGCCAACACCGCTGCCGTCCTTGGAAATGCCAATGCGGACCTTCTTGTCGCCTGCGACTCCAACTTGGGGTACCTCGCGCAAAGCTCCACGCAGGTGCCCTTCGAAATTGGGGTAGAATTCAACAAGACTGCCATCGACACCGATGTCGATCATGTCATCAGTCTCAAGCTTGTTGGTGTGTACGAGAATGGCAGCCAGCGGAACAGCACTTAGGCGAGCGGCACGTCGTCCAATGGCGTGGACTATGATCTTCACGGCCTGGCACTCTTCGAGGCTGGGGTTCTCGATCTCGAGGTGATCCTTCAATGCGGCCTTCACATCCACCAGGTCCTTGCTACTATCAGCCTCGACTGAACTCAGCAGGCTGGTGTCCAGACCCCATTGACGGAAGAGCATAGATTTTTCAGGAGTGACGACCTTGGAGTTCTTGTTGGCCTTGAACAATCCCAAGTTGGTATCGTTGTGTAGAGACAAAAGCGCACGGCGCAAGATTTCGCCTAAGAACATGCCCGAGACACGCTTCTCAAACATCTGCACACCGGGGTTGTTGCTGTCGGCATCGAGTTCATCATCGAACACAGTGGTAGGAAGCACGCTCATAGGGTTATCGAAGCTACCCCACTCAGCGTTGATAATCATCTCGCCTGTCGAGTCTTCGAAGTGGGCATCCTTCATATCGTGGAGCTTGGTGATATTCTTGGTCTTCTCCACGTAAGCACCGTTGGTACCGGTTCCGAAAATGGCACCGATGAAAGTGCCAGTCTTGCCTGGCGAGGTATATGAACGAGCCATGAGAGTGCCGACGGTGTCGTTCACCAGTGCAGCCACGCGCACTGGCAGGTGCAACTCGTCAATGGCAGACTGAAGCAGCGCGCAAACATCGTGGCCAACCGCATCGGGGATGTTAAAGCCCTTAGTCCAGCGGATCAGGGTTCCGCGGTTGATGCCGCACTGGCGGACGGGGAAACTGAAGGTGAAGCCCAGATCGAACATGTCTTCTTCATTATTACCATCCTGTCGGCGGAGCTGGTGGGCTTCAAAGTGTTCGTTGTGGTGGATGCGAAGGAATGCCTCGATTTGACGGGCCAAGAATAGGAAGAGGTCTTTTGATGTGCCAGAGGCCATCAATTCACGGGGGATTAGGATCTTGGATTGGGTGAGGGAGAAAGTCGTATCGCCGTGTAGGAGGACCGAGCACACACGGAAGTTAGTGCCACCAAGATCGACTGCCAAGTAAAGGCCCTATAACAAGGAGAATCAGTGGGCAATTCTCATTGTCGATAGTCTGCCTTCATACCTTTTCTGTGCCATTCGGCACTGCAGTCACGAAAGTAGGAATTTGGCTCAAGGTCGTGCCCTCTTTGGTCAAGCCCTCCTCGGACTGCCTGATATACTCGGCAACCCCGCGCTGCACTTGCTCGGCGGGGTAATCAAAGTCTTGCGCAATGCGCGTGGCTTGATCCAACAGTGAAGACATGGTGGGATAAGAAATGAGAATGGCCGGGTTAAAGAGTTGAGGTACCGGCTAAGAAAGGAATGGAATGGGAGGAATAAGTAAGGAAGGGGAAAAAAAGGCGGGAGACTAAAGAAATAAGGAACAGAAGGAACATCAAGGTGGGATGACGGAGCGGGCTCCATGAGGTCAATCCGGTACCTTGGCAGTACTTTGCCCGCCATCAAAATTACCACGGTTGACGATGTACCTTAGATGTACTCTTTGTGTAATGGGGAATTGCCGGATTCACCGGAGAGAGTCACTTTATTCTCTTATATTTTATGATATTGTACGCTTTGAATTTAATTATTTGAACTACATATATAGATAAAGGATCTCAACAAACAGTAACGTGTTCTATACAGTATGATTCCATCGATGACCGAAAACAGCCTCTACATTCCTGATTCGTAACTTTTGATTTTCTTTTTTTTCCATGACGCCATGAACAAGATTGAAATTTTGGCAGACATGGGCAGTGTGGGGAGGCCATACTCTTCTTACTGGTCAGTTCATTCTAGGTACAGAATTCCCCCGACTTCACCGGTGAGCGACACAGGATAAGACTAGGGCAGGGGACGGGAATATGCCAATGCCACGTCGCGCACGGGGGATAAACCTGATATTTCGCGCAGTATTTGCCCAAACTTGTATTGCTGCATATGATTTGCGCACGGGGTAAATTGAAAGCATTGCCATATTATCTTGCGCTTACAATGTACAAAATAGGTACGGAGTACATCTCCAGACGATCGGGATGGATCGGCACCATCCCGGCATAATCGGGCCCAAAGCCAACAGGAGATGGGCAAGTGGCCCGAATGCACGGAATCCCGAGTGTGGGTGTATGAAACCCCATGGAGATGATGAGACATGTGGCTTGTCTTTTATTAATAGTCAATCTTCTTCCAAGGTTTCCTGTCGAGCCACATGTTCTACCATTCGCCTGCCAATATCTCAAAATCGAAATTGTCTGTTCGTCATATCCTCGCCTATACACCACAATGATCACAGGTGGGAAGGTTTGATCAGCCTGTAATTAAGTAGGAATACAATGAAGAACTCTTTGAAGGCAGAAATGACCCTTTTGTACCCTAAACCCCAATGGAGTACCACATGTGGTATAGATTCATTAAGAAAAATTAGGGTTATCAAGGTTTTGATGGAACATCAGCTCATACTTCAAAATGATCTATGGTGATTACGGGATAGTCACTACCTCGCTTTAAGTATTGCCGGGAGACTAAGTAGAACCATCGTAGTCAATCTCTTTTCTTAACGCCGCGTTCCTTACACGGTGCTTATTCTTTCTCGTTGATTCCGTCCTGAGAGGAGTTTGAAAGGGCTATACTATACCACCAGATACCTAATTTTATATAGAAAAGTCAGCTGTAGGCTAGGGAGAGAAAGATAATACTTAGAAAAGGTCATCTACAAAGAATGAATATCAAAAGATATCCGAAAAGACATGACAAGGCACATAAGCGGCTGACTATGATGGGATGCTATGATATTAACTTGCCTTTCTCCTACTTGAAGGGCCATGATATATCATCCAGATGTCGATATAGCGATAGACCCCGCGGAGACCAAGTACACAACGTTTGGTTTGCCATCACATGGCGTTAGGGCGTGGAAACCATGGCTATTATAAACGTTTAGTTTTCGCCGCTTTCTCCTAGCAATGAACTGAGCATTGAATACTTTCCCAAATCGAGCTTGAGACTTGGTCCCCCCAAATAGGACTACTTGTTCCGTCATATTTTTCTTTTTCGATAGTGTTGTTTGTAAAACTGCAATTGGCATTCGAAATTGACAGTGCCGAGTCCTTCAACATTGCTCATTTATAATGTTACTGGAGCCCTGGTATCACTTGGACATCATACATTCAACGTACGTCTAGTTCCAGAGTTGACCATCAGGATGCATGACGACAGAGCGGCAACTGGCGCCCCCGGACCGAGGATGACTAACGTATAATCACGTGACCTCCAACATCCTCCGAACTGAACGGGTTGTGAGCGGGCATCTCGAACCATCACTATCTTTCTATCTCCACAGGACTCGTCCTTTTTGCCGAAAAATGGGTGCTGGAAACTCTAAGCCTGAGGCTACGGCTGGCTCACAACATGTGTTCTCCAGGTATCGCTCTCCGATCTCAATCTCAGCTTCCGCGGCATTTGGTGCTCGATGACGGAGAGAACGGGAATCACCTTTCAATTAGCGCCAATTGAGAAGGGCAGATGATTTCTGCAGATTGGAAGGAGCTCTCGAGATTTCTGCACCATTTGCGACACCGCGGAGCTATCTCAACCCACCCTACAGCCGACGCTAACCTAAGCATGCACAGCAACTCTCCCGTCCAATTCTCCTCAAACCTAGTCGATGCACTCCAATCGACCTCAGAGGTGAGTTCAGCCCAGCTACAAGCAAACCCCCATTTCAATCGAAAAGCTCACAACCCACCAATCAATTAGACCGACTCCACCCGCGCCAAAACCCTGGAATTGGAGATTCAAAACCGTGTCGCGCAGGAACTGAAGCGCATCCGCGAACGCGAGCAGCAAACCCTCGCCGAAATCGAGAAGCGCATCTCAGAGTCTAAAGACACTACCTCCCTGCCCGTCACAGCAGCCACCGCGCCCCTCGCCCCATCCACCTCGGGCTACCCAGCCGGCTCATTGAACCTGGACGCACCGCGGATCCCTTTCGCCGGCCGCCACCACGATCCTGTGCCTGCGGTCGCCGCGCCGCAGGAGACTGCTGCCGTTGCACAGCCCGTCACTAAGCGCGATATCTCGCGCGATTCTGTAGCTGCTGAGATCGAGCAGCTGCGGAGCAAGCTTGATGGGCGGAGGAAGCTTGTGGAGCTTGATGATGATGTTGCTAAGGCCCGCTCGGATGTTACTAGCTGTCTGCAGTTGAATGATCGTCGGCCGTTGAACTGCTGGGAGGAGGTCGATGCTTTCAAGCGTGAGGTTGCGCGTATGGAGGCTGCTTTCGTGGATCGCATTGTGGGTTAGATTGGTGGGTTCGGGAATACAGCGGCTTGATGTGAAGTCTCTACGTTTTATGGAACGTGATTTTGGGCTAGGACCTGCTGTACTGTATGTATAGAACGTGCATTTTTCTTTGTTCCATTTGTTTTCATCTAAAATAGGATAGAGTTAATCCATGGATGAGAGTGGATCGTTGTTTAACCCTTGGGTGGGCTATTCTTTTGCCAGTCGAAATATATAATAAGTATGGAGTGGCTCGGGCAAATGGTGCTTAAAACCACAATCGGGCAGCTCTACTGTTGGGCAAGGGTCATGAAGTTTGATGTCATACAAACTCCCAAACCCCTAAACGTCCACCCTTCTCCCCTGAGGCTCGAATGATACACATTCTTCTCTCAGAGGGTTTAACATTGGCAGTCAATACCTTCGAAAGCTGGATGGAGCCAATGCCTGTTCCTTTGCCTTCGGAAAGATTATAGTTTCCTGTAGTGACAAAACCAATCAGGTCATCTTCGGTTGGTACGTCCAATGTCTCAGAGTCAGGCTCTCCATCAGCAGATGAGATGAGAGCCTTGGCAAGGAGACGCCGAGATTCTTCGGATTCGGGTGTGGGGTTTCCTCTCTTGGAGAGTTTTGGCTGACCTGACTTGTTGGTCCTTGCCGAGCCATGATCGAACCATTTTTGGCGTAGAACTGGGTCCGTAGGCAGTCGGTAGATTCGTGCGCGGGGTGTTGGTGTGCCTCGCGTGGTGAGGGAAAGATAGACCGTGGCAAGGGTGGAGACGCCGACGGAGGCTTTATCGAGCTTCCTCAAGCTTTGGCAAGTATCGGCCGGAGGTAGACGGACATTGTGGATATTGAGGGGTGGGATGATAGGAATAGAGGATTCATTTTGCTCAGTCTCATTGGAGTCAGTCGACTCTTTGTCCGAGTTGCCACCGGCAGTTTCTGTCATAGCATCGTCCTGTTTCGGTCCTTGAAGAAGCCTTTCCCAGTCACAGGCCCACCCACGGCCTATCTCGCCCTTTGGACGACCATCACCCAGCGAAATGTTCTCGAACTCGGGGCGCCGCCCCTTGGGACGTCGCTCCCAATCACGTCGAGATTTTTCATTCTCACGCTGGCCCCATTCCCATCCAGCTCGTGTGCCTGGGAAATCTCCAGGGAACCAAGCCTCGCCCGCCTCGAAAGCAAGTTGCTGCTGCTGCTTCAAGCCGCCAAGCAATGGATTTCCTCCGCTGGAGAGTGGGTAGAACATGAGTGAATACCAGACTGGAACAACACATTTCCATGGTAATAATACGGTCCAGGACCCCGGGGCATTGCTGCGATTGGCCCGGGCTTGGGGCTTGTTTGCAAGTATCATGATCGGGATTTGAGGGTCTGATGGTTGGGATGGCGGATATTCACCAGGACTGGCAAGAGTGCGGCGTCGGTTAATAGCCTTCTGGCTCGGAAGCTGACGAGCTGCTGTTAACCGAGTAGATCGGTCGAATAGCTGAGAAGGGCCTTGCGTTTTGTCCGGATGCCATGTAGAAAGTAAGATGGCAAGGTCATTCATGTGAGATTCGTTGTCGGGGACGTGAAGTGTGCGTGGAGGGAAGTGCAGACGAGGATCAGAGATAGCAAAAGAGAGCAGGGCGTTAGGCGGTAATGAGGACGGATTCGACACCCCCAAAAGGGATGGCCAGACAGCTTCCGGGCTTTGTGATGACGGGGAATCACCGTCTGGTCCAATAATCGGTTTCAATGTCGCCAACAAGGCCTCGGTCGACCCTGGCCCTGTGATTTCAATGCTGCCAATCTCGAACCGCAGGTCTTCGACCATGACAGGTGGGTTTTGCGATTTAGATACCCCAAGAACATCCGTCCATAACTGTAGAAACGCCGACGGATGGACTCTAATCCATAGTTTTCGGTGATCTTTCTTAGACTTGGGCTGAGATTCGTCGGCATCGACCATCTCAACATCTTCTTGCTTGGCACACCATATCAATGTCACTGGTGCAGTTGGACGTTTTGGATGGTCTTTCTCATAAGTCCAAACGCGTAGAGACCGAGTCCCGGCTCTCCATTTCCTCCCCTTGGTGCCCCATGCATTGTCCCCGTCGACACCAACTGCCGTCAGAACGGCCTGAATAGCTGGCTCCGTTCCCTCAAGCTGAACAGTAGACATATAGCTCATATCCCACGCTACGGCACCCCGCGCGCCTCGAGCCCGGTGCGTAGGCCGATAGCATTTCTCGGTGGGGGCTAAAGGAATGGCAAAGCGCCAAATCGGATCTTTAGTCGTCGCCATATGAGCTCGCTTTGCATGATATAAATGGGTAGGCAGCCATGTTTTGCTTTTTTGGCGCTTGCGGTACTTCTGCTCTGCCGGAACAGGCCTCGACAGCTTGTTCTTCTTGATCTTGGGAACTCGTGGTGCAATATCGAAGGCATGACTCCCCTCCTTCTCCAAAGAAGTCTTGTTCTCTTGGTCACGCTTTATTTTCGCAGCCGCCCGTCGGGCCTTCGTTTTTGAATTGATAGCCTGCAGCCGCCGAGCGGTATCGAGCCGAATGCGCATCATCTGTGACGGCTTGCGTCTGCGCGCCGTGACAGTAGGCGTGTTATCCTCGGCCATCTAACATGTGTAAAATAGCGGGTCAATCAACGGCTATTGGCGAGTTCGTAGATCATTGTCAATAAATACCTCTCGTTTGGCTCGAGCCCTCAACCTCCGCGGAACTCGCTTCACATTGTGACTCGCTGTCCGCCGCCGCAGGGTGCGGGGAACCTTTTGGAAGGCTCGCATTGTAAGCGCATTTTTCGACCGCTTCATTCCCTCCTCCAGGGCCTGTATCTCAAATGCTCGAGCTGCAGAGTAGGCGGCGACATCGAGCTCGCCCGTTGCGGAGAGGGCGGCGTCGGCCGACTGCACAGCCAAGGTGCGCGCATCGAAGGTTTTGGCGCGTTTGCGAGAAGCCCCAGCTGGACCATGAGGACCTGGGGGATTGAAAGGTTTCCGCTTGGCGGAAGGGTTGGTAGCCATGGCTGCTGATTGAAGTTGTGTCAACGTTTGCGAGTGTAAAAAAGTTCCCGGGCTTGGCGCGTCATGATCGGCGCCGAGGACGATCTTATTTACTGTCCTTTTACTCGTGACATTTACTTCTTGCGGACTTTCCAAACACCATTTTAATACATTGTCCTCATAATTCAAACATATCCTGTAAATGGACAAATAGAGCGAACGGATGATATGCATATATTGCAATTGGGACACGCCCTCACATTACCACAGCAACACGGTCTGTCATATACCTCTGGATGTCGCCCAAGAAACAGGCCGCCAGGAGGGAGACGGCACCGAATGCAATACTGACATAGTATACCCACTTATATGCTTCGGCATATGCAATCTGACCAGCCCCTACGACCATTTGATATGCAGTCTCATTGCCAGCAATGCCGGGGATTGTGTGCAGCTCGTGTAGCAACGAGGCACCTGTCAGCTCAATTGCTTCGGTAATCAGTTTGACGTCGGTGATGTTAAGCTGTGTCATCATTACACCACCAATGTAGTGCGTTGCTGCAGGGATGAATTTAGATATGAAGACATTGTAGTAAATGGTGTAGCCGATACCACCGCCTACCACGCGAATAGAGAGGGTAAGGGCAGAGATAGTGGCAATCAGATCCTAGCGAAAGTAAATGTGAGTGGTCTGACTTCCCACCTTACAATAGAACAACTTACATCCGGGCAGATAATGGTAGTAATAATCGAGGCTGGTACCACAATACCTCCAATTCCAAGGCCAGCAAGGATGAGAATTCCCCAGAGCTGATACATATTATCGGTGCGGCCAATAGCCATAGCACCGCATCCTGTTTTGAGAAAAGCATATCAGTATTTTGAGCGACTTTTATGCTCCCCAAGAACACTCACCTGCAGTCATCAGAACGCTACTAGCGATCATGAGCTCCTTGTTGTGCCCGCGGAGAACGCTTAACAGGGCAAGCACAATACATGCTCCCGCCATGATTCCAAAGCCAATCGGGATACTACGAACACCAACGTCCACTGGGTCGTGGCCGTAGACATTGAATGATTCTGTAGGCCAGAACATAAGCACAGAGAAGAAGTTGGCACCAGAGATGAAAGTAATGACGAGGGTAAGAGCAAGAATCCGAGGCTCTTGCTTCAGGCGAGATGGGAAAATGGGGTATTTGGCTCCGTAGATCTCCCAGAAACCAAAAGCAACAAGCAAAAGGAACCCAATGATTAATGGTGCCAAAACATGGGCAGATGTCCACGGATACTAAATAAATATGTCAGTAAAATACGTGGCTCTACACAGGGTATATCCCCAAGCATACCATATATCCACCCCATTGCAACGCGGCCAAGAAGACAATCAGGCCAGTGATGCTAAGAAAGCCACCAACAAAGTCGATACGTCCAATTATCTCCTTTCTGCTCAGGCCAGCTGAGTTGATTCGTGGAGGAGGGAAGTAAAACAAAATCGTGATTAACAGACCAAATGCGCTCCATGCAGCACAGAAGGCACCGACGTAGCGCCAATGGCTGTGGTACGCGATAAGCTGAGCCCATAGCACGGATGGACAGAATGGTAGAATGGTAAAGATAAGGACTGCCACATAGACTCCTCTCTTTCGAGTCGGCGCCATCTCGGATGTTGCAGCCAGTGCTGTCAGTTCATTGATCCCGGCACCGGCACCAGCGATGGCCATGCCCGCTGCGTGCATGTTAGCGAGTGTCTAACTAGATATATGTGCAAATACAAACCAATAAAGTGATTCATTGTGTGCACCGTGCTGCAAATGATCATCCCAATAACAATCAAGGATGCCCCAATAATAGCGACTGGGCGACGTCCGATTAAATCTGATAGAGATCCAACAAAAGGGCATACACCGGCAAGGCCGAGCAGGTTTGCAAGGACCTAAAGAGAAGCTCGTGAGTCGACGGCCCTATATATACTTCAATGAGTTTACACTCACAAACCACACCCAACGGTCTGCTCCCCCAATGTCTCCATAAATGTAGGGAGGGATGCCGCCTAGTGAAAATGCGTCAGAATTATATCATAACTTTCACATGGGGTTTACATACCAAACAGATAGACTGGGATCTGACTTCCAGTCCATAGAAAAGCCATGGCAGTAAAGCCCATGAAGCGACGGAAAGTCATCTTTTCATGATTATCCATGATTAGTGTTGTTCAAAATCTCAGTTAAATAGCCGAATCCTACTGGGATATCCTGCTCAGACTCATGTATAGCTTCCTCTGAGCCTAGACCAGTCATTTCCTGGTGACTATGCTGTGAGGCATCACTATGTTCGTGATGTTGTACCACCGCCTTTTCTTCGACTGGCCGACTCGATTGAAGGATTGAGTCCGCCATAATGAGTGTGAGCCAAGGACAGCACAACTGTAAATAAAAGAAGTACAAGTGAGGGCCAGGTAGACAAAGAGTATAAATATGGGGCCTGGCTGGACTCAAAATAAATTTAATTGAATCCAGAACTTGGAGGAAGGAGTAGCATATAAATTGACGGCTTATTGAACTAGTAAACTCCAGTTTTGGAACTCCCCAAGGAGTTCAGAGTGGGGGAAGATAAGCTCATACCCGTTATAGCCGGGGACATCAATGCTTGAACAGAAAATACCGAGGCAGCTTGGCGAGTAGGAAAATGCGGGGAAAACGTCGAGGCTGAACACTTCGGAGGCTCGTGCCAGAAATGGACGTCAGCTCCGGGGATTTTATATCTTTGTCATATGTACATTGTATCTGTAAGATGTCATCAGATAGCACCTTTTTACACTAGGATGGTTCATATAAGGATATATGAGGTCCGTTCTTCCCTTGCTAGCTTCCTGCTTTCGAGTTGTCTTCGTCCATGGGGGCCAGGAAGCCGGCTGCTGAATTTGATACCATCTCAGTTAAAGTCTGAGTTGAAGTCTCAAAGTCACACGATTGAAGAAAAACCCTCGTATTCGTAGAACTCAAGCCAGCTAGCGAGTAAAGTGTGAACGTTTCCCACAATTTAGAAATATTCTCCAATCATGCTCAACTTGAGTTTCTTGGGAACAACGAAAAGTCCCGTTGCTTCGACACAAAGTCGGCCTGCCATGTCACGGACCTCACACTTGGCGTAGGCTTTGGTATCTGTACTCCGTTCCTGATCCAGGCTTGTATGCAGGGTATAAAAATTGTCCGAATAGACTGGTGCTCGGTAGTCGAGCTCCAGGTTGGCAGTGACCCCTGTTCGCGCTGGGAAATGCCGAATGGCTATGCGCCCCATGTTCTCATCGACCACCGTGCCAAGCGCGCCGCCGTGGACCATAGTTGGCCAGCCTTCAAGGCCTGGTCCCAAGAAGACCACGCTAACAATTTTCTTCTCTTTCTCATTCCAGAAAACTTTCTATAAAATACGAGAATCGTTAGACAAAGCGGGATCCCGAGGTTCGGTAGTCAAAAGTTCGGCAGTTAAAAGGTTCGGCAGTCAGATATAGGTATGCCTCGGACGCCAAGGAGAAAACGAGAGACCAACCTGTAATCCCAAGCCCCTACTACCCGCCATGGGGCCAGAAGTCAGTCGATGGGTTTTGTGCGTATCCGCAAAATTTTCGTAGACGTCTTTTTCCACGTAGTCGGGGTTACGGCGCAGCTCCTGCACAATGGGGAGTCCAATGTCGAACGCCTGTTGCATTTCCTGAAGCTCTATCAGGTCCTCTAACGACCCAGGAGCCGGTGGCGCTGCAATTTTGTTGTCCAGCCATTTCCCTGCACCGACGCCAAGTGTGCCAAAGATGCCTGCATAGATTAGGCGGCGCGTCCAACGCGATGTTGCTCGTGAGGCATTTGGTTGTGCCGCGGTGCTGACGTTTCGAACCGCTGGGCGCCAACAACTTCGTGTCTGTGTTGAAGATTGGCGAAGTGCCGACTGGATTATGTTGCGATATTGGATCATGGCGGTCACATTGCCATTCCTCTTGGTTTAGGATGTTGATTTTAATTAGTGCTTGGGACAATTTAGACCGAGGCTCAGGTCACGTGGATACTGCCATTAGTCATTTACATACGCCCATGGGTTGTCACCGGAAGAAATCAAAGATCCATGACTACGGAATTTGTGCAAGGTAGAAGACAATAAGACAATCAATTGGTAACAGTTAAGGCGTTGAGACGAGCATAATTCATGTTCATCGTTTCTATTCATCTAGAGGCAACCATTTGCAGATTTCTTTCTCATGTGAACAAATGTTAAGGCAAACCCATTTACTCGAATTTAGGCAGCTCAATCGCCCGGTAGAGACAGATGAGGGCAGAGTGTGATTCGCCTATATATGTCATTAGCAATGGCTCTTGTAATGTAGTAGAATGCAGTTCACTTACCACCACCCGAAAGGGTCTCGATCTTCTGTGCCTCCACCTCGGTCACTGTGTCATCGTTGAACCACCACCATTTGTTATCTGCCTCGCGGCGCTTGCTGCCTGTCTGAGGCTCGTCCCGATCCTGTTTCTTGACATATGCCGTGTAGTGACCGCTGTCAGCGCTAGCACCCTGGTGGGTGATCACGGCGCGAAGCTCATACAAACCAGACTGGTTGGTTCCGCTGTCTCCAGCACCCTGTTGGTTGATAAGCTCTTGCAGCTCTTTCTTAGCAATACGGATAGACTCCGTTCTTTCTGCTTCGTACTCGGCATCGGTCTTGAAAGTTTCTTCCATCTGGCTATCACCATCCTTGTCGTCGGCTTTCGACTTGTTCTCCTCAGTGGCCTGCTTCTTCTGCATCGGCTCCATGTTTTCGCCTAGGTTGGTTTCTTTCTTCTGACGCTCTGCACGTTCTTCCGCAACTCTTTGACGTTTCTGAGAACGCTCGACCTCCAGCTCCTCCTTGCGGATCTCGCGGACCTTGTCACGAATAGGAATGAGCTGCTTTCGGAGGTCCTCGGTACAGAACTCCACGACATCCAACTCGGCAGGGAATGTCACTTTGCGCATGATCTTAGCCTTTTTCTGTGTCTCACGCTTCCAGTAAAATCGGACAAAATGCACTGTGAGGTACTTGGGTAGTCGTGCGATGCGCGAGCGCTTCTTGTACACACAATTGCGTTCCAAAAGAGGAGAATTCTTCTCAATTTCCTCTTCGAGACCGGCCAAAATTCCATCCTGAAGGTGGTTGGTTTCTTTTCCGATATGACAATCAAGTTTGTAGAACACATCAGAACTTCGACTGGGTTGCTCGCCGAGTTCCTTAGCGGCGGGATCCTGACACTCGGTGACAGATTCGAATTGGCCCGCAAGGTATTTATCTACAAATGAGGTAGTAGTGGCAGACTCTCCCTCGCCCTCAGTGATGGTCAACTTGGTCCGCAACTGGTTCAAGATCTGGGAGAAAGCCTCCTCGGCATCCTGTTGGGAATACCCTTGTCCATTTCGGTCACGTTGGGCAAATTGAGGGAAGACAGCTCGGAGAGAATTGAGGAACATCAGTGGAGGAATACCGTCCTGCGTCTCGGACATTTGCTTGAACAGATCTCGCAGAGAAGCGGCCAAATCTCGAGAACCGCCAAGGCCACCAATACCAAAGCTGCTGAGGTCTGACAGACTCGACTGTCCAGTCCCTTCACTTGGCCGATACCGCAGGAGCTCCTCCTGAAGCTCCGGGACACTCCGCAACGTTTGTAAGGAAGAGTTGAGATAACATGTGTTCCCAAGGTTTTGCAAACCGGCAGGAGTGGCACCCTCCTGTCGCGCCACCTCGGCCTCGGTCATGTCCTCAAGGAATTTGACAGTCTCCTTTGGCCGACCAAGGTCAACGGAACCTTGACCTCCCGAAGGGGTGCCCATCATCATGAACATCTGCCCGGGTTTGGCATTAAGGGACGAAAGAGGCGTATCATCTTTGAGCTGGCCACCTTTGACCAAAACCTTTTGGCGGTCAGGTTCCACGCCAGTCAACGAGAAGAGTTGGTACTTGAGTGTTTCGCCGTTGGATGTAGGATCGAGCTCGACTTCGTGGCGCTTGCCGGCGTGTTTGACAATGACTGTGTATCTGTTAATAGTGGTTCAGGAACTGCCAATACATCCATACATACTCGGTATAGCCGCCATTTTCAATAAATTTTAGGGATGGATGATGTGAGAAGGATAAAGAGCTTGGAAAAGCTTACGATTGCTGGGGCAAATGATAAACAGCATAAGACGAAGCGTGGGGGGTCATTCACCGCCCAGCCACTATCATCACCGCCCACCCCGACGTCAACTCCCCTTCTGCCTAGGACAACCTATTACCCAGAGAACTGCCTTTCTAGTTCACTGCTTCAGGTCGAAGGGTCTTCACAGGAAAAGCATTCCAATTCCTCTTCAACGAACGCCCCATCGCATAATTATCCTTGACGATTGCATCCTCGTGGCCTGGACAAACACCCCCTCATCATGGTGGGTACAGCTCCAATCGGCCAGCTCGTTCTATACTAATTGATCATCAGAGTCAATCTCTCCGGCCCTACCTCCAGGCGTGAGTCTCGAAATTACGACAAGTATTCAGCGGCAAGCTTCCTAACACTTCACTAGTGTTCGGTCCTCTCTGACCGCGGCTCTTACCATCTCCAACTTCGCTTCCCAGACATCCGAACGGCAGTAAGTTGTCTATTCTGCAAATTTTCTACATGAAAGGTCCTAATATGCTCGGTTTCACCAGCAACTGCCCAGAGATTGAGGCAAATTCTTCACCTGAGATTCTACTGAACCCGTACGTCTGACCATCATTTCTCTCAATGGGGTCCCGGTGGACAAACGTATTGATTGGTTCCCAGGCTTCACATCAGCAGAAACGAAAATGAGAAGGTGAAAATCGAACCAAGCTACAATTCTGTACGCATAAGTATCAGAATCAAGCAGGCAGATGAGATCGAGCACATTCTTGTCCACAAATTCACTCGGTTCCTGACCCAGCGAGCGGAATCTTTCTTCATTTTACGCCGGAAGCCAGTGGAGGGATACGACATCAGTTTCCTCATTACTAACTTCCACACGGAAAAAATGCTTACCCACAAGCTAATTGATTTCGTGATCGAGTTCATGGAAGAAGTGGACAAGGAGATTTCGGAAATGAAGCTCTTCGTATGTGTGCGGATGCATCAATTTCGTTGCAAGTTACTGACAGCTCATTAGTTGAATGCTCGTGCTCGATTTGTTGCCGAGTCTTTCCTGACGCCCGTATGTTCTAACTAAGCTGTCTAAGCTATCTACCATTGACTCAATTGCTGACGATGATTTAGTTCGATTAAATTGCCTAGCGTTCCCTTGTTGATTCCGAATAATGAATGGCCCTGTGTTTCCCTCTTTCTACTCCTGTACAGATAGCATAGGCTTGCATTGATTAAAAGAGAACCTCGTACCGATTTCCATCGATTGATCTTGTCTGCCTAGGTCCAATTCGTTTCTAGTAGTATAGTAGACTCTTTCCGACGGCACAATACGTCACCGGATATGCTAGCCTATCATTCTCGTAGGGCCTTGTTCTTCGTCAGGAATGCAATTACTTCGATCCTACTACATGTTAATGAATGAAAAAAAGAGCAAGGGTGTATTGACAACGGTAAAAGAGTACATATCTCCAAGAGCCCTCGGCGTTATCTAACAGGTCAAAGAGCCACCATTAACCGCGTGTATTTCGTACTACTCAAAGTCTACGCCATGAATTTTGAGTTTACAGCGGCAATCACTTGTAAATGGTAAATATCGGTCTGAAAAGAAGTAGGGAGTTGGGAAGATTGCTTCATATACGAGACGAAAGGGCTAAGTGGAAGTGGAATTGGCAAAAGTGCGTGAACTAAAAGAAATGTATGTCAATAGTCCGTGGAAATATGGAAATAAATGTTCGTGGGTGCGTGACAGAAATGTTTGTGCTGAAGCGGGACGACGTGGAAATTATCACAAGTTTTCCGTGGAAATTTAATTTCTGCGGCAGAAATACGTGGCAATAAAGTACCTTACGCACATGAGTGCGTCGTATTGAAATGTACCTCGCGGCGACGCAGACAAAACAAAGACATTCCTAGTCTCGATGTTCGAGGAATTTTTAAAAATCACCACAACTTGCAATTCTCAAAATAATGATATGTGTAGTACTTTAGCTCACTAATTTCAATTTAAAAATATTATAAAAACTACCTATCATACAAATTTATGGAGAAAAAAGAGGTTCAACATCGACGATTTTGTCGAGGGGATTTGGATCTAGAGTAATCCTCGCTGTCACCTGGGGTCCTTCCGAACACGACACGCTTCTACGCGCGTGGGCTTAATTCCACGGCTAGAAATAGTTCGAATCTAACACCACGCACTTCTCCTCGTAAACATTCCTCTTTCCACGCACAATAACCATTTCACCCGATTTCATTTCCAGCCCTAAAAATGCGTGGACGAAAGTCTAGACGTGTGCCCAAACGGGACCGCAGGCCAGCGACGATGAATCCACCTGCGATTCAAGCTGCACCTTTGACGCTCAATGAAAATGCAAACTCAGAACCACGTATTGTGACTGCGACACGTCGCAAAGATTCACATACTCGATTTGATGCTCATCTCAGAAAGTCGTCTTCAGATTCAGCCTTGCGTTCTCAGACTGCTGAACACTTTTTTGTCCCATCTGCTTCTTCCATTTCTTCAATCCCACCTACGCTTCCCAAGCCTTCAACCCCATCATCTTTTGTCTCTCCCCTTCCTCACTATTCCTCTTCCACCATTCATCCTCCCACCCCTCTTGACTTAGTTCCTGTGATCGAACTCAATCCTTTCGACTGCTTGATTCAAGCCTATTCGTCGGTCACCTTTCAGCCTCGTTACTGGCAGTACCATTCTCAGGTTCCACCTCAAGTCTCTCAACACGCTGTGGACGTTGCTCCTCAGTTCTTTGCCAGTAAGTACCCTCTTTCTCACTCTTGCCATGATCGGTCGACCACCTTTGACCACCACCATCAAGGCTCAGCAGACCTCACTAATAATAACCTCATTACAGCAACCGTCTTTGAGCCAGGATTTTTTCCAGCCAACAACAGCAACATGCCTTACCCGTTTGAGCTGGCAGGGACCACCAACTATAGAGACTTCGAGAGTTTCGAGAGCTATTCCATCGAGGATCTCTTGCAGCAAGCTTCAATTCCATTTGGTAGTGCTACTCATATGCAAGTGCCAGCTCGCAATGGTGTTTTGATGATTTCTAACGTGAGTTTGATTCTCTCCCTTTTCTTCCTGTTGACGGCTGCATTCAGTATTCCGTCACTAACAGTTCTGATACTTAGATTCCGTACACGGTGACTCGTCAGGAGGTAGCCTCGTTCCTTGGACGCAGTGCCAACCTGCTCCCATCCTCTGAAGGATGTCCAATTCATATCATCATGGAACGGTCCACTGGTAAGACTATGGACTGCTTCGTTGAATTTCCAAGCAAGAAAGACGCAGAAGATACTGTCCAGCGGATCAATCGCGCCTATGATGCTGGCAGCGCCCCACGTATGGGCAGCCGCCATATTGACATCGAGATGAGCACCCCGGCCAAGCTGCTCAAGGCTATTTTCCCCCGGGCAAAGTGCATTTCCTGGGATGACGGAAATCCTGTCCAACTCCCCAATCAAGATGATTGGTCCACTGGTTTTGATGGTTTCCTCACGGATGAAGAACTGTTTTGCGTCACTCGCCATGCTGAACAGCCTCACCGCGTACGTCTAACTTCCCTTTTGTGTTTTTCACTTTGATGCCTCTGATGATCTAACATCTTGCAGAGCGTATTTGCCAGTAAAGTCCCCCAGCGATGCTACGAATCACTCATCACTACTATCTGGAAGGTAAGTCAATCACCATCCTCACTCCTACGTTTGCCCTTCCGTGTCGTACTGACCTTGTTTGTTCCATCATACAGTTCCCGTGGCATGCAACTCATCTGTACACTGTCCACCACCGAAATGCGCTTTTCAAGACTCTTGGTGTCTTGATCAGGGCTCTGGTCGAACGCATGCAAAAGACAAACACAGTTGGTCTGGACATCCGCCTTCTCAACGAGCTGGTGCACGCAGGACTTTGCTGCCCTGGTTTCAATCCTCGCATGAAATACTGTTTTGCCTGGTGGTCGCAAGATCCAAGAGGAATTGAATCATTGGACCACGATTGGTGCCTTTATTTCCCATTCGACACATTGACCTATCTTCCTGGACATGCCCCTACAGCCCTTCAGGTATGACATTTGACAAAGACATTGTTTTCTTTTGCAAGAACACTGATCCATTCTTCTCGTTATAGTTCTACGCCTACATCATGTCCCACGGTGTTGTTCTGCGCACTGATTTTGATGGGTTGATCAACAAGCACACCCACCCTGAGATCGAGCGAATCTTCGGACGGTTCTGGTTTGAGTGGCACGATCATGTCGCGCGTGAGACAATCTACGAAAATGCAATCAACTACGAAGCAGGCGTCCTCCGGAAATTCATCATTACTGGATTCCAGCATCTGCATAAGAGAAACTCCAGCATCTCGACCATTGGCACTGCTCCTGCCTCGCCAACCCACAGTCTCACTTCGAATGATAGTGAGCGTACTATCTCGGCATCTCGCACTGGCTCGGTGAACCCCAGCATTGCCACGCAGGAAGCCTCGACCTTCTCAGCCCCCCGTGATATGGCCCGCAGCGTCGAAGATGGTAACAACCGAAATGTCCCTGTTAACACTCGTGGTAACTCTCAGCCTCTTGTATCTGACCAATATCTGCCGGATACCCCCACTCGCCGAGTTCCTCCATCGGTCCGTCCCTACCGTCCCCCCCACCAGCGCAATGTCTCCGAGCGCACCCGCAATTGGCGCATGCCCCAAATCCAGGAGGCACCTGTCGCCGGCCCATCCCAGAGCCAGGACCAAATCCGTCCTACCTATCGCGCTCCACATGCGACCGCTCACAACGTTCGGTCATCCTCTGACCCCTTCGCCCCCGCTCCTTCGGCTGGCCCTACCAGCCATCGATCCCGCTCCGACGCCGCCCGCCTGTCGAACTTCAACCGTCGGGTGTTCGACGAATGGCTCGCTGCTGGACGTGGCAAGCCCGCCAAGAAGTAAGCAGACCTTGTTGACACCCAGGATCAGTACTTCTCGATTAGAGATGCTGATCGGTAAACACGGTAACGTGTTTTTTTTTGTCTCCCTCTGGTTCTTGCTTTTCCGTTGTGTGCTCTCCCGGTTCTTTCTGGGTGGATGTATGGAGACATCCACCCAAGTTAATTGTGAAAACCCTTGTCTCCGGGCGCTTGCGCCATCTATGAGTTTTTCCTAGCGAGATCGAGCCATCACCGGCGTGCTGACCTTTGAGTATGTGCTTGGCCGGTGTGGACGATTCGCTGTGGCGAAACTCAGAAGATTTTCAAATCTTCTTGGCTTTGGGGTCACTTCGCAGTGACTTCAATAGCTACTTTGTATGTTTGATTTAGCTTGCTCAAACCCCTTTGCTTTTGATTCCTTTTTTGCTTTCAGTACCTTGTCTTTAGGCGTTATTTTTGTTTGTTTGTAGACTAGGTAGCTATACGGTAAGATGCATATAGTAGGACACTAATATATGGTGAATTAGGATATTCTTCAGCATCAACTGTTTGTGCCCGGGTGACTACCGAAGTCCACAGTGCTTGGTCAGTTTTGATTTCCTACTCTTTATCGTTTTTCCAGCATATCATTGCCTTCTTTCCGGCTGTCTTTGCGCTTGCTTTACCTTCTGCCTTCTGTCCTTTCCTCCTGATCTCGGAACTATGGATCTATCAGACAAGGATCTGACCGCTTACTACGGTCGGTCCTAACGAAGGCCCACCAGCACTTGCGGATGAATCTCGAAACATATATTTGTGGCCAAGGCGTGGGAGGGCAGACCTCGACTACTGCTACCAGACGATCTCTCATTACCACGACAGCGAACCATCGACCCCCAATAAAGACTAAGCCAGCGCGTGCTACAATAGGGTTGAAGAGAAAGAGGCACGGCCGAGACAAATGTGACGGTGTGTGAGGAGCTATGACTGGCATTCAGTCAAGAACCTTGATCTATACCACCTAAGTTGTTGGCGAGATTACATTGGATGAGTAGTGATGTCGAGACACGGCTAACATTTCCTGTTGCAGGATACCACAATCTCCTTCAGAATGACGACGAGATACATCCAGCTGCTCATTAGAGGAGCGTGCCAGATAATATACATGGTCTCCATCTGTTTCGGGCGGCTTGCCATCCCTGTATACCATGCAAAGATGCCCATCCAAGTTTGAATACCCAAAGTCATGGGCTTGATATTTGAAGAATGGCGCGAGAGACGTCACCGATTTTTTGGTATTAGATAGCATACACGTGGGTCAGAGGCTCGAGGTGAAGTCGATGACATTCTGCGACCCCTGCAAAGGCAGCAATATGTTCAGCACAGCTACTAGTGCGAGTACCAGTGGGCCACGCGACCACCAATATCGCATATTAAGTCTCATCGGCTCATATCGGAATATATTATATGTGATTGGATGGGACAGATATCCCCAACAGTGGCATTTTCCATATGTCCAGGTATAGATATGATACATCCGAGGGGGAAAACGAAAAAAACGGAAGGGCGCTCGTACTAAAAGCGGAGCCGTTTGTTACAGCCGGTTTTTAAGGCGGGCCCTTTTCTGTTACCACTTTTGTCATCTACAGTGTTTTGCTTCATTTCTGCCTGTCTCGGTTTCCAGATTGGCGATAAAATCGGAGTTTTCGAGGCTACTCAACACATAGGAAGGAAAAAAAATTCTCTGAAGTTCGATCATTTGTATTAAAATCATCAGTATGCCACGAGGGTCCTCTCGACCTGATTCTGCGTCGCCTGAAGCGCCTGTGGCGCCAAAGCGACGCGCTTCAGCCAGACTGTCCGCCGCCGAACCGGAGGTCAAGCGGGTCAAGTCGAATGTCGACCTGACCCTTCGCCAGACAAAGTCTACGGCCAGCAAGAGCAAGTACTTTGAGCCAGAAGACTCCGACGAGCCTGACTCGGAGTCCGATGCCTCTGAGGGGGAATCCTCTGGCTCTGTGTACGAGGAGGCAAGAGAAGAATCTCCCGCCGAGGAAACGGAGCCGGAAGAACTCTCCGACACCGACGAGGACGTGAAGAACCCCAGCGCGAGGGCAAAGCAACGACAGAGCATCAGCAGCGGAAGCAACTCTATGAAGGGTAAGGAGCTGTGGCGAGAGGGCGTCAGAGCGGGCCTGGAGCCTGGGCAAGAAGTTGTCATCGCAAAGCCCAAGGCCCGAGACGCGGGGAAGACCCCATACCAGGATGAGACGCTACACCCCAATACCCGGCTGTTTTTGATCGATCTAGCTGGTAACAATGACCGCCAGTGGCTGAAAGGTGCGAAGCATATGGATTTATACCCCAGTTTTCAAGTTGCTGACTGATTTGAGCAGCCCATGATCCGGATTACCGAGCGGCAAAGAAGGACTTCGAGACATTCGTCGAGTCCCTCACGCCGAAGATTGCAGAAGTAGACGCTACCATCCCCGAGCTTCCTATCAAAGACCTGGTAGGCTTGCGGATACTTTTGTCTTCTATTTGTGTCCGACGCTCACAATTTTGCTCCAGGTATTCCGCATTCATAGGGATGTTCGCTTCAGCAAGAACCCACTTCCGTACAAAGTAGGTTATCTTCCCCCTTGGGTCCCTGTCGCTGTGATCGTCGCACGTTTGTGTGGTGGGTTGTACATGTAATACTGTGGGCTCGTTAGCGATGCCTGTGCTGACTGAAAGTGTATAGACGCATTTCTCTGCCGCCTGGTGAGTGTTGATGCCCGATGCCTTTTTGAAGAGATAAGTCACTGAGCAGGGTGCAGGTCCCGGACTGGTAAGAAGGGTCCATACGCAGCATATTATGTCCACTTCCAGCCAGGTTCTTGTTTCGTTGGTAGGTTGCCCCTCAGCTGGTTTCCGCTGTCGCTACCGCCATCCTACCTTTCCCCTTATGATGCTCATCCATTGTGGCTAATACCACGCTGTGTGTAGGCTGTGGGTTGTGGAACCCCGAGTCGGAGCCACTTGCACTACTGCGAGAAGAAATCGACGAGAACTCGGCTGGCTTAAAGGGGGTACTCCGGGCGCCGGAGATGCGTCGCGAGTTTCTGAAGGGAGCGTCCGATGATGACGATGCGGTTGTGGAGGCTTTTGCACATCACAATAGGGAGTCTGCCCTCAAGACGAAGCCAAAGGTAGGAAGCTTTCTGTTGTCTATTCCCCCTGATCCCAAAGTATGTTGTCCATTGAGACCGACTTTACTCCTTTCCGTCATCATCTTGTGGTTCGGTTGCATGGTCAGCTGTTTGTTTATGATTTATGGATTGAAACGTGAAGGGTTGGGAGATAGGGGGCACGAGGTTCGCCATCGAAGTTGAATCTATCGTCCGACCGGGGTTGATCTTGGGAATCACTTCTATCTTGATCAAGGAGTGACATCTTCAAGAGCTTCAAGGGCTTTTCAAGAGCTTCTGCAAGGCAATGGCTTCAGAACTCTGACCAAGGAGATGCCTTCAGGCTGCAACTATGGCTCGAAGGTGAAAGCAACCCGGCACATATGGATCAAAACAATCCAAATGTTCCAAAAGCTTCAATTCCCCTTCCAAAGACATGTGGAAGACAGGGGGGAAAGCTCAACCCGTGTTTGGGACCAATTTTTGCTCCCGAACCACCATGGAACCCAAAACCCGATTTTGGCAGGCTCTCGATGGGGAAATCGCAGTTTCTAGAATGGGATTTTGTTCTCACGCCGTCGAGTTTGGTTCCATGGTTCACATTCACGCCAGGCTCCACGATCGAGATTTACGGCTGACACATCCTAGGGTTACGAGGCAGACAATAAGAACATCAAATTGCTTCGACTACGCAGTTTCACTATTGGGAAACCCATCGCAGATGATGCACTCACGGGAGACGATGCTCAGGAGAAGATTGCGGCTTTGGTTGGGGTCATGGAACCTTTCGTAAGTCCATTCCCAATCCCGATTTCCATTTCCCGGGTTTGCCCCCCTTCTTGACTAGCCTGTTTTCCTCCCTGAGCTAGCCACTTTGGCGGTGTTAGCCGTCCCTTTTACTCCGTACCCACCAAACCAGAACTGTGCTGGGTTTTTTTTTTCCCTTCCGCTTTGACAGGACTGTGGGACAATAACCTTTATATTGTTCCTATATTTTAGGCTGACCGCTTCTTTCTCGACTAGGTGACGTATCTCAACAGTGTAGTGATGCCCGATACATGATTGAGGACAACTACCCGCGTCTATCTGGAGAGGGGGAAGAGAGATCTGTTTTACCTTGGGCCTTTTACGAAGTACTTCTGTTGAAGAGTCCTGATGGTATGAAATTTATATTACCTGTCTAATATTTCTTTTTATTTTAATTTTCCTTCAAATTGCCTTGGCTCGGGTTTTTTGTCTACAACACTCGACTTGAAACCGGCATCCCCCACCTTGACGCCTCCTGCACATGGCTTCTTTCGTCAGCCCCCGCCGCGTTTCCTGGATTGCTACTGCAGGTCTAACACTGGCGCGGGACCGAATAACGTATCTAACATTTGTTCTGCACTGTTATCACCTCATGCACTGCCGCACTGCTGCACCACTGCACACTTACACGGGAAACACTCCAATTTAAGACATTACTACTGCATTTCCCCTCAACATGACACATATACAGTTCTAGACACTTCGGTTCAATCCTGCCACCCCGTGTCAGCACCCAATGGCTTCAAATCCCCCTCTCATGCATGCAATCTCCAATTTAACCTTTTTGCCATCTACCACTTCCCAACCCACACCTGGCATGTACAATCTAGCTATGCAAAAGAACACAGAAATTTCCAATTGCTATCATCAAGTTCCTCAGTTGACGCACATGATATCACGGCAGGTGCCCGCCGTTCGGCCCGTTGTCGGGCATGTCCGCTAGGCTAACCTTGGGCCTGCAGGCAATGTGGATTGAGGCCGGATAGTTCTACTCCGCCGTCCCAGATTTTGGGCTTTGGGATGAGCACCTTCCTTCTCTGGAATGGACTCCATTTATTTGACTGGG